GCCAGTTTAGTAAACCCCCGCCAGTACCGAGAAGTGAACTGGAACCAGCCCCCGCCCCGAGCCCTACCGAGAACCCACCCTGAGCCCGACCAAGAACCTACCCCGAGCCCTACAGAGCCCCCCACCCGAGAGCCTATCCCGATCCCGAAAGAGCCCACCCCAAGCCCTACCGAGAACCCACCCCCCAAGCCCTACCAAGAACCCACCCCCCAAGCCCTACCGAGAACCCACCCCCAAGCCCTACCGAGAACCCACCCCAAGCCCTACCGAGAACCCACCCCCAAGCCCTACCGAGAACCCACCCGAAGCCGGACAGACACCCACCTGGAGCCCGAACAGTCACCCACCCGGAGCCCGACCAGTCAAACACCCGGAGCCCGCCAGTTTAGTAAACCGGAGCCCGCCAGTTGAGTGAACCGGAGCCCGCCAGTTGTGTGAACTGGAACCCGTCAGTTGAGTACCTGGAGCCTGCCCCGAGCCCGACCGAGAACCCACCCAGAGCCCTACCGAGAACCCACCCTGATCCCTACAGAGAACCCACCCCTAGTCCTACCATGAAAACACCCTGAGCCCTACAGAGAACCCACCCTGGGCCCGACCAAGAACCTACCCCGAGCCCTACAGAGGTACCCCAAGCCCGAGAGCCCATCCCGAACCCGAAAGAGCCCACCCTGAGCCTGACCGGGAGCCAACCCTAAGTCCTACCAAGAACCCACCCCGAAGCCCTACCAAGAACATACCCGAAGCCGGACAGACACCCACCTGGAGCCCGAACAGTCACCCACCCGGAGCCCGACCAGTCAAACACCCGGAGCCCGCCAGTTTAATAAACCGGAGCCCGCCAGTTGAGTGAACCGGAGCCCGCCAGTTGAGTGAACTGGAACCCGTCAGTTGAGTACCTGGAGCCCGCCCCGAGCCCTACCGAGAACCCACCCCGAGCCCTACCAAGAACCCACCCCGAGCCCTACAGAGAACCCAACCCCCCCGAGCCCTACCAAGAACCCACACCCCCCCGAGCCCTACCAAGAACCCACACCCCCCCGAGCCCTACCAAGAACCCACACCCCCCCCGAGCCCTACCAAGAACCCACACCCCCCGAGCCCTACCAAGAACCCACACCCCCCCGAGCCCTACCAAGAACCCACACCCCCCCGAGCCCTACCAAGAACCCACACCCCCCCGAGCCCTACCAAGAACCCACACCCCCCCGAGCCCTACCAAGAACCCACACCCCCCCGAGCCCTACCAAGAACCCACACCCCCCCGAGCCCTACCAAGAACCCACACCCCCCCAAGCCCTACCAAGAACCCACACCCCCCCAAGCCCTACCAAGAACCCACACCCCCCCCAAGCCCTACCAAGTACCCACACCCCCCCAAGCCCTACCAAGAACCCACACCCCCCCCAAGCCCTACCAAGAACCCACACCCCCCCCAAGCCCTACCAAGAACCCACACCCCCCCCAAGCCCTACCAAGAACCCACACCCCCCCAAGTCCTACCAAGAACCCCCCCCCCCCAAGAACCCCACCCCCCCAAGCCCTACCAAGAACCCACACCCCCCCAAGCCCTACCAAGAACCCACACCCCCCCCAAGCCCTACCAAGTACCCACACCCTCCCAAGCCCTACCAAGTACCCACACCCCCCCCCCCCAAGCCCTACCAAGAACCCACCCGAAGCCGGACAGACACCCACCTGGACCCCGGAGAGCCCGCCAGTTGAGTACCTAAAGCCTGCCCGGAGCCCCGACCGACAACCCACCCCGGAGCCCCGACCGACAACCCACCCCGGAGCCCCGACCGACAACCCACCCCGGAGCCCCGACCGACAACCCACCCCGGAGCCCCGACCGACAACCCACCCCGGAGCCCCGACCGACAACCCACCCCGGAGCCCCGACCGACAACCCACCCCGAGCCCCGACCGACAACCCACCCCGGAGCCCCGACCGACAACCCACCCCGGAGCCCCGACCGACAACCCACCCCGGAGCCCCGACCGACAACCCACCCCGGAGCCCCGACCGACAACCCACCCCGGAGCCCCGACCGACAACCCACCCCGGAGCCCCGACCGACAACCCACCCCCCGGAGCCCCGACCGACAACCCACCCCGGAGCCCCGACCGACAACCCACCCCGGAGCCCCGACAGAGAACCCACCCCGGAGCCCCGACAGAGAACCCACCCCGGAGAACCCACTTGGGGCCCGACAGAGAACCCACTTGGGGCCCGGAGCCCCGACAGAGAACCCACCCCGGAGCCCCGACAGAGAACCCACTTGGGGCCCGACAGAGAACCCACTTGGGGCCCGACAGAGAACCCACTTGGGGCCCGACAGAGAACCCACTTGGGGCCCGACAGAGAACCCACTTGGGGCCCGACAGAGAACCCACTTGGGGCCCGACAGAGAACCCACTTGGGGCCCGACAGAGAACCCACTTGGGGCCCGACAGAGAACCCACTTGGAGCCCGACAGAGAACCCACTTGGAGCCCGACAGAGAACCCACTTGGAGCCCGACAGAGAACCCACTTGGAGCCCGACAGAGAACCCACTTGGAGCCCGACAGAGAACCCACTTGGAGCCCGACAGAGAACCCACCCCGCGCCCAACCTTTCATGGAGAAAATTGAACACCAGGCGACAAAAATAATTGCAGAATGAGGTCTAGTTTCATACCATGAACGGTTGAGGGTCACAGGGCTAACAACACTGCAAACTAGGCATGCCAGGATGGATCTCACCGAAACTATTAAAATATCGACTTGAATCGACTTGAGAATGGTCCAGGACGGACCGAAACTCGTCGTCCCTTCAACTTCTAGTGTGTGGTCTGGTCAACATACTTCAGCCACGTTATTGTGACTCATCGCCTGCCTATTAAAATATTGAACAGTTTCGAAGATATGGATCCAGAGAACAACTTCAAAAGGTCAGATGGAACACAAACAAGGAACAACGGTTTCAAGTCCAACAAGCCGCAGTGTAGGACTGAAAACATAAGCTATATTTTCACCCACAGGGTTATAAACCCATGGAACCGCCTATCTGCTAAAGCAGTAAATAACATAACACTTGAATTGTAAAATCCAATTTGAAAAAAAATCGGAACAAATGGGGGACCTGATCTGCTACCAGAAATTTTAGCCAAATATCCCCAGTCTGCTAACTGTAGGTAGTAACCGAGTGATTGTAACCTATCCACCGCTGCCCACTGGATGGGGGCGGTGTGCAGGACAAACATAAATTGTGACACTTGAGGTACAACAGGTACTCAGAGAGAACTATCAACATCAGAGGCCCGAGACTGTTCAACACGCTTCCACTACACATAAGGGGCATATAACTGGCCGACCCCTCACAGTGTTCAAGAGAGAACTGGATAAGCACCTCCAAAGGATACCTGATCAACCAGGCTGTGACGCATACGTCAGGCTGCGAGCAGCCGCGTCCAACAGCCTGGTTGATCAGTCCAGCAACCAGGAGGCCTGGTCGACGACCGGGCCGCGGGGACACTAAGCCCCGGAAGCACCTCAAGGTAGCCCAAAGATGGGTATGGGGTGCATAATAAACGAACTAAACTAACATTGATAGGCATTGTTCGATCAAACTCCATACGCAAAACCCCATTATATTATATAATTCTATATACTGTGTATATATAAGATATAAATATGTCAAAAAGAATTATCACTCTTACCTGGAGCAATGTTGCTGATGTCGGAAATCAGCAGTACATGTTGTCGCGCTGGCGGCACCGACGGTACTGACCGGCTGACCCTTCAACAACCAACCGCCGTTTGAACGCCATTTTGAAATTCCAGGCGTACTACCCGAAAAGTGCGTAAACTAGTATTTGCGTGCATTATAGGCCATTCCAAGAAACCTTATTGCTATGAATATCTTGTTATCTAACAAACGAATTATTTATGTTAATATTTTTAGCACATATGTTAAATTAGGCCATTTTTCATTTAGAGGGGGTATATATATATAGCTATTTACATTTTAAGTTTGAAAAATTACCGTACAAAATTGAATGCAAAGATAAGATAAAATTTATTTATACAACCCTGTTTGGAAATTAACTCCTTTTACAATGAAATAAGACGCAAATAAGAACCTCAATTGTGTAGTGAATTTTTAGTTTAGTTCATTTATTATGCACCCCATACCCATCTTGTGGGCGGTAGTGGAAAGGGTTACAGAGGCACATAATGGGCTGAGGGACTGAACCCCACAATTCATTTAGCTAAGCAAGTTACAATCTTGATGAGCTAGTTACAAAATTCAATATAAGTCATCACATCAACAATGGATTCGAGATCGACCTCAAGTACAGGTTCTAAATTAAGCAACTGACATATGTGGAGAGATAGTGTCACAAGTTATATGTTTGTCCTGCACACCGCCCCCCATCCAGTGGGCAGCGGTGGATAGGTTACAATCACTTAGTTACTACCTACAGTTAGCAAACTGGGGATATTTGGCTAAAATTTCTGGTAGCAGATCATTTTGAATGAATTTATGCATTTTGTTTTGATTAAAAGCCTAGGTAGTACAATGTACTACTTCTACTACTAATACCATATTATATATGAGGGGCTACTAAATAAAATTAAAGCACAAGCATGTTCACCTAATATCATTAGCTGACAGGTGAAATAATATGAAAGTCGGAAACTATTTGATTCTCTCTTAGAATTTCTACTAATCCTTTCTTTCGTCGAGACCAATATATGTCAGTGATCCCTCAGATAAATTTCATTTGCAGAAATCAAATTATAGGACGGCGTCAATACCGCCCTCAGCCAATCAGCGCTCTAGGAATGATTGTTTACAATCTTCCTCTAATAAGTTTTATTGGTATAAAATATGCAGTGCTCTGTGACTTATTTTGAAACGGTCATACTTACAAGATTTGATGCATCGAGAATTAATAATTAGTAAATTTGTATTATTTAGTAAAAATAGAAGACGTTGAGAAATTGATAAGGAACTTTTGCCAGAACAACTCATTCAGTTCCGAGGCCGCGATGGAGCAACGAAGATTTAGTATTCGATGTTTATTTTTGGGCATTTACACTCTACTAATTTTAAAAGCTTATTGTACCACCCACTGGGTGGTCACTGAAGATGGTAAAATACAAGCTCAGGTAAGTTTTCGTAAGGAATGTTGTAATTCATTTTTATTAATCGGGTGAAGTCCCGACCCAATCAAATTTTATCGGTTAAATGCTTTTTAATTATATGAAAAATTTAATGAAGTTGATTTACTTTCAATAATTTAGATAATTGCACATACAATTTAGTTTATAGCATTCAGTTTATTTGCATTGATAGGTTGACATACACAGCATATGTAAAAAACTAAATTTGTTCTGATTTTTGTTAGGCATATTAAAAACATAGCATATGCAGTAGACTCTTGAAGCCCTGTATTAATCCTATTCAACAAAGGTTGTATAGTAATGGTACAGATGTAGACAGAAAAACTTGATTGGTCTAATGCGCCATATACCAAATTAAATTTTCATTTTTGGGGCTTATACCCGACTACCCGAGGGCCACTCTCTCTCTCTCTCTAGTGGCCTCAACGTGGACAGGAAGCTGGTGGTTTGTCAAAGGTCCACCATTTATCCTGATGATTTTATTGAGCTGGATTTTGAAATTCAGCAGTGTTGTGACATTTACAGATTTGGTTGGTTGAAGGTTCCAATGGCTTATAACCCTGTAGGTGAAAAAACATTTATTGTTTTCTGTCCTATATTGTGGATTGTCCAGCCTGAAACTGTTGTTCCTTGTTTGTGTTACATCTGACCTTTTGAAGAAGTGGTATGGATCAATATCCCCCCCATCTGTATAATTAAATTGTTTAGTATTTTAAAAAGTTTTGATGAGATCTGCTCTGTTATGTCTGGGTTTAGTGTTATTAGCTCTGTGGCCCTCAACTGTTCCTGGCATGAGAGGTGAATTAGTTCAGGAATTAATTTTTGTTGCCTGGTGTTGAATGTTCCCTAAATCGGATATGTCTTTCTGAAGGTGAGGTCTCCGTGCTTGGGCACAATAATCCTAGCGGGGGCACTCTAGAGTTGAATAACGGTGAATAATTACTTTTCTTTTTCTTAGTCAAAGGTTGAGTTAACTTTTTTTTTTTTTTAACTTCAGCTTCTACTTGATGTGCAACTTTCAGTGATTGGTGGGTTCTGACCCAAGGTCATTTTCTAACTCAATCTGCTACACGGTAATGTTGTTGTTATGGTAGTTGTGATGCTCATTGTTATGGGCCACATGCTTGGTCTTGCGTTTTTCTATATTGAAAAGTATTTGCCAGTCTTCTGTCCTCTTGTGGAGTTCATGTAGATCTCTCAAACAGTGTGCAAAACCAATTTAGTATTCACAGTACCAAAATCTTGGCAAGTAGGTAAGACCAGCATCTGGGAATCAAAACCAACCAAGTCCCAGGTTTCTAGAAGTCACAGCTTCCAAAGAACTACTTGGAGTGGATAATGTTGCTGGTAGCTGTAAAGTTACCAGTATGCAGTCACCAGTGCAGAAAAATTCAGTATCACCTGCATCAATGTATAGAACAAAATCACAAAAATACCAAGAACATGTCAATTATCCATTAAAATATTGACCCGTTGGCCCCTCAGTCAGCGTTTGGGAAGTGAACCTGAAACCTAGTTGAAGCAGATAGGAAAGTTTAGTGATATACAAAACTACTGGGTACCACAGTGTGACATGAACACTATACATAAAACTAACTCACTGCACATAGGCTTAAGTCTCAAGAAGTAACTAGTCAACTGAATCTGCTTCAGTAGAGGGGCATGCTTTGCAAAGTGAACATCAGGCACTAAGTAAAGGTTGCCATCTCTGATCTGGTTGTGTTAGCTAGTGCTGTCACCTGGAGGTTGGTGTAAGGGGTTGTTGCTAGGTATATAATTTCAGAACAATAATTAGTTATCTTAGTAGTCACTATATTTGTTCAGAGTGGGTGATGTGCAATTTTGTATGGTGTTTGGTATCAGAGTGAACAGTTTTCTCTTTGTATTAAGGTTTGCTCTCCACTGTGCTTCCTGTCCCTGAACTCTGGGAAAAGACCATTTGAAAATACTGTGTCTCGGTGAATCTCAAATTCACACTGGGCCTAACATGCTAGCAGTGATCACTGTGGACCCATGAATATAGCTCAGTGGAGCAGAGAATGAGGCCTTGCTCAGAAAAATGCATACATCACAAGATATATAGAGGAAAATTGTAATACATCCCTTAATTCTTAGTGTTATAAAGGGGTATATAGTATGGTATAATACAAATTATAATTATTTGTGAACTAATTGTTTATTTGATTATATATATCCATTTTATGTCTGGTATATGTTTTTTGCAGATGGATTCAATCTTCCAGTTGAGGCGCCCCTATGATTTTTTAGCCTTGGCTCAGCAGGAGCAGAGGGCCATGCAAGTTGAGTCCCTGAAGAGAGATCTTGTGTCCCAGAAGTCACAGATAGATCGTAATGAAGATAAAGTAAGTTATGCTCAAGAAATTTGACATCACATGGAATACATCTCTATATATACAATGGAACAATGTTCTTCTCCTTAGTGCTAAAAAAGGTGTGCGTGTTGTACATTGTTTGTAAATGATTAACTGGTTTTTAGTTTCCATAAAATAATAATAATAATACAGTACTTTGAAATATTACTCAACAATTTTTATAACATCTATTCTTCTAGGATACACAGTTAGAAGAAAGAATATATCGTACAGACTCAGACTGTGTGCTTGCGGGTCGGCCACTAACAGAATTTGATCTCTATGCTAGCACTGGAGTAAACATGGAGAGTGCTGGCATAAGGTTTGTATTGAAGTAATGGGTTAGTATGAGCTAATAATTACTAAGCCATATGTGCACATATATTTTTAATGTTGTCAGTAATTTATTGGAAGCTATCTGGTTATTAAATGAAAATTACTGTATCTTATAAAATTTGCTACTGTACAGTAACAAACTTTTTGTGTAAGGTAATGATTGAGAAATGCTTCCAGTACCAATAATGGTGAAATGTTTCTGAATCACTTCTAATTAGAATCTTATTGCTGAGAACACTTCCCTTCAAAAATATGGCATAATATTTACTCACGTATAAAGCAATGTGACAGAAAGAAAGGTCAGCTATTCATTTGTTTATTAAGATAAAGAAAAACGTTTGTGATCAATCTGTTAAATGTTTATATTGGGGACGAGTAGATAGGTCGGTCTGGAGCTGCTTTGTAAGACTTTTGAGTGACTAGGTATATTGATCTGTGATCCTAGAGCCAGCACTAACATAACCAATACTGTGTGCATTTGTCCTAGAAATGATGTCTGGAAACACAAGTATGTTTGTGCAACTGTATGTGTAACACCACGATCATGATTATAGAGAAAGAGTATGGAGGCTGGAAGCATCTAACATGCCATTGAATACAGTCAGGACATTTTCAACTTGGCACTGCCCCCTCTCTAACTAAGCTAGTGTTATATAAAGTTAAACTAATCATTTTGTCAGAGAATTGCTCTGCAAACCTCTATACTGTACCTCATTTTAACTACGTTTCCTTAATCCTCAAACACACTTCTCACATTCCCTGTATCCTTGTATACAGTATTTGACTTGTGTCGTAAACTTTTGATGTGGAAAAAACTCCTAAGAGCTAAATGTTACCTGGTACAGTATTTATAAATTGTCATTTTTAAGTTTGATGTTTCAGCTCTACAGTACTGTACTCTATTTTAATATGCCAGTGTCATCAAATGATAGAGAATTGAAATTGGTATCTTGTACTGTATTGGGAATGGTAGGAAGTGGTCAGAAAATTCCAAGCCCTATTTGCTATAATTAACCTGAAAACATTATTCCCAGGTATTAATGAGAAAACAGTGCAAATGTTAAAATATTGGTAATGACAGTTATAAGTAAGATGAAATATATACTGTATGCTTGCTTGGAGAATGGGAAAGTTTCTAGAAGATGACAACAAAGGTAAAAATAGTTCATAGTATTAAAAATATTAAATTTCATCAGGTTGGATGATCATCTTGGTCCATCCCCTGGTGTGTCAGACTTTCTGCAGGAACCAGATTGCATCAGTGCATATGATCTTCCCTTCTCTATGTTTGCTTATGAACACCTCCAGGTAATTCATGCACAATATTGTGTAAATATATTTATACACAAACCTAGTTGATTTATATTCTATGTACATTTTTTAACTGTTGCATTCGATTGCTCCCTAAGACAAGATTCTGCTGAACCATAGAAAGGTTTTATGATCGGTAAGGCATGATGACTTTCAGGCATTGGTTCTATGGATCTTTTCAGACATCCCTGCAGGGTCATATAAGTTTGTGGGGAGACACTTAGAGAAAAGCTCTGTCTAGTCTTGAATATACATCATGAGATACTTTCAGAAAGACTCAAAAGCCCAATCAAATTAGTACGTTGGTGTCCCAGGTGACCTCGAAGTGAAGGATCAAACCTGCTCATTGCTTGTCTGGTCAGAGTAGCCACCCACCAAGAGCAAGCCATTTTAAACAAACTACAATACTTGTTTTTCTGACTTGTCCTTGCTTGTTGGTTATGCTGAGGTCAGCTGGGTCACGGCATGCTTAGATGGGCACTGGTATCGACATCCCCAAATTTGGCTGCTTGTTTCTCGGGAATCACCGAGCGTCAAGGTCTGATATTAATGTGCAAGGTAACATGGAGTGATGGCATGTGTTAGTGGTGTTTTAAGTTGATTTACGTATATTACATGTTGTTTAGGTGGCTGGATACTGACATTTTAGTTTTTGCGGCTCTGGTATTTTGGCCGCATCTTTTATTATACATAATACTCTTGTCTAGTTATCTGCCTTAAGGACTATACATTCATTTAAAAACAAAATGGAACAAATTTAATAATATACAGTCCCTTCCAGAATGTAATTCACAGCAACATGGATGGAAATTTGGACACTCAAGCCACAAATCTGAAAATATAGACCATTTTCAATTTGTGTGATAATGGTCTGGGACTAAAATATTGTCACTTCCATTATTTTCAGATTTGAGAGTTTGGTGTTTATATTATCCCTTAAATTTGATTTCCAAGATTTCTTCTTACTATTTTCCTAAGAAGCATACACGCGTGGAAAAGTTGATATTTCTAATATTTTTTTATATTTCATTTTTGAGACCTTTCATGTTTCAGTATGTTATTAGAGTATATTTGAGGATTTCTTGGCTTTTTGGGATTTCATTCTATACAATAGTGCCGGTACTGGTATTATATGTGTTGTTTGTGCACTGGTGGCTGGACACTGGTGACCGGCAAGATGTAGGTGACTACAGTACTTTACATGTTAAAAGTCAAGTCGTGTAGTCCCCATGATCTACATTTATTTAATGCAGCTAGTTTCTGGCTCTCTGTATTACATATAATACTGTCTACACCACTGATCCTCTATGGTGAAAGATTACATTTATAAATAATGAATACTGGCTTAGTAAATGAGATGGAAGCCAATTAGTGTTATTTTGGTCCAACATGCCCTTGTTCAGGATTGTTGGTTAACAGGAAATTTTCCCCAGTGTGGGTTGTTAGTAAAAGTAATTTGAAATGGCCTTTTACTTAACATCTTTTTTTTTTTTTACAAAGCTTCAAACCTTCAAATCATTTTAATGCTTTGAAGGTTCTGTTTCATTTGAAGTACTGTATTTACATAAATTGGCTCCTTGTAGTAGATTTGTCATTTAAAGTAGGGAGACCTCCAAAATTTGCAGATGAATAGTGTAAACCTTGATGTAAAGGACTTAAGATAGTTTTATTAGACACTTATCAAACAGGTAGTAGAATGTAATAAGAAATATATTTCATGTTATTATTAGATTATTCTGCTGGTTGTCAAATTCTTCCAGTATAGTACCATTGACCTTTTACATTCTCACCTATTACATCATCTAACAAACTTTGATACATTTTAACTCTTCCTTATAGATAAAAATTGCTTTCAAGATAAGCTAGGTTTACCTAAACATTTGCCATCAACAACAAGAAGACAAAACAAAATAATTTACGCTTGTGCATCATTCCATTGTCTGACTTACTGTACCTCCGCTCCCTGTACAGACGTCATTTAGCGTAGCAACACAATTTATAATTTATAATGAAGATCTAAATATGTGTGTAGTTTTGTTCCACTTTGTCTGACATTCAGTTTTATAAAATAAAAAGAGTCCTCCCAATTTGCAATCCTCATCAGGGTGTCCGTTACCGGGACAATCTTACAACAAGTGTGGAGGAGGAGCTCTCTACTGTTGGGGGTGAGGCAGACGTGTCAGTGTGGGGCCATCGTGTTGCTACAGCTCTCACCACTAACAATTCTTCTTGGGTCCTTTACACTTTAGCTACACAATACTGGAGAGTGAAAGCTGATCCATTTCAAGCAGTGGAATGTGTGCGGAGAGCTCTGCATTTTGCACCACGGTAAGATCACAGTCAGATCGTTTAGAATTCCATAATATGATTAGTATTGTGTGGTTCAATTCCTCAAGCACTGGGCCAGAAGAATTTTCATTCTAAATTTCAAAGACTGCTCTTTTTTTATTAATTATGAAAGAAAAAATTCTAAAAATTTAAGTTTCAATTCTAGTTTCCACAGGGAAACTAGTAAAAACCTCTTCCCACAAAGCTTTCTAGATTCTGAAAGACAAAAAAAACATATGGACTATGGGGAAATGTGAAGTAACTGCTTACAATCATGATGGAAGGCATCCGCTGTAAAAGCATCGCAATTGAAGAATGGTGCCATATAAATAAGGTCGGACTGACCAAATGCTATCCTCTGAGCACTCCATCCCTGGAAGGGGGTTAGGACAGTTTTGAAAAGGTACTTGGTTCCTTGGGGGGTGGGGGGGGGCATAAAGATCATTCATTGCCTGGCACGAGGACTCATTCCTACTATGGTCATAGGTTTAAGGTCTGGGGGGGGAGTGGTTACAGAGGTGCTACTCAGAAAGAGGCTTTTGATTTCACTCAGTACTTTTTTAGGTTTTGAGTTAATATGCATAGTATCATGCAACTTGATATTGTATCGTTTTGGAAATATTAGTCTTACATAATACACACATACTGCCAGGCATTGTTCATGATGATAAAATCTTATTTATTTATTCCTTTTGTAAGAATAATTAATTTTTTTTGTTATTTTTAAGAATGTATTTACAGCCATTGTAGTTCTCAGCACACTGTTCAACTTTCAATCTTAATTGGTTCTAAGCCTTACATTTATGGTACAGAATGGCTTCCGTTCATTTCTTTATAAATTCACAACAAAATAATAAATCCAGGATGCACTATTTCTTCAGTAGTTAAACATTTGTCTTGCAGAAATTACCGTTACATTGCAAAAGTTCATCTGGGGAATATTTTGCATCGTGCTCGGCGGTCAGATGAAGCAGTGCTGGTTCTTCATGCTGCAATAGACCATTACCGTCACTCTCCAGTAGCACATATCACCCTTGGAAATGTTTATGCTACACTTGCCTTCTATAATGTGTAAGTCTGAAATTCTGGCACCCATTCTCTTTGTTACAAATTTATTTACACTGCTTTTGATACCCCCAGGTATTTTTTATTTGATTCTTGTTAGAGATGTTGCCCCTAACAATGGAAGGGGACCCATAGCCTCGGAGAAAAGCACACGCATCACATTAAAGGGGATTTTTAGGTCCCCTCCAATGCAGTTTCCATGTTATATATATGTATATATATATTTTATATAGAGGATCATGCACTCAGGGTTGGTAGACAATGTGCACCATCAGTCCAGCACACCAAAGATCTTTTCAACACATTTCATTTTGGGTTACACCAGCCTTGCAGCTGGTGTAAGACTAGGTAAGACTTAGTCTTCTGAACAAAGTGGGGATTTTGTGTCTGCTCGTTGGGATTTTTCTGTCGGTGCGTGTTTGCTCTGTGGTGCAGGTTTGTGTTCAGCTTCTTTTTATTGGTTGTATGAACTCGTGTGTTAGCTCTCCTTGGCTGCTGCTTTGCTGGGCTCTTGGGCATTTTCATCCTCTCTTGTTTCTGTTCTTTTGCAATGAGGCTGTCTGGGTTCTTCCACCATTCACAGCTAGCATTAGGGAGTGTCCTTCCTATTGTGTGAGGTTGCACATGCAGTTACCTGGGGGGATAGGTCATCCTTTTGGTCAGCTTGTATTATTAGCCGTAGACCTGCCTTTTCCTCTAGTGATTAGGGATAGTCTGGGTGGGCCAACTAACCATAAGTGAGATCAGTACTTGTGATCTCTCTGATGCTAAGCACAGCTTTAGGAGGCATTTTAGTTTATATGATTTGAGACTTTTTACAGAGCCTGTGAAGCTGGATTGTATTCACAAATGCCTTGCTGTTGTGCTGGTCCACTATGTCGACCAACATTGTGCATGATCCTGTTGTTGATGGTCTCAAAACTTTATTTAGGGTAGTAGTTAAATTTTCTGATCAGAAATGAGCTTATTTTTTCCAGGTCTGTGCTATGTTTTGAGAATGCACTGTACATGTCACCAGGTGACCAAAGTTTACGACGCAGAAAACATGCAGTTCTTTGTCATTCTAAGCTTGAAGCAGCTTTAGAAAATCAGCATCAGTAAGTAATTCTACTTGAAAATGGTTTTAATTTACAAATATTATTGCACCCCTTGTTATTTATTAGTAGTATTTTAGGGTATGTGAGTGGCTGAAATATTTTTTTATTTTGTGCATTTCATATTTTGTTTTGATGTACAGTATTTACAATTTTTGAATTGTTATGCCAAGTTTTTATTCAACACAGATCACTTCAACGCACTTTAGGAGAACTCAGAGATTATCAAAAACGCCATGAGGAATGGTTATCCCTCCAACAAAAGCTCCTATTAGAGCAAGCCACACCAGAGATGAAACTGGAATCAAGGTTGGAGTATGAAGAACAAAAAATCAGAGAGAGCACTGATGGGAGAGGTAAGGAGAAATAGTAATGTCAGCTCAGAGTCCATAAAAGTTATAAATAGGCTATGGTTGCTGGTTACTGGCCTTTTATGAAGTTAATTTACATTCACAGTGGAATAAATAAATAAAAATATTACATTATTTGGAAACACAGCACATGTGGCATGAATTGATATATGATAACTTAGAAATGATGAGAGGCAGAGTCTTGTTGTGTGGTGGGTGGCAGCCCTTCTGCCGCACCTTAAATACATATGACAAAATATATGTCTCATAACACCTGTTATTTATAATTTTAGTGTCATTAAACTTAATATTTATCCCATCTTTATCTTTATTTAAGGAGAAGCTGAAATATTAATATGTCTTTGGAAAATTTGAAAGCATTACATTATAGATGACATGTTGTGACAATTCTGTGCTGCACAAAGAAAACACTCCCTCATTATTATGTATGATGCAAAATTGGTTAGTTATTGCTCCTGGCATTAGAAAATGGTATATTTATAATAAAGTAGTATGGATGGATTGATATAACATGGTGAGAGCCAGTACTTGGTGGTCATGGCCTTTGATAGCCGATCAGCCACTTGCCCACTAACTCATTATTGCCGAGAATCACATACTGTATAGATATTCAGTATTTTTATGATTCTAATGATAATAAGTATATTATTTCTCACATTTTAAATTTATTAATTAAGGTGAGATAGCCTGGATAGGTTCCTTTGGCCTAGAAATAATGAAAATGTAACTCGGCAAATGACATTTTGCAATCGTACCTGTACCATAAACCCTCAGATAATGTGTTCCTTGTTTGTTTGAACAAGAAACAAGGTGCCAGGGAGTTGTCCAAGTGTTGTAAAGTTGCATCCTGGGGAGGATCAGTAGTTCAGTCTTGAGGACCTCGATATAGGCCTGACGTACATACATTCACAGGCTGCCTGTCGCTGACAAAATTAAATCAAAATGAATTATTTCTGATTGCCATATTCCTCATTTGCAAATTACACAATGCCTAAAGCACCAAAATTTTATTATCTCGTTTTAATGTGTAGATTTAGTCTTCATGTGTAAAGTAATTTAGGAAATAAGCAGTGAATGTGAGTAAGGAGAGGAAGAACACCTCTCCATATAAAGAATCTACATAACCCCGTTAAGCAATGAATGTTTTCAAATCTTAAGACTATAATAACGTTGACAAATATGACATGTTGATCTGCTCATGACCCACTTTTGGTTACCAACCTCCTGCCTTAGCTGGACACCAACATCATCCACCCCTGTGATAAGCAGCTCATTTCTTTGCAACTACTTAACATTGAGATCTGATGTTGATGTGCAAGGTAGCATGTTTTTTTTTTAAATTTTGCCTCGAGGGGTGAGTTTATTGGGCAGCGCCACTCATCTTGAGAGTGGACATGCCGCCATAGCAGCATGTACAACACTCCCCAATAGGAAGAAAACCCGCTGGGTTGTTCATCCTGTCACTTGTACCCCAGACACAGCTGGGACTTGCTTAACTGTCTCAAGTGAACAGCTCCTCAAACAAGAAGATTAACATCTATCAACCCTTAAAAGCTTACGTTATCTTGCGGGTGCAAAATGGGGGAATCTTTTAAGAACAGTATCAATATTTGACAAATAGTGTTTCCCTAACTCAAACTGGTGTATTGGAGATACCGTACTGTATAATAATTAGGTTTTTGTAGCTGGAGATCAGCCCTTGGGTTCTCATGGCAACAGTGTTTGGCCCACATCTTTTTGTTACCTAAAATGCAGTATTTTAGGTGTTTACCCCTCTGTCAGTCTATATGGTTTAAGAACCATTCATCCACCTAAAAAAACAAATTAAATAACTTATAAACCTTTATATTCAATGATTAATCAAAATGTTCTTCTGGCACACGCTGCAAATTACATATACAGTCATGCAAAAAGAAGCAATTCTAATTTGATTTTTAACTTTCTTTTTAGATAACTTTCACATTTCATCGTGTTATTTTAATATTTTTGAAGAGTTATTGGCATGTTTTTAGTTTAGTATATCCAGTGATGCAGATTGTATAGTATTTTTTTTTAGGTGTATTTGGCTAGTCACTGGAAATCGGCCAGAGATGGGAAGCCTTGCTTAAATGTAAAAATAATGCCAGCTCGTAATTCCTGAAAGATGTGAACACGTAATAGTTGTACAGCTCACAATCACCGAAAGTTATGAGATGGGTTCAGAATATTAGAAACTAGTCAAATTGTATTGAATTATTAGTTAGTATATTAAAGCATTACCTTGCTTGGACAGTCAAGAAACCCATTTAAAAATTCCTGATATTTATGCCAATATAACAAGCCTTTATCTAACACCAATAAATCTGTTTATAATAGCTGAGTAATCTCAGCCTAATGCATGTCCAAACAGCCATCTTAATCTGGTTGTTTTATGTTTGACTACAGTCACATCTCACTCTTTTGCACTTGGTGATCTGACTCACATCTTCAAGTTTCTTACCATGCAGAGAGTGCATATTCTCAGTTATCTATTAGTGCTTGTATCCCATATTGTAGTGCTGTATATACCTGTTAAATTCCTTGCTTTTCAATTGATGTATCCTCAGATATCTAGTCCACCAAACAGATAATGAATGTTATTAAATTTTGTTGAGTGCATAACTATTCACAGTTAACTGTGATGCTCTTACATGTTTAACTTGAAGACTGGGCAGAGAAGCTTCAGCCATGTACGTATTACAGGATGGGCACACCTCTTGTGCATAGACAAGCTTGATTTAGGTATGAATATTATATCTTGAGATGCTTACTGTGCCAAGTGTCTCCATTTTCCTTGTTTTACTCACTACCTTAGGGTATAAGGTACACCAGATACGCACACTGCTATAAAATTTATAATTTCATGCATTGAAAATTTGTCTGTTTAGTTTCACGTATTGATTCCTGTTTTTGAGTTTTTAATTAGCAGTTTTTAGTAAATTTCTTCTAGATTTTGTTTTACATGTAGACATGAAGTGTTTAACTGTGATGGTAGTTACAGTCTTGACACAACTCACTACAGTGTCTACTTTCTACTTTCTTGTAATTCTAAATTTGTCACCTTTCTGTAGAGCATTTTCCATGGTTTTAACTGATTCATTATATTTAATCTTAGTAATAGAGATGCACTTTTATGGCATAATATGTCAATTTTAATCTGCAGAAGTGTGTGTGTGTGTGTCAGTTCCACCTGAATTTGGTTACCAACAGTTTCTCATTTTCTAGTGTAATAATTTTTGTTGTCGATATGATTAGAATTAACTAGTGCATGTTCTTATTATACTGAATACGTTATACAGTATTTGATTTTTGAATGCATAGTTGAGCTAGCCTTATTTCTAACTCATATTCGTCTGTCATCTAACAGATAACCTCTTCCATCTGCCAGGCCAGGACTGTTTCCAGTACCAGCAGGATGGCCATACCTTCCTCAGCTGCAACATGCGGCGAGACCAGCTGGAGCAGCGGGGCTCTCCCTCGGAGCTGCTTCTGGACCTTCAGAGCCTCTTACATACTGTGGAGTCTGAGGCCCTCAGGCTTGGGCAACATGTGCTCAAGAGGAAACCACTATTAATATCGCAAGTCCCACAGATAATGCCTTTACACCCAACTAAGACTTATAGGTAAGAAATATTAGAGAACTAATTCTTACAGTAGAATATTTTTTAACTGCCACTTCAGATTCAGGTGGTCAGGTCATGATTTTTCACCTATTATAAAAATTTCCACTTTAAGATGCATTGAAAATATATACAGCTGTAAATGTATAATACAGGAATGAGAAACACAAAATTGAAGGGAGCATATGGCAGAAGAACTCCTTTACAAAACAAATACTGTACTGAAAATTTATTTGCACCATATACAAGACACTACTAGGAAAGAAAACATGCATACAAGTGAGAAGAAAGAAGAAACCTGAATGACATCATAGCCCTGATAACAATAGAGAACAAGAGGATAGTGGTGGTCATCGTGTACAGTTCTCTAGTGTACAGTGAGAGTCCTGGGCATTAGTGTGATGAATACAGCAGGATGAATTGAAGCATCATAGAGAGGGCTGCATAGTGGCATCTAGATAATGGGCTAAACTATAACCAAATGGGCACCATTTGATATAACTTGAATACATAAGTTGGGAATTGACAGACTGTTACTTGCTGTATTTCAGACTGGCCATGATTAATGATTTTAGTGAAAATGATGTAAATGATCCTGAAAGGATTAAGATACATAGTGTAGGCTAAATCATAAATCAAATAAAATTCCCATTATAATTACAGAATTTACCTAACTGATATTGTTTGTCAAAAGCATAAACTGTACTGTATACCACAATTTGAAAGTTCACTTCACCTGAAGAAATTGCTGTGGTTGTAGGTATTAAAAAGTATCTAAAGAAAACATGATTGACAAAAAGGCATAAATGATGACCACTGAAACCATTATAAGTTGAATGGTTGTTATACAAGTAGTGTCATGAACAATATTCAGCTCAACACTTTTAAATCTGGGCATCCAACAGCTAAGTTCTATATTATTCGCCAAGTTCATACAACAGTTCTCATATTTGATCTAAGGTAGACAGATCTGCCAATCTTTATGAAGGCAAATATATAAATTGAACTATGCTATGTAATCGGTGCAAGGGAAGTGAGCCATCGACCATGAGACTAACTTGTGTTCAGTAATCATAAAGGTTCATTCTAGTATTGTTCAATAAGTTAATATATGTGTGCAACACTTAATGCATCTCTATTATAAATATGATGCTTTCTACACAGACTAAAAAAAATTATCTCCTGTTTATACCTATTCTGTTCTTTTTATATAAGTTTTCTTCCTAGGAATGGTGGTACACCTGGTATACTGGATATGACATTAGGCGAAGGGTTTCCAACAGCAGAACAGTGTGAGAAAGCCCCATTGTTGCCACAGTGGGACGACTTTCCATCCGTGTTTCTCCCAGCTGAAAATAAAGGATTCTCGTAAGAATGACTCCTTCTATTTCTAGTCATTCTGCTTATCCATTCAATTATATCATGTTGTATTGAACTGTATGTAATGTGAGAGGAGTGATTTAGGAGCAGAAGTAGTTGGAAATGGCAAATTTATTTACAGATGGAAAGTTTGATGTGCTAGGCTTGTGTGTGTATGTGGAACAAAGATAAAAGTAATGAAAATGAATAGTGGAATAGAAAAAAATGTTATAAGAATAGGAGTGAAAGAAAATGAGGCATAAAGGAGTATACTTGCTAATAAAAATGGGGTAATTAAATACTTAGTGCCATCCAAAGTGCTTTTGTGTGAAATTGCATTTTTAAAGAGTAAAGGTGAGAATGAAAACTTTTTTAGCTAGCTTAGCTAGCTAAAATTGCTAATATCTTAGTTAGCCGAGACTGGTATAATAATCAGGAGTTATAGAATAATTGTAAGGAGTGATTGCATGATAAAGCAGGAATAGACCCTGATGGATGGACTTAAGAATAAATAACAATAAATGTAGATTGACAGATTTATGCCATTAAAGGGAGTTAATATCCTTTATTACAAATTATTATTATTTATAATTACAGTATGTATTACTAATATGTATTTAAAAATAGGAATATACATAAATATTCATTATACAGTGTAAATGATGGAAAAAGTACAAAACTGTTTTTTCTTTTTTAACTTTACTATGGTTGACCATGTACATAAGAACATAAGAATGAAAGTAACTGCAGAAGGCCTGTTGGCCCATACGAGGCAGCTCCTATTTATAACCACCCAATACCACTCATATACATGTCCAACCCACGCTTGGAAACAATCGAGGGACCCCACCTCCACCACGTTACGCGGCAATTGGTTCCACAAATCAACAACCCTGTTACCGAACCAGTATTTACCCAAATATGTTGAGATGGATAGTCAAGTTGAGTGTGATACTGTACAACAGCAGTGAGAGGAACATGAGGTTTGTATGATCGCATATTGGTGTTGTGTAAGGTGAATTTTAGTAGTGAAAGGGTGACTGTACCTCGCAAAGACCCAAGTAATAAAATAACATGTTGAGAAGTTGAATGAGAGGACTGGTAGGTGAGTAGAAAAGAATAGCTGGTAGTGTTGTTCAAATCTGTGAAAGGTTTCTGTATAGGAAGCGGAGGCTGTGTAACAAGTAACTAGGTTTGATATTATTATAAGTGTATACCAAGGCTGTGTGATTTTTGGTTATACACTATACATGAGTAATTGGAGAAAGTTAAATTTGATGTATGCAGATGGTTATTTTTTTTGTATATAAAATGTATATACAGTACAGTGCAGATTTAGGTTAGATTTAACATGTTAGTTACCATAATTCCTCTTGTGAACCCCTAGTAGTATGTTAGTTCCTTGTCTGGTTTATAGTTTGATGTACATTTTATGAAGCAAAGAAAGCATTTTGAGAGATTATAAACTGTATATATAATTTATTCAGAATATAAGAAGGCATTAGATTATTACTTTAAAAATCATTATAAGACTGCAGTATAACTTGTCCATGTTTATTTATTCTTTCATTTTGTATTCATAGTGTAGACCGTTTTCTGAGCGATGACATTGATGTGAGCTTCAATGAGGAGCACCCTTTACCGTGGCATCCACCTATCTGTGAGAGACTAGCAGATACCGTGGAGGGAATTGATGATATTCCTGGTATTAAGGAGCGGCACACACTTACAACACGTAATCGTGACCCTCATGCTGTCCCTTACTTAATGAAATATGGGTATCAAGGTGTGGAGGCTGAGATAGGGCAGCGTATCAGCAGTGCTATGAAAAGGGTAAGTTCTGGTGACCTTGTTTCATTATGCCAGTCATTTATGATATTTCAACAACAATTAAACAATTACTCGTCAAGCCAGATGTTGCATGCTCAGACTGATGTACTAACCATTTCCGAGTTATGTCAGTCAGTTACTCCTCAAGGCAAAACCTTTGACTTAGGACAGGTCTATTCCCAGTCATGGAAAATCATGAACTGAATTCTACTCTAACAGATAACCAGTGAACTGTATACAACTGTTCACCATAACAGGAAACATTTTCTGTACTTAATGGTAAAGTGTAGATATTTTACATTTTGTTCTTTCATTACAGGGTGTTGGACCCCAGTGGCTACTTTACAACTTGGCAGGTCTGTATTGGCGAGTTCATGGCAACCTCTATAATGGAGTGGAATGTTTACGACGTGCTGTTGCTACTGCACCAGATGAGTGGAGAGATGTTCCTCTGGTGAATATTGCAGCCTTGCTCTATACGGCCGGACATATTGATGATGCTTTAACTCTGACTCTCCAGGCTATGCAAGTTGCTGATCATGAGGTAAGTTTGGTTATATACCTGGGGTTTTAATAGTCTATTTCACATATTTATATGTAGTTTCCAAACAGCTGTTTCTAGTATTGTATACAAAATGATGCTGAATGAGTCTTCTTCAGCCAAAATTGCATGTTCTTTCAGGAAAAAGTGTTCTCATCTGAATACAAATTACATGCATAAGAGTATAACATGTTAAGAGTAATTTACAGACTCTTAACATGTTATGGGCAACAAATGCACAGTTGCCCTTGTGCATTTGTCTTCTAAAAAATAATTAAAATTTAGGATACAATACAGTATGTGGTTATCATTTAGTTAATAAGCTGTACTGCTGTACAAAATATAATGCACAAGGTTTAGGGCACTGGTCATTTGGCACCTGTTGCAAAAACTTATCTAGTGCCTACATCGTTGGCTAAAACTAAACCTAAAATATTTCTGGAATCTTTAGATAAGTGTATTTTAATTCAGTGCAAAAAGGTAGAAGGTACCAAAAAATTTAAGTTTTTGAAAGTTTGTGGGGTGCCAATTGGCTGAGGAGGCTTTCTACCCAATCCTTCGTCTTGAGCTTGCCTACTTGGTTTCCTTGTGGCTTGTGATGTGCCTTCTGTGTGGGCCCGGGTTTGGGTATTTTCTGCTATCGTGTTTCCTGGCAGCGGGTTTTTAGGCTTCTTGGGTTTTCCACCATGGCTGTTCTTTTGGGTTGTGCTTATCCTTTCTTTGTATCAAAGCTAGTTGGTCCCTCAGCGGTAGCTGTCTTTTGTTAATATTGACAGGACCACTTGAAAAGATATTTATCATGATGGGAATACTGTAATTGTATTTTTTTGTGGTTGTGTTGTTGAAATGTGCTTTTTATATATATTTATGATTCAAATCCAGATAAGCCCAAGGCCTCTTTATGATAGAATGAAAGTGTAGCTAAGGTGGGCTGCAGTGTAAATGTATCTGACCCACCAGTAGAGGGAAAGGATATATCTGTGTTGTTCATGAAATTGATAACTTAGGAAGCTGAAGCCATTAAGTCTTATACTGTACCTTTACATTTTTAAATTGGTAACCTTCTTGTTAATTATAGTAATAACCTTGTTTCCCTTCCCCCCAGCCTGAAACAAATTTTTTATTGGCCAATTTGTACTGTGGAAAGGGAAATTTGACTGGAGCATGGCATCATTATGAACGAGTCTTAGCCGCCTCACCCAACCACTCCTCTGCTCTCCAGTTTCTCACGGCCCTTGCGTGTCACACTCGACCTCCACATTCCATACGGCCATTACCTACATGTCAAAACCAGGTAATATAAATTTGTTATTTTTTCATTATACTGTATTAAATTTCTTGACATCTTTAGACTAATTATTCATTATGCCCCCATTCCCCTTTTGTTATAGAAACCTGAGAGAAATTAATTATTCTTTTGAGTTTCATCTATTTTATTCAACACTTCTAATACTATAGCAATAAAGGTTTGACAAACTCTGCTTAATATGTTATTGTCACTGTAGTATGTTGGATTTGTGTGACACTTTTTCCGTGTTGGTCTAGTGATAAGGTTTGCAGCCACCTTACCATTCATAAATGTATCTCATGACGAGTTCCTCATGCTCAAACATTTATTTTCATGCCAGAAGTATTCAGCGTATTGAATCTTGCAGGGTGGAGTTGAGGACGGTGTATGTACTACAGATGGCGGCTGTCAAGACTCGACGGGTGCTGCATCTACTGAAGAGAAAAGTAAGTTACATACAGTATAGCAATATCGGCACTTGTTATTAGCGCCTTTCATTCAATAATTATATTTGGGCCAAACTTTTACTAGAAACAGGTGTATTTGGCTTCCATATACAGTGTGTCTGCTTCTCTCTTTGTATGTTATAACGTTTATGACTGGTGATGACTCCAGCCTTTTCAAAGTTGGGAGAGGAAGGGTTGGCAGAGAAATGGGCTTATCTTATGATTATCAAAGTTACCATGGTGTGTTGTGATATTACCATACTGGTCCATGGTGTGTTGTGATATTACCATACTGGTCCATGGTGTGTTGTGATATTACCATACTGGTCCATGGTGTGTTGTGATATTACCATACTGGTCCATGGTGTGATATTACCATACTGGACAATGGTGTGTTGTGATATTACCATACTGGACCATAGTGTGTTGTGATATTACCATACTGGACCATGGTGTGTTGTGATATTACCATACTGGACCATAGTGTGTTGTGATATTACCATACTGGTCCATGGTGTGTTGTGATATTACCATACTGGACCATAGTGTGTTGTGATATTACCATACTGGACAATGGTGTGTTGTGATATTACCATACTGGACCATAGTGTGTTGTGATATTACCATACTGGACCATGGTGTGTTGTGATATTGCCATACTGGACTGTGGTGTGTTGTGATATTACCATACTGGTCCATGGTGTGATATCTCCATACTGGTCCATACTGACTGGTTACTGACTAACAACTGAAAAAAATAAAGCCAAACTATTGTAAACATGAATGATATGCAAAAATAGTGGGAAAAAAAAGCACATATGACCTTAGGCCACCTTAATATTACTAAATATTTAACTTGTGTAGTATTTGCATATAAAAGGATACATAAAACTCGTATTATATTTTCATAATAAGTTTATTAAAACATAGCAGGTACACAATAACATATTTATACTCTACTTGCTGCACTACTTATTGGGTGAGGCATTATCTGCTTATATGACCATGTTGTAGATCTTGCCAACCACTATAACTGATACAAAATATTGAATACAGTATTTGTTATCTTGCAATTTGCAATATGTTGTCGTTGGAGAAAATTTGAGACTTTTTGCCTTTACCTGTAAAGTGTTTACACTTGAAATAAGTACTATTTTCTAATAAGAGAATTATAAAATATCTAGTAATAATCCCAATTTTTTAGTTTCTTCAAGACAAATACAAACTTGTGTAATTTGTTTATCAGCATTAGCAGGATTAATGACATTGTCTCTTGTAACATTTAGGTCCTTCACATGTTCAGTATAAATATGGAACATAGTGATGTACTACATTCATGCTATACTTGGGCAGGTGATGTGGACGATGTTATTAGCTTAGATCTTGAAAATGAAGCCGAGGAGGAGACAGAGGCTGAGGCCAGCCCTACACTACCACAGCCAGAGTTGACAGAAGAAGAAAATCTAAAGGACCTTGGCAATCCACAAGGACCAGAAGCAAAGGTAAAATCATGCTGATATCATTTTGCACTTTATCAACACACTGATATCTCTACCTCTTAATTTGCTCTTCCACCTTAAGCTAGTTGCAATCATTTTTTATACAGTTTTTCAAATGGCCATGTTAACTCATAAAATTTACATGCCAGAATATTTCTTTACTATTTTCCCATAAAATGTTAGATGGAACAAGCACAGATCAGTGCCTTGTTCCAATCTTGAGGTTATCTTGAGATGATTTCGGGGCTTTTTAGTGTCCCCGCGGCCCGGTCCTCGACCAGGCCTCCACCCCCAGGAAGCCGCCCGTGACAGCTGACTAACACCCAGGTACCTATTTTACTACTAGGTAACAGGGGCATAGGGTGAAAGAAACTCTGCCCATTGTTTCTCGCCGGCGCCTGGGATCGAACCCAGGACCACAGGATCACAAGTCTCGCTTGCTGTCCGCTCGGCCGACCGGCTCCTTTCGTGTCAATCTCTGCCAGAACACTACATCACTGGCACTTTTTGTCAAGTGACCTCTCTAGCACCACAAGTGCTTATATCCTCACTCACAAAATGCTTTCACTTCACATGATCCATATTTGGTCTCTTTCAATAGCTTCTGTAATTTTCCTTGGGAAGAACTTTCTCAGGTCTTTAATCAACCAGTATCTTGGCTTTTACACTATTGTCAACACTGTGCTTCCTTCATAATAGAGTAAAAGTAAAATACATTATGTATGTATATATTGTATTTAAAAATAAATTATATAAATGTAAAATATCTACATATTTTAATTCCCCCATAGTTCCATGGATCAGTCAAGATATTGCTTGTACCTTCTTTGTTTTAATCATTAATCAATTTACACCAATTTAAATGTATCTTCATTGTTTTGCACATAAAGTATCTCCAACATTTAAAAGTTCATGCACAGAGCATCTAACTCTAGACATTAGAATTGACTTGTATAAAAAATACTGCTCATTATTACTACTACTTCTCTGTCTAATATTTACAGGCTGGATTGCCTAATAAACAAATTCATGTTCGCATTGGACTGGGTACTGAAGATTCAACTGCAACCTACACTGCTGCTGATGCCGAGAGTGCCTCAAATCCAGACACTCCTGTCATAGAGGATGATCCATTACCAGATGTGCTGCTGCGGGTGAGGGAGAGAGTTGCCTCTCCCCCTCCGCCACCACATGTTTGTGATCGTGCTAACAAACTGAGTGAAGTCAAACATTTCACATCTACTTGGCTGTCTGTTTCAGCAAAGAATATAGAGTAAGTTTTTTTGTGTTTTTATTTTATTTATGGAGACAAGTTTATGAGCTAATTTTTCACATCGGTGTCCAGAACTTTTATATTCTGAACTGGTAATGACATGAGATTCAGTTGGTTTAATATTTGCTATATTATTTTGTCCGTCTGTGTATCCAAAACACCAACGTGTTAGAATCATTACCTGTATTGGTCATAAACTTGAGGGCAAATGGATCTTTTGAGTAATTTTCTTCTATTTTGTCTAGAAAATTTTCAGATGCATTGGTTTTCTGGTGAGCTTCTATTTCTGAAAATGGGTGATGTTTGTGCATTTCCTGTTTTATGTCAATTGACAAGGATAGTGATAGTTAAAATTTAGCCTGTCTTTTCAGAGCTTACTTAAATTCCACACATTAAATACCCAATGACAGATTACTGAGAAAAAGGTAGTCATATATAGACCAAACTGGAATATTTAACAGGGAAAACAGTGAAAGCTAAATTCTTACAGGGTAGTTTATATGATTTAATATTTTAGAAAGAACTTCTGGGGTTACTTACTCAAGTTTTGTACAAGTCCAGAAATTGAGTTCTCATACTGCAGTCACAAAGTATACCCTAAGTAACTGTATACCAGAATCCAGACTGGCAACTTTCACTCCCTCACCAGAGATGCCATCCTTCCTTTAGAGAGGCTCAGTTTAATACCCTCTCTATGAGTCACTCGTGCATCTTATAGATTCGTATAGTCTTATATCACAGGCTTTTTAATCTCAAATTACTGTACACCCACAATGTAAACATTCAACACACTAGTTACCATCACACTCCATTTCTAAGCTGGCCTAGCTCTTAAAATATAATTGTGTACTTTCCAAAGAATTAAAATGAATGAAAATAAAATAATAAGGAACATGAAAAGTGTACTTTATTAAAGTGTCCCCATAAGAAAATGCCAAAATCATGCGAGGACAAATTTAAATTTTTCATACAAAAAAATATAAATAAATATAATACTTGTCTTCAGTGCAAACCCACATTGGAGGGATACCTTATCTGCTGAACTGAGTGATGAACAACCATAACCAGATCAGATTTCTTCCACTGTATCTAAAATTCTGTTGCATCCAGATCTGGATCAGCAGACCTCAATGTACTGTTTATGCACACGTACAGTATGTTGAATATGCAAGTTATTTTGTATTATTTTTCTACAGTATATCAGAGTACCTTGTGGCAAGTCCAGCAGTTGGCACTGCTCTTGAGGAACCTATATGTAGAGGAGACTTGCCAGCCTCCATGCATACCTTAGATCATTTGGCTGGTATCAGACACCGTCATCTCCTTCCACACTTTCCTGAAATGGGGCTGAGGGAAGCCTTGCAAACTCTCACTGATCGTACTCCTGTGTCTGTTGACCTAATGGCAACAAGAATTGCAAGATCTCTTCAGAAGGTAATTACTGTAGGGGTGTGTTATTAATACCTTCATCAAAGTGCTCTTCATGTTAATTCATTGAGGGGTTTAGTAAAGAACTACAGTATTACTGAACATAAGATATGTGCAGACTGCATGTGATGAATTAGTAATAAAGTCATTAATCAATAATATTTCAGGTACCTTGGCGAGAAATATAAGTATGAACTGTGAACAATGAAGATTATATATCATCCATTGAAATAATATTCATTAATTAAAGCTATTTTATAATAGTCTCATAGTACAATTGGCTTAACTCTTGACTTACCTGGAAATCAAATGCAGGATCCCGGACTGGGAGGCACAAATTATTGGGTATGATTCCTTTTGCCTAATGGCCAATGCCATGGGCCCTCCTACACTTGTATCCAAATGGGCAAAAATGTCCTTGCCAGCCACCCATCACGCCTTGAGGGCACACTTGAAGCCCACCAAGGCCTGCCACTTTTCAGCAGAGCTGGTGCCAGACACCATCTCCTCACCCAAAGAACCAGCCAGAAAATGGGACAAATCTATAAATTTCCCCAAGATCCCAGGTGATAAGTGCAGTAGGCATCATAACAATCCAGACCATTGAATAGGAATGCCAAATGGTAGTATCAAGACCCCAGTGGGTAAAATTTCATCATGTGTTCTCGTAGCCCACAAGTGGAGCAGGTGTCCAGACGTTTGCTTGTCATCAAGGTTGAACCAGTTGTTGTCAGGCAACAAAACTGTTGTGGGGTTTTTATCCTGGGGAGGATCAGTAGCCTGTCCTCATCAACAAAGGCCAAATACTTGTTAATCCCAGCTGTCAAAGCCCCTATTTATGAATGAGAAATGGTTTACACACAACCGACAACTGATGTTCCAACATTTCTCGAACAATGCTTCACTGATCTCTGTTTGAATCACAGCTCTGTAATTGCTTTACCCATGTCCTACAAACACAAATAATTGCCAAATGAACTAAATTGTCCCTGATAAAACAAATTTAAAACAATAAAGTTCGAGTGATTTCAGTTTCTAATTTTCACTTTTCTGTACTTACTGTATTTTTAAGGCTTCATACATTACTAAATGTGCCACCACATTTAGTTATACAGGTTGATTGACAGTTCAATTAACTAACCTTATTTCCAGAATGAAACGTCTTGGGTGGTTGCAACAGCAGCAGCTTTATACTGGCGAGTGGTGGGCAGCGGAGAACGAGCAGTGGATTGCTTGAGACATACACTGCATCATGCTCCGAGGCACATGAAAGATATCCCTCTTATATCTCTCGCCAACATTCTGCACAGGTAAATTCTTTCATTAGTTTATACATTTTTAGCATAATAGAGGTAGTAAAAATCATAGTGATGAAAGAATTTTGTGGATTTTGCTGTAAACCAGTTGGCTAATGGTGTTACAGAGAAAACTAGAAGAGTAAGGCTTAAGATGAGCTATGGAGCCGGTCGGCCGAGCGGACAGCACGCGGGACTTGTGATCCTGTGGTCCTGGGTTCGATCCCAGGCGCCGGCGAGAAACATTGGGCAGAGTTTCTTTCACCCTATGCCCCTGTTACCTAGCAGTAAATAGGTACCTGGGTGTTAGTCAGCTGTCACGGGCTGCTTCCTGGGGGTGGAGGCCTGGTCGAAGACCGGGCCGCGGGGACACTAAAGCCCCGAAATCATCTCAAGATAATCTCAAGATGGAAAGGAAGAGCCCTAAGCCTGCTAACATTTGTCAGAAGTTATCTGCTCCTATACCTTCTTGTGGCTAGTTGATCTATGGCCTCACAAGCTTCCCTACTCCATAGCGGGAATAAGATTCTGTTTCTTGCTCCTGACTGGTCTAAAGTCATAGGTGCCTGGTGAATCGGTATTGGCCCTGGGGTACCAGCGCAGTAAGGGGAATTACAGCACAGTACTGAGGGGGCTGCCCAGGAAATGGCATTTTAATAAACCCAACATTATTGTACCCTAGATCATTGGTAGTACAATGATACCTTATTGTACTACCAACACTGTATACCTTATAAATTGGTAGTACAATAGGTCTTACAGTACTGTATCTGTATTAATAATAGAGCAAATAAAAAATACTTCATAGAACAACCTGTGCCCTGATCGAGATAATCAAATTGTCCAGTTGTGAAACTTTTCAAAATATAAGTTAGAAGTTTTCTAACTCCTAACTTACTATATCACTATACCACTACTTACTATATCAAGTGATTGGATTTCCTCTAGCTAGGAATTTTTATCAATTATTAAAAGGATTATGACATTACTGTAATGTCAACTAGTAATACTAACCATAGAGATCTGGCAAGCAATCTTAGATTAATTGGTAAATAGGTCCATATATAAATAAGTTTGGGTGGATATAAATAGGAGCTACCTTGTATGGGCCAGTAGGCCTTCTTTAGTTTCCTGATATGGTAGTAATTATTTGAACATAATAATAGTTGTAAAAACACTTGCATAATAAGTACTGTATACATATGGAATTTTATACCATGATCATTAACGCATTGGCATAGTAACATTTGCAGTAATAACCGCATTTGCATAGTAAGCAATCGTGAAATGATAGCAGGATTTTTTCATGAGCCAGGGTAAACTCCACTACATCCATATAGAGCTATTATATCCATATAAGGAATCATTAAAATAAAACCCAGACAATAATAGTTGAAATCAATGTATGATAACTGCATTGCCCCCCATAATCAACATATGATAATAACTGCATTTTTGGGGCTAAACATCTATATAACAGCAGTCAATCCCGGTATCGGGTTCTCCCCCAACCATATTTAGGTCCAATATTTGGTTGTTCACTGTTTAACCTAGAAAGCTAAATTCCGTGACCAGTATTTACAGCAAGTAAATTTAGTTTGTTATATTTCAGATATTATATAAATTTGTCATTCTCTTTCTATTGAAGCTTGTATTTTCATATTTCCAGAGCGGGTCTTTACAACAATGCTCTAGTTGTTGCAAACATGGCATTGGAAATTTCACCAAAGTTTGTCGTCATCCATTTTACTATGGCAAATATATATGCTGCTAAGGTAAGTCAATTCAAAAATATGATTTGTAGTAAGTTTTGAGTAGCAAAGTACTGTAAATTCATTCAATTTAATCAGATTTTGGTAATAAGTACATAGACATCTAGTATTATGATATTTAACACTTTCATTGTTCCAACGGCGACTCGCCGTGCACCTCAAGGTAGCTCGAGCGTTGCCAGAGCTCACCACTCCAATGTTTATTCTCTGTTCATCTTTCTCAACTCAATTTCCGTGATATATTGTTCAATTTAGTATCAAATTGTTCGCAGTAAATGCTGTAAAGGGATATATATGCAAATAAGTCTCACTTTTCTATACTTTCGACAAAAACTCTAACTTTTCCCTCAAACGTGTTTCTTTCAATGCTTTAGTCATGGATTGGTTCTGTTCTTGATCAGTATCCATCTGAAAGTCAATTTGCAGTATTTATAAAGCCGGTAACAACAAATACCCGAGATAAAATAACCGGTATGAAAAAACTTTTCAACTCGAGGGAAGGCCGCAGCTGTCACGAGTGAGGTCATGAGAACAGTGACCTCCAGCGTAGGTGGGCGTTCACACGGCGGGGTTAGGATGCCACGTGGGGTATACAGAGCATGGGCAGAAGTTGGTGCACATTTTCAAACATGTCCCATAGTACTAGGACAATAAATGGAATTTCTACAATTTTTTTCATTTTAATGACGCTGTTTGCGTCATCACGTATACTCCGTATTTTGGTTCCGTGACAGAATATGTGGCATCAGGCAAAAAGTGTTAACACTTGTCACGTTAAAGTCTACCTTAAACCATGTGCTCTGAATTTTGGTGTTAAAACTGAATTGTGTAGATGCAGTTATGCTACTAAATTGAACAGATAAAGAACAACTTATTCAACAGGATTCAAAATCTGTACTTTGAAACACACAATCAACAAAATTAACTTCATAATATTAAACAATTCAATCCATAGAACATATAAGATTCATTTTAAGCAGTCTTTGCTTTCACCAGTACAGTATTACAATATTTATAAATGAATTATTTTATTTAATACTGGAAGTTTGACTAAAAAATGGTCAATAATCATTTAGAATTGTGAATGCTTGTGTTGTGTTTGACTCCAGTATGCAGTCAAGACACTATTGAGCACTATTTAAAAAAACATTCATATGAATATGGTTTTTGAATACCCATTTCTTTATTTATGTAATTGTACAAATAAAGCATGTTAAATGGCAAACAAAAACATATTTAATAAAAGAATATTTGTGAAGCTACACAAAAAATAGGCATCTCAACATACTGTATTCTTCTCTCTTTGCAGGGTGATCTGGAGAAAGCAACAGCATTTTATCAATCTACTTTAGCTCTTCAGTCTTCTTTTGAGCCAGCTAGGGATAGACTACGAGCTATTCAATGTGCTACTCTTAGTGAAGAGATCTCCGTGAAAAATTCATAAGTGACTTTTTAACCCCAGATAAGCAAGAATTATTGAATGTGCCAGAGGTGTCGTAAGTAGCAGCTGAATGTGAAAAAAAACTTAACTACAATGTTGTAAGATCATCTGTATAAGACATGCATATACTTTTTACTATTAAGTAATTAAATTTGAAGTATTATTAAAAAAAAATATGCATGAACTGACAAAAAAAAATGTTTGAGAGATGAACAAATCCACAAGGGCCGTGACGAGGATTCGAACCTGCGTCCAGAATGTTGTTTGAGAGATACTTTGAAAGAAAACAAGTGGAGCTAATGAATGGGAGCCATATAATAATTACAGGCAATGGTGGATTAACACACCAACCAGTTTTGAAGATGGGAGTATATGTGTTATACAGTAATGCTTTTTATATATGCATATTTGTATGGCAATAATAAATGTGATGACTATAATAAGCATGTGATTAAAAACAGGTGAAAACTAAAGATCTTGGATATTGGAAATAATTTAAACCGACAGAAAAATTTGTATAAAAATGACAAAATTTAAATACGATAAAGTATCTAGTTTTTCGTATTTAAATTTCCGGTGTACAGTACAGTATATACAGTATATCAGTACTTGTACTTATCAAATTGCCAGCCTTTAAATATGAACAAATTGATGACTGGTGGTATCAACCAGGTATCAATGGTCAACCAGGACTATCTTCGGGGCAGTTAAGAAGCATGTGATCAGTTCAGGTACAGTACTGGTTATATATTTTTTAAGAGCAACACCACTGTCAAACATTACTATATATTGAAATGTTATATTTTTGTGACATCAAAGTCTTGTGCAAATGGTTTACCCAATTCATGGATTTACAGCATTCATAAGTGGAAATGTTGTTATGAATACAAATATCACAAGAATATCATAATACTGCCACTTTGCATGCAATATTCCATGTCATTGTATACATAAATTGGTTACACAGGGTCAAGGCTCCAAAGGATTCAGTTATTGTATTGGTATTCTAGTCACTTTGATTGTTATGGCCCAGTGAATATTTCCATGTGACGTAAATTTAACTGAAAATTTACTAAAATGTCTTAAGTTTTGTGTAGTGTAATTTATTATAAACTCAATACTCAATTAGCACAAATGTTTTATACTCATGAGCAAAATCTAAACTAAGTACATAATGCATTATAATATTTTTGTAATGAAAATGCATTTACTTTTATTACACCATTGAAAATCTTTGGTGAAAAACAATTTCCCTAATGTTACAACATTACTAAAGTGCTGCATTTGATATCTGGGAAAAGTAACACTTATAATGATGGCCAGTATCAGAATGGGGGAGTATTACAATACACAGTAGCCATGTGCAAACAAATTAGTTGTACCAAGTCACTACAATATACCATAAGCAGCCTTCACAATGGTATACTATAGCATTAAACAGCTGTGACTTGTTTACTTGACCTCATTTAACAAGACTGTCCACAGTTTGCACAGGGCTGATATATAATAAAGAATTGTCATTATCAAATTGGGGGGACGAGTGGGGGAGGGAAGGTAATATTTGAATTGATACGACAATATTATAAGCATACCAGACAGTTTGAAGTGGCATAAGCAGGAAGCTTGGTTAAACTAAACCCAAATCTGTCACTTGGTATGAAGCAATTTTATGTTATAGTTAGAATTTACATAAATAAAATATATTTTGAATAATTATGTTGTAGTATTTAATCTCCTAAATTGTGAATTATATGCATTTGTTAAGCTTTATTTTTCTTCGCATGTGTCGAACATTTTAATATACTTTGTGTTAATACAGTTAGCTATTAAAACTCATTAAAAATATTGTCTATTTGAATTTGTCTCTTAATCTTAGCATTTTCTGTATGAAAACTGTATGAGGCTATTGTAACATAGTAACAAATTATATGAGATATCTGTACAAATGATTAAGCTTTAAAATGTGCATGTAAAAGTGCCTTATTGAAAAAACCTGCTGGCTTGTTCTCTAAGGTAAAATTACATTGATGGAAAAGAAAATCATGGTGTAAGACAGGAAGATATTTTGTGTGTTGGTGTCATGGGAAACTTTTGAAATGTCCCTATAGAGTCATACAGTATACTTTCTCTTCCCACCACCAACAGGTGGCAGCACATGTTCCACAACATGGTTTACCTCAAGTAAAGAACTATGAAAGTATTTAGAACAAAGATTTGTAAGCACACACATACAAAATAAAGCATAATACAGTACTGTATATTAGCAAGAGCTAATGACAGGAAGAATCTGATTAGCTCGGTGAGATGGACTATGTTGAGGAGCAGCTGCTGCTACTTAAGGGGTCAACTTAATTAATTTGGGCACTCAGTGGCAATCTCAAAGCTGCCAAGGAGGGCTTACAGATGCTTCGATCGAATATAATTTGAAACCCTCTACAACTTTAGCTGGGTAATCTGTAGTCCTCCCTAGTATTACTATGACCAATTGAATCTGCAGACACATTTGGAAAACTTCTAGTTACACCAATACCTAGAATGTTGCCCTGCTTGAATGCATGATTTGCTCTTCCATATGACGGTGAAATCTTGCTGTATGAGGTAACTCCAAAATTATTTTCTCAATTGATGTTACATATCTTTTTTGTTAAGTTAAATTCTAAAGTGTCTAAAAGTGTGTGTTAAGCCATGATATATCATATTAAATCCTGTAAGTGGGTATGCTAAACCATGATGTCCTAATGTGTTAAATTTTTTTCAAAATGTGCTAAATCATGTCCTAATGTATGGCAAATCATGTTCAGTGGGTATGCTAGGTGTGCTTTTGTACGGACCAATTTCAGCCTTGACCATTCCAGACTGTACACTGAACTTGTAAATCTTAAATTAATATCCTTGGTGATTATATAAATGATTTGTACAGTCATCAACATCATTACAGTAATTAGATGTAATTGCTTCATTCATGGTGTATTGCAGTATTATGTGCAATGTCACAAATATTGGTACAACTAATAATGTATAATATGAAACTTCAGTACGTTTGTAAATATTTATCATATTTGAATCATCTAGTCAATACTTGCCATCAATTTCTCTGTATTATAGGTCACAATTCAATTTTTTAACTTTGCTCAATTCTTTTTATTTTACTTTCCTAAAATAAAGTATTCTGTATATCCAGTACACAATCATGTAAAAAAGTTTTTATGGATACTATTATAAATGATACACTAGAAGACTTGTCCAATTGAAATATGTCTGTTTTGCTTACCTTACTGATTACCAAAGTCCAGGACAGGAAGTCCAATTAAGCTTACCAAGGTCCCACTTCCCCTACCCCTAAGTGGGGGAAGTTACCACTTCCTACTGACCTTCCCCACAATAGTTGGCTAACTACACTATACAGTACTACACTACAATAGGTATGCAGGAGTTGCCTAACTCCTGCATACCTATTTACTGCTAGGTGAACAGGAGGCATCAGCTGAAAATAAATGTTGCTCAAAGGCGACTTTCCTACCTCAAAAATAATTATTGCTCAAAGGCGACTTTCCTACTGCAGGAATTAAACCCGGAACCTCTTGGCTGTGTTGTATGGCACAGTAGTAACCACTGTGGTACCGCTGTGCCACAGAACCCTGTAGCCGATAGGCAAATAATAATGAAGCAACACCTTATTGTTTTGTCATTTTATTCTATTAGGTCATAATTTGTATTTCTTCCTTGAGGTTTGAATTCATCTTATTAATACATTATATGCTTCTTCACACTGGCTTGAAACTTAAAATGATTATGTTTGAACAAAAGTGAATGTAAATATCAAAAGATGCCCATCCAGGAAGACTATTTAGAACTGTCTGGCACAAAATAAAAAAAATAAAAAATATTCATGGATATTCAAAATACCAGTACAGGTATGAGGTCAAAAAGACAAAATGAACTGTGTCAAAGGTATCAGCTTTATCCACCATTCAAGGCCAACTGACTCGGAGACACTGGGGGTGCAAGATTTCCAATTATCCTAATAAGTCAGAACATTGTAAGAAATTGATGACTGTAAGCAGGACAATACAGTTCAGACAGTATAACACAGGTTTTTGTTCCATTAACTGGCTATAAGTTATTCATGTATGGGCAATACATAACCTAGCCAGAGCCATTTCCCACCTGTTACGGTGGTAAAAGCAAGGTCATAGAGATTATGAACTATTAAATGTGCCCTGTTTGTTATTCATAACTTTTAACCATCTAGCCTTCCAATTAGTGCTGATAACAAAGTAGAAATTAAGTAAGAAAATAATTTTCTGAGATGGGACATTCATGAATGGCTTCTTTAGCAGCAGTGTCCATAAGGTCATTAGAGTTAACATCAATATGGCTAGGGGCTAAACAAAATTTGACTTTCTTATATCTACTAAAGATGAAGAACAGCTAGTGCTGGATTTCAATTACTACAGGATTGGAAGGGTTGAAAGATTAGGGCCATAATGGTACTCGAGTTAACCACAATAACAAATGAACATTAACACAAAAACTGCTAACCTACACAAATTTCATGAATCTCTACCATGAAAAATGCTTGGCTCTAGTGTTGCAAGTCTTCTCCGTGGAGATCAGAGCTCTACAATACTTTAGAAACGGGACCCTCTACAGAAGAGGGGTAAGAATAATACAAGGGGGAAGGGGGGGATACATTATGAACATATACCAAAAGAATGAGAAACCTGCAAACATGCCATCCTTGTAGTAAATGATAGTAGAAGGAACAAGGCCTTCAAGATGGGCTGTAGTCAAGATACAACACAAGTGGGAACAGGGATGTTATAGGGACAGTGCAAAGTAATGAAGACAATATAGATTGCATTAATAATATAATGACTGTTTGGTACATAAGTTTGGGATAGGGAATGAACAAAAGGCACCAGAGATATAAGTATAGAGTGGGGGCGCTATGTATGCCAAGTACCTTGACGTCCTTGAGACGCCATATTGAAATTCCTACAGTACAACTTTAGGAAAGCGTAAAATAAAGTTTGTATGTATATTTGTATGTATATTTATCCTGCACCCCTCCCCCTTCCCTTCCAGTGGGTAGCGGTGGATAGGTTACAATCACTCAGTTACTACCTACAGTTAGCGAACTGGGGATATTTGGCTAAGATTTCTGGCAGCAGATCATTTTGAATGAAATATTTACACATCTCTGGAACATTTGTTATAGAATTGTCTCTGAATTCACGTATCTTTTCGCACCCTATCACATAGTGACGGAGTGTGTGCGAATAATTTTGTATAAACATATCAATTGTGACACTAGCTATCTACATATATCAGTTGCTTAATTTAGAGACTGAACTTGTGGTCGATCTCGAGCCCATTGTTGACATAACGATGTGTATTGAATTTTGTAACTAGCTCACCAAGATTGTAACCTGCTCAGCTAAATGAAGTATGCAGAGGGGGAGGGAGCCGGTCGGCCGAGCGGACAGCACGCTGGACTTGTGATCCTCTGGTCCCGGGTTCGATTCCGGGCGCCGGCGAGAAACAATGGGCAGGGTTTCTTTCACCCACCTATGCCCCTGTTACCTAGCAGTAAAATAAGTACCTGGGTGTTAGTCAGCTGTCACGGGCTGCTTCCTGGGGGTGGAGGCCTGGTCGAGGACCGGGCCGCGGGGACACTAAAGCCCCGAAATCATCTCAAGATAACCTCAAGATAACCAAGATGCATAGGTTCAGTCCCTGAGCCCATTATATGCCTCTGTAACCCTTTCCACTACCGCCCACAGGATGAGTATGGGGTGCATAATAAATGAACGAAGCTAACTATGTGTTATAGGCATCTTCAAGAAGTCTTATATCTAGACATGAATATCATTCATTATATAACAAACGAGTTACATATATACCAGAATTTACCAGGGGCCACGCCGTTAAAAGTATCCCCATTTTTATTTATAATTTTTTTCAGCTGGATTTTGAACTGAGTATCGTTTTGTCATTTACGGCTTCAGCGGGTAGGCGGTTTCATGGGTTTATAACCTCTATGGCTGAAAAAAAAACATGAAGCTTGACAAGCCTACATTGGGGCTTGTCGAGCTTGAAGCTGCTGTCACTTGTACGTGTTAAATTAGACATTTTAAAGATAAAGACAAGAAAATGAACTTATTCAAAATATGGAAGATTGTTATCAACAAAATATGGAAGATTGTTATCAACAATATACAACTCTCTGCGTCGAAAGTATTCATGAGGACACTGTCGAGAATATAGAGATTAGTACAGAGCAAAAGTAACGGGGACAGGGAAAGCAAGGCTCATGGACTTAAGAAATTTAAATATTGCAATGATAAGCAAGTCCAGGGATGGGTGGGAATGTTAAGATGCGCACTCAAAGAATGGTTAAAATGGAATGAGGAGGAAGAAGAAGAAGAAGGAGGAGAAGGAGGAAAAGAAGAAGCAGCAGCATCACAAGCTACTCATGCCCCTGCCACTTCTTGGATGGGGGACGTCAGTTACAGCCCCGCTCCTGCCCCAGGTAAGTCTACTGCGGGCTCACCATAGCCCGTGGTACTTGGAACTTTTTGTTCCGAATAGCTGAATCTAAAACAACAACAACAATAGCAGCAGTGCAGTAATTACACAAACATTATATGTTCAAGTAATTCTTACTCGAATATACAATGTAAGAACATACACTGAAAACTTGAAACACTTCCTTTCACATATATAAGGGTCCCGGAAGTACAGTCGAATTCGTTCTCGATTCACAATCGGAAATTTCGTGTTCGAATCCCAGGCGGGGCAGAAATGATTGCCCACGTTGGTTGAGCTGGAATTTTAGGATGAAGTTTTTAATTTCAAGTTGCAGATTGATTGATGAAGATTAAGCCACCCAAAAGGTGGCACGGGCATGAATAGCCCGTAAGTGGTGGGTGGTCCTTTTGAGCCATCACCAGTATCAATAGCTGATACTGGAGATCTGTGGAGGTGCGACTGCACCCTACGTGATGGAAGATGTCTCCCGTGTAAAGGTATAATACACAAGTTTTAAATATCAGAATTTTTTTCAGGTTTATTAAACAATATAGATTTTATACAAAATTTTAAAATCTTGTGAGTTACTTTACAATTTATTGATATATTTTAGTTTTGTTTTATTAATTTTATAAAACTGTCATATCAATATAGCTATAGGTTTAATTAGTACTAACTGTAATTAAGAAGCAATAAAATTATTATTTTTAAAAACTAAGATGGTTATGTGAGGGTGTGGTTGTCTATTCAGTTTTTTAGGTAAACTCAAATATTCACAATATATTTGACAGTACACTTTAATACTAAGTGAAAATAAGTACAATTCCTAACTGATATGAATAGTACATAATTGCACTTATTTGTCTTCTAACATTTGCCACCCCATTTTTGGAGGACGGGCTGCGTTTTCTATAATCTGATAGTCCTGTTCATCTAGCAGTAAATAGGACCCGTGAGTCAGCTTGTTGTGGGTTGCGTCCTGGCTGTCTGCCTATTATTGAATTAGTGGTATGTAAGTGTAAACGACAAACAAAAGTAGATATACGATAACAATGTTATTAGCACGATTGGCTTCGCTGTCGACTTACAATAAGAGATTCCGGGTTTGATTCTCGAGCGGGACAGAATTGATATTAAGTGATGTTTCCGTTCACTTAATATCTCCATTCACCTAGCAGTAAATAGGTACCCTGGAGGGAGGGGAATTATCAAGGAAAAGCGTCAAGTCATTACGACTATATAACACTTGGAAGTGGTCAGAATAAGGATTTGTGATGGGACGGGGGGGAAAAATGGTGCCTGCAACCACTGGAATAGTCGGGGATTGAACGCCGACCTGCATGAAACGCGACCATCGTTCTGCCGTCCAAGCCTAAGTGGCTGGGAGTTTGGCAACTGTAGTGGGGTTAGGGTCCTAGGGTAAACCTCGATACATGTCTAAAGTAAAGATATGCATAAGCTTTCTGTCCCCCTAGCAAACCGAATTAAATTTGTCACGTACATTAAAATATACATTAGTTACGTATATTACTCCTACTAGGTTTTCTTTAGATCATGGCCCCGAGGGGTAACTACGCCACGGAGGCAACACAGAGCAACACGTCGACCAGGAAAACGCAACGTTATGCTGGCAGTCGTGTACACTACTGTCTGCTGAGTGGGTGTGTAGGTCAACATGTCTGTCGATAAAGTTCGTGCTAATAGGTAAGAGATGTATTTGCAGTATGTTATCTATTTCCATGGTTTCCTGTTGCTTATTAGTTCTGCTGTTTATCAGACTTGTCGAAACACTATGCTTGTTAGTGGCTTTGCAAAAATGTAACGCTCAAACACCAAGTGTTATGTACTCTCACAACCCAAAGTGCGTTCTTGGGAAATACATAAATAAATAAATAAACAAATATTTCACGAATATGAATGCTTGTCAAACATACAGCTTCAAGATAGGCATATACAGCACACATGAGGCTCAAACATACCAGTTGATGTAGTCCACTACGGGCTCACTATAGCCTGTGTCACTTAGCACTTTTGTTCCGAGTAACTGAATCAAAAACAGCAACAACAGCAATATCAGTTGATCAGTTCTAAGCGGCTCGCAAACATCTGTTGCACAATTAAACTCACAGTTATAACACTTCGTCTCTGTACTGATCGTCTCAGTACACAGACGAAGAAAAAAACCTACACTACTGCCCTCTGCACTCCTCCAAGCCCACCGAACCATCAATCTAGTCTCGAATTGTCGTGCAAGCTGGGTCAAGCCCCGACTCCATTTCTCCTCCTACAAGCATCTCCTCTCCACAAGCTATTCTTCAGTTGCTGTATACCCACTTCCCGCTCATCCATTGGGTTATCATCTTGTGTTCAATTGTATAACATTAGGCGCGTTTCTTTGCACCTGATGCTCATCAAGCTGTGAAATAGAGTTTACCCCTGGAGCTAGACAGCTGTTGTCAGTTGCATTCCTGTAAAGGTAAGTAGTTGGCTTAGAGTCCCTTCGATAAGCTTAACAAGCTTCCTGTCCCTGACAATGGGAAAACTAAAAGTGAGTTTTGCATATTCCTAGTTTGACTGAATGTCTAATTTTATAGCTATATTGATAGATATAAAAGTCTTATGGCACCTAGTGTCATCTGACAGTGGCACTACCTCCTAGACTGGCCCATATCACCATCATTTCTGCAGGTGTGTAAGCGGGGCGCTGCTGGCTGTGTTTTGCGTCTTTGGCTTCGTTCTCATCCTTCAGGTGGCGGCCATGATCTTCGGGCCCTCCAAGTCCGCCTGTACCAAGCAAGGTGAGTGAGGGACAGGAGGAGTGAGGGGCGGAAGGAGTAAGAGGCGGGATGAGTGAAGGCGAGAAGAGAGAGGGCGAGAAGTGGGAGGGAAGAAGAGGGTTTCTGAAATTCCAGTGTACGTGCTAGACACGTCTCTCGCTCAATAAAAGACTGACTATCGTTTTCAACGGTGTTGAAAAATTATGCTCTGTATAGTGATACCTGGTTGATGGGGTTCTGGGAGTTCTTCTACTCCCCAAGCCCGGCCCGAGGCCAGACTTGACTTGTGAGAGTTTGGTCCACAAGGCTGTTGCTTGGAGCGGCCCGCAGGCCCGCTCCAAGTTAATTTCCAGTTCATGAAATTTTAGTAGTGGAATGGCTACTCTTGCATATGTGAATATAACAGCTTCATTTCTGTCCAGGAAGGACAGAAATGCCAAATTCTTCAATTTCTGATGTATGGTTTGAGTCATCAAATCACAATGTTCAACGTGGCTGAACATTGGGTCAATGTTCAGCCACGTTATTGTAACTCGTCGTCTGCAGCGATTACATTGCTTTATTTTGTCAAGATTTCGTACCCAATCACTTATAACTGGAGTTATCAGTTATGTTAATGTTAGCTGAATGTTACAACTGTGATTATAGGCTCGATGACTGTGACTAGGATAAGGGAAATACTGCTATTGACCAGCCAAGCAACAACACTACGGCATCCTTGATTGTTTATATGCTAGGTTTTTAATATTGTATACGTGTATTGTTAACTGTCCTAATTGTTCCAACCACCATAATTACCACTATTAACACCACAACTATTATTACCTCTCCCAACACCCCACAAACGTGGAAACCACTACTGTTCTCCACTACCATTATTACAACAAACTGTCTCTCATCAGCCTCCTACCACCACTCGCCTTCAATAACCACTACCATGCACAGCCGTATCAACCACCCTACAACCACCGCTACAACTACCACCCTACACCTATCACCATCCTGTAGGTCCTCTCCCTCCTGCTCAACAATCCCATCTTTCAGTATGCCTGGCAAAGTTCTTGGAGGGTCCCCCTGCCTTCAACAACGAAGTGATGGCCAGCTACCTAAAGAAGAACTACTTCCTCCCTCCCGCTACCAGCCAATACAACCTGTCCGGACATGACGGCGCCACCGACACTTTCAACGCCCTCGTTCTGTTCATCAAAGAATATTTCAAGAACAAGGTAGAGAGGGATTTTCTTTTACCCCTTTGACTTGACCAGGAATTTGTCTGGTTAGTGTTGATTCTCTTCACGGTAGCTTGTGTTTAACTATCGGTGACTATGGGGGAGCGAGATTACACCTAGTCTCCTAGGCGTTTGTATCTGGTACGCTAATTACCTCTCAACGCTAACGATTTCATCACATTTTTTTCTTAAAGTTGTGGATGGAATTTGGTTCGACAAGGTCTTCTTTCAATGCATTCCACTTTTCGACAACCTGTACCATACAGGGAATGAGAACTTCCTAACATCTCCACGACTCAATTGTGTGTCCAGTTTACACCAATGTTCTTGTCCTACCTCCCTTTTATTGAAACAAGCTTCCTTTGTTTACATTTTCTATTCCGCTCAGGATCATATATATATCGATCACATCAGTTATGTTTATTCTCTCTAGAGCTGTGAGGTTGAGTTCCCTCAACCTGACCTCACAACAGAACCCTCTCAGTTCTGATACTAATATAATTGGAAACCCTGAAATTTCGCAAGTTTCTTGTTATGTTCCTCAAGATGTGAGTGCTGCAGACACATAGGTAATATATATAGACTTAAAAGCCTCCATGTTGAAGTACTAAATGATGCTCTAATGTTTGCTAGTTTCCTATATGCTGCTGACAATCCTGTTCACAAGAGCTTCTGGTGTTAATGTTGTGATTACATATACCTTCAAGTCGTTTTTTCTTATTGTTTCTAATAATTGCCTTACCATTATAGTGTAGGTAAATGCTGGTTTCCTATCTCCCTTACCCATTTTCATTACTGTACAATTATTTGGATTGAATTCCAGCAGCCATTTATCAGCCCCGTTTCTGTAGATCGTCAAGGGCTTCTTGTAACACCCTATAGTCCTCCTCAGTTATTATTCTCATTAACTTTTCATCATCTGCAAACACTGACATCCGAATTCACTCTCTCTGGAAGGTCATTTACACACATTACATCAGTTATGTGAATCTGTGATGGGATCGGCTTCTAAACGTCTGGTTTTTAACTTTTAAGCGCTTGTATATATGCTATATGTAAGTTCGACACTCTGAGTAGTTTAATATTACACATCTTGCTTTTGGCAGCGAGGCGGGGTGTTTGTTGACGTTGGCGCCGGGGACGGAGAGTATCGTTCCATCACGCTGCAGCTGGAGAAGTCCCTGGGGTGGACGGGGCTGCTGGTGGAGCCCAACGAGCGCCTCTACAAGAAGCTGCTCAAGAAGGGTCGCAAGGCCCAGCTGACCAAGACTTGTGTCTCGCCCTACACCTACCCAGCTATGGTCAGCTGCTTATTTGGCTTTGGAGTTTCTTTAAAAATTGCCTGTAATCATAGCAGCAGCAGCAGCAGTAATAGCTGTAAATGTAGAAATAACTGCAGCAGAATTATTTTCAGTAGTTGCTGTAGAAAGCAGTTCCACAGTTTTGCGCACTGTAGGTGAAACTAACTTCGAAATTGTTCTGTTCATGCAAAGGTAACATATGCCTGGTAGTCACATGTGGCATTTCATGACAGGCGTGTTATTCTTAAGGAAAGTTGTAGAATAGTGACGAATGAATTTTGTGGGACTTGTAAAATATGTACAAATCAGCTGAATCTTTGTTATAGAGTCTACAAGGAACTGGATCGGGTAAATCAAATGTGGTTTTTACTGGAGGTGGCTTCATCTTATAAATGTTTATTAGTAATTGATACTAACATGCGTCCGCTAGTCGTCTTACGGGCTCACCATAGCCCGTGCTACATGGACACTTCGTTCTGAGTAGCTAAATCTGAAACAACAACAATAAGCTAGTCCTCCCCTAAATTTAAATTGGCCTCAATTACAGTAATCACCAGGGAGGAAAAAGAAAACATTTCAAATTAGTAACCACTCTACTACAATCAAACAAGAACTGAATAACTATAGACTATAAATCATTATTATAGGTTCAAATGATGCAGAACCTATAATAGGTTAATCACATATTTTTCATCGGGAGTTCTTACACTCTATAATACATACGGGAACAATGCTTGCCAGAGAAATAATACCTATAAAACTAAAGCAGTAAGTGCAATACACTTAACTGATCCATAGCCCAGAACGCACCATCCTCTCTCAACTGACTCTGCCCGACCACTGAGGAGAACGGCTCACTCGACGGGTAACTTCCTCACTCACTAATTGCCAACAACGCATTACTCCCATATTAATCCTAAACACACACACACACTTTCCCCCAACCCAGACATGTAAAATGGAACTAAATAATAATACATTCTTTTGGGCCAAATGGCAAGCAAAACACTACTAGATAAGATTTAGGCAAAAAGGAAGAAACTCAGAGTTTTTTGTTTCAATTTTCTACCACAGATGTGGCCATGCATTTACAATGGAAACTAGCATATATGCATTTTCTTCTGTCCTCTGTGGACAAGGTTAGAGATCTGTTATACATATAACTCAGTGATTTATTTGAACAATAGACCACAGAAGGGGAAGTAACAGAATGGAACACAGCCGGGCACTTCATCTTGGATCATTTCCCCGCCCTTTCACCTTTAGATTAAACCCAACTTTTACAATATAATCTATTCCGTCACACTTTGCACACTTATCAACATCAACATGATGCTATATTAACATGCAATATAAGTCAACTTAGGAAAGTCAGTATTATAGAATCATGCAACATCAATTAATCATTTCTCCATGGTTCAACTAATAATATATCCTAGTGTACAAGGTAATATATTGAATAAACTCGAGCTATAAAATTATGCAATAATGTGAAATAAACAGAGACGTCCAGCGTATTCTTACAAATACTTCACTTTTAACATCGGTTATATATAGATATTACATTATATAATGTAACTTTTCACATTCTATAATAAGTAAAATGATGGATCACAATTAATAATTTTATATTATTAAGCAATACATAACCATTTTACATAACAATATGAACCAGAATTAAACTCTACTCGGTCAATAAATTGTCCCGTATTTATATTAATAATTATAAAATTATATTTTATATTATAAAACTATTATTTTACTATTGATTATTATTACAATAAAATATAGGACCTGACGTAATGCTGTTGTTGTTAAAGATTCGCTACTTGGAACAAAAATTTCCAAGTAGCACGGGCTATGGAGAACCCATAATAGACTTTTCTGACGTAATGCGCGCTAAACACACTTCTATACTCCAGAGTATGCCAAGAAATTTGCAGACCCTTCATAAGTATGCAAATATCTTAGCACAATTAGCTGAAGCATCTTTCGATTTATTATTATTATTAACATCTTTATTGACAAAATTAATTACAATTTTGTCTAATCTGAGGATTTTGATAAAGTCTTATTAAAGTGAGGATAATGCTGGTATTCACTGTCACGCAGGACAGAGGGTCATACATAAGACAATAGGTCTAAACTGTAGACGGACGTACATATATATATCACGGTTACAATCAATGTTTGAATGTATGGATATGTGAAAACAACTTTCTATTGTGTACATATTGAGTTAGATGTTAAGGTTATTCATGTTTAGTCTTAATTATTTCTTGTGTTAGAGCCAGGAGATAAATAACATTAGTTGGCCAGGTGTGAAGACTGTCTGTAACAGGAGTTTGTGTGTGACAGATGACGCTGTCACACCCGAGGGTGGAGGAGGGGGCCAGCCACGAGGTGGAGACACTCGGCAAGGGCAAGATAGAACAGTTCTGGACCAAGGATGTAAGTACCTCATGTCTGGCCCACATCGTTACTCATTCTTCCTAGGGACCTCACCTGTATTTTACGCTCTGACACCTTTGTCTTGTACTCCAACACATCCATAATGCATCACATTCACTCAAAAAAATCTACTACTTATGGGCTACTCATACCCGTGCTACCTCTTGGTTGGCTTAATCTTCGTCAATCAATCAATCAATCATCCTGCACATTAACACTAACACAACATACTGTTTACAACATACTTTACAACAGGCTCAAACACCCTCTCAGTCATAATCAACACATCACCTTTACCACATCATGTAGTAAGGGTGATCTGTACCACATGATGTGATGTAGAACTCTTCGGCTCTTCGACCAAAGAGCTGAAGCTCAACCCCTGCAAGCACAACTAGGTGAGTACATTCTCATTCTTGGCGCATTAACCGCCAACAATTAAAAGCAAGTCTTTTCCTAATTGTTTATTTTTTTGCCCACCGTTCCTTCACTCCATCTTCATAGTTCAACTATTTAGTCTTAACTCATCCCCAGCTTCTTGTCCTCATATTCTCTCCATACAATAGTCACACCGATTTAGTGCATTTTTCCTGATAATTAACTTAACTTTCCAGGAAAATGCAGAACACGAAAAGTTCGAGGCGCAGTGCGTGCCGTTCGAGAACCTGGTGTACGCCGCCGGGATCACCACGACCATCGACCTGCTGGTGCTCGACATGAGCAGCACCGACCTCGAAGTTCTCATCAACACCAAGCTCGACTCCCTCCCGGAGTTAGAGGTCAGTCTCCGCAGGAGTCAATCATTATATAGACATATACACACATATAATTTGCTTGCTACGGCAAGCATACCTAGGTGAATACACACACACGAACAAAGTTTCGCTATTAAAACCGTTTCCAGTTTTGTGTGAGTGGAGTCTGGAGGCAATTACCAACTAATTTACCTGTGTGTGTTCCCACCAACAGATGCTGGTAATCTACGCCAACGGGGTCAACATCGGGAGCGAGATCGGGGGCTACTTCATGGAGATGAACTTGGTGGTCAAGAGAGTCTTCGGCCAGACCTCGGCGAATGCTGCCTACGTTCTCGTTAAGTTCGATGGTAAAAGAGACCTGTAATGGAGTCATTCTGGCTAGGGCGAGTGTTGGCGTGGCAACTCTCCTCCCTGTTCTCTTCTCTAGTGATCTCTAGTGCTACACTGACCTCGTCTGTGATGCTGCTCTGACTCTCCTGGGATTCACTGCACCTGGAACACTGAGGTGGGGTCGGAGGGAGTATCAGGGTATGAGCTCGAGGTTCTCATTTGCCCCTGCATATATATTTCCCTAAATATAGGGAAATTTGTAGGGAATAAAGGGTTTTGTATTGTTTGTAGGGAACAAGCTTCCCCGACTGGGTTCCACCATTCAGCTCTGGGTCGTCTGATACAATAACCTGTATCATATCTTGAAGCTGAGAATAGAGTAAGTCATTTCTATTTCACATTTTATTCCACCTACTATTATATTTAGACGTTTCATCGCTGGGGGTGATTATTCTAGCGCCTGCCTTACATAGTACACAATGATGAGGACGTCTTGTCCATGTGCCCAAAGGCTGCTGGGATGGTCGCCAGTTTCGTGTATGACGCTGCTTATATTCCGTTAATGTGTGCTCCTGGCGAGAGGCGTGTGCTGGCATGCCCAACATGGCCACTTTCACGAACGTCTTATATTAGTCGTTATAACTCGGTCAATTGTTTTCTCTCTATTTACTTTCTCCATCTGTGGTCTCTGTTTTTCTGTCTTTTTTTCTCAGATTGTCTTTTTGTCTCTTTTTCCACTCCCCCCCCTCATTTTATTTGTGTCTTTGTTTCATCTGAATGCTATGATCTGTTTACATAGATCTGTGTTTACAATGTGTCTCTGTTGATGTGGATTTTTTTTTCTCCTGTATGTTCCGACTGTCAGTCCGCTTATCTGTGTGCTCATGTTTGACAATGTAATTTTTGTAATTTTAGATTCTCATTCATGCATGAAGTAAAGTGACTGTTCATCACATATATACAGGAAACACTTCGGTGGTTAATTTGACTTTTAATAAATATTAATTAAAAGAATGTGTGTATTTTTGGCCACAGCTGTATAATGAACAAAAAAATTAAGATGGAAAATCTTTTAAGAAAACTACAATAATTACGTTACAAATGACATATGAAGAGTTTTGAAGGATTACAACAAATTTAGGTATAAAATTATTTATATTTTCAGCTGTAGTTCAGAAATTCTCAAACGAAGAGGATATCCTAAACGTGCACGAAGATAGCCACGTAAAACGCTTGGTCGAGGACCTCGTCCTCACTGTCAGCTGACAATATGTGAGCTGACAGTGATACTAGAACAATTTGGCTACGTTGTTCAGGCTAGGATTCATAAAGCATTTACATATCCATTTACGAAACCTACACACCTTTCCTCGATCATGGCAGCTTAGTTGCATTTATTAATTTATGAATACCGAAACGCTACTATAGCATATACTACTATAGCTACTGTTATCCAGAACCTGCTGCATGGGTAAACAGCTTCTCCCTCGTATCGACCTACCCTGGACTTTGCGCCCTAGTGAGGCCACTCCAGACCGACAACCAGAGCACGACACCATAGTCTCCCGAGACTGATGGATGCCTGATAACTATAGCAAGACGGGTGGGCAAGTCTCCTTACACCTGCTGCCTCTCTTCACCCAGCAGGGAATATATACTTGACTAACAACTGTGCTGTACTTTAAATACAGTAACAACCAAGTTAGACAACGTCGTTACTTTTGGGCTACATTCTGCTGGCTGACGATAATAACTGTACTAAAAATATATATTGTATACAATGCATATCGTCTATAATGCATCTTGTATTATAATGTCTATAATGCATCTTGTATTATAATGCATCTGTTACCAGCCGTTAATTTAATGATATTCCGAGAATACGTTCGGATATGCGCAGCTGGTCACTTCCCCTGATAATTCTCTTCCTTTCTATTATAATCACTAATTAGATATGCGCAATTGTTACGGTTTAGAGAGTGAGTATCGCCAGAATGGGACGAGGCCGGGACGTCTACCCTGTGACCAGTTGTAGCGACCGTTCTTCCCAACGAACAATTGTCAAGTCTGCTTGACCTGCAGTTGGTAGCTAGGAAACGTTCCCTGGAAGGAGTATTGATGTGTGTATTTGTGTAGATAATTAAATATGTATGTGTATGTATATATGTATATGTATGCATAACATTAAGAATTGTGTAACTAGCGTCAAAAAGATTGTTACTTGCTTAGCTAAACGAACTAAAGGGTTCAGTTCCTGAACCGATTATGTGCCTCTGTAAACCTTTTACACCACCGCCCACGGGATGGGTATGGGGTGCATAATAAGGAAAGAAATTGAATTGGAAGGCCAGGAGCTTCCCACATAAGAAAAAGCAAAATGTTTATAAAATATCTAATAACTAGAATCTTCTGACGTACCAATTAAGCATCACATAACAAGGTGCTTAATTAATTATTTATTTATTTATGCATATACAAGAATGTACATAAGGAATGTGAGGATACAAATATGGTAATTACAGTCTTGTAAAGCCACTAGCAAGCGCAGCGTTTCGGGCAGAATTATGTGCCAATACTATAAACCTTTACGTAACATATATTGTCTAGTGGTAAATTAATTTAATTATTTTCATCGGTATTAATAATATAAGTTTTTTCTTTATATTTTTAGTATGATGTCCTGCAGCTAGTACTGTTTCCATGCTACAACGGCTCTTTTCAATAAGCTATTTTTCTCCTCTATCCACTTCCCGGCTCACCTACTGAGAATTTTTCACTTAAAATAAATAAAGTGTTCATTCAGGTTAAAAATACATACTTAGACGAGTTACAAACAGAACGTTTAATTTCTATATAGAGCTAGTACATACTATGCCTAAAGCCACTAATACGCATAGCGTTTTGGAGAAGGTGTGGGAAAAACACTTAGAATAAAACTTAAAACTAATTGTGATCACAGCATAAATTGAATTAAAAAAAGAATGATAATTATTACACGATAGACGGAACAGCAAAAATTTATACAGCACAGCAAAAGTAATTTTCACTAAAACAGCTACAATATTTATATAATATACCATAATAAATAAGCTTCACATTTATTCGCATGACCCAGTAATAACAGACTGGCTCTGAATACTCTTTAAATACCAAGACACAGAAAACAAATGACTTAGCCGGTTAAGGTAAGTTTACACGGCAACCAGGCAAGGTGTCCACAACACACCCGCTGCTCTCTGTGGTCACAGCTCGACTGACTGCAACATGTCAAGGGTCCTCTATCATTAAAGTGGTAGAAAACGGAAGCCGAGAAAAGTAGTTACCGTTCCTGCTTGTTTCTCTAACTACTCTTGCGCAATTAACTAACTGCCAGGCCTGAATTTACGTTATTTGATAAATATCTAAATACAGCAAATAATAATATAGCACATTAGGTAACAATCTTGACCCATATAATAATTTTTAACCCCATACAACACTCTACGCGAATATATAATCAGTGAAATCTTAACATAAATGAAACTTCACTCAGTTATATAGAAGAAATCAACTGTTAACAAATACATAAACAAAATGATGAGTAAATTTAACCACATGTAATTAAATCGTCTAATATTTGTTATTTAAAAAATATATTATAATTAAACTACACGTAATTAAATAAACGATCAGAAACTATTTTAACCTGTACTTTCTGTCTCTGTTTGTATTGTTAGATGAAGAGTGAAGAGTTGATAGTGATGAATGAGGTTCCTCCATTATTACAATCATCTCACTAATTAAATTTAAACAGTCGAGTCTTTAATATTAATAACTGAAAAATTATTTTTCAAATTAGGTATTGGATATACCTGTGATGGTAATTATATTACAAAGTTGTTTATCTAGTGTGTATATTCTAATGTTTATCTAGTCTCTATATATTCCTAGGTTACTATAGTGTACGTCTGTTTCAATGTTATAGTTTGCATATGTTCCAAGGTTGCTGTAGTTTATATATATGTTCCAAGTATATAAATTCAATGTTAATCTTGTTTCTATGTTTTCCAAAGTTGCTCTACTTTGTATGTGTTCCAAAGTTGTTCTAGTGTTCATATATTCCAAGATTAGTATTTCTAGTGTGAATATATTCCGAGGTTGCTCTAGTTTGCATATGTTCCAAGTTTACTCAACTGTACATATTTTCCAAAGTTTCTGTATTATTTATATATTCCAAGGCTTTATTTTTTTTGTGCATGGATATTCCTGCGATACTCCTAAGCCTCTACAAGGCCTACTTAGGTTACTCCTTTCTGTCTTAGGCAATGGATGAGTATTTATGACTTACTTGTATGTTGTCTTCAGTAAAATTATGTCTAATGTGTTTAACTCTTCTCTGGATTGCGCTGTCAAATCTCAGTTGAAATTTTAGTTCGTGTATAAAGAGTTCATCTAATTTGAATACGTTTCAAGGTTGCTCTATTTTCTAGGGGTTCCAACATTATTCTAGTGCCTATAGTCAAAGGCTACTCCAGTGTTAATATATTAATGATTGGCCGTTGAAATGTAACTCCCGTCCTAACCATATACTCAGTCCTTGATAAAGCATTCAGGCGAGTGCGAAAGACTTGGTGTAAATATTTACATAATATACACAAATATACCCTCTTAAAGGAGGGTTTTTATCCTATCAAGTGTCAGCAATACTCTACGTCGACACCGACGGTGAACATAGAAAACAATTTAGTTTCCCGTGTTACTTTTCTCTGTTTTCTTTAGGATGTTGCCGGAGGGGAGACTACGCCACGGAGGCAATAAGTAGGAAGACCAGGAAAACACAGCGTCGTGCTGGCAGTCGGGGATAATACTGTCTACTGAGCGAGTGTGTAGGTTAACATGTCTGACGATAAAGCTCGTACTAATAGGTAAGAGATTCATTTTCAGTATATATATGTTCTGTGCGCCCGTGACTTTCTGGTATTTATTTAATTAATGTAACGTCTTGTCATGAATATAATAATTCGTTTTGTCGGGGACAGGGAACCCGGAAACACTGGAATAGAGTTTATGTACAAATAGAGCTTAAAAGTATAATTAATCTAAATCCGATACTTAAAACTAGCAAATATGTTTTAAATTAGTAATGATGACATTTATACAGATATTTGCTGTCAGTGTAGCCTGGTACTAGGGAGGAGGTGGTAATTATTGTCAGTGTAGCCGTGTACTTTAGTTAGTAATTCAGTTAATAAAATATAAACATTAATTGAGAAGCCTAAGTTATTACCTCAATATAGGGTTTGTAATTGTAAAGAGTACAAACGTAATATATGGAGAGTGTATATGTGTGTGTATTTAGCACGTTTAGGAACCGAACAATGGAGCTATATGTTGTCTCACGCTAGAATGCGCTTTGTTGTTGATATTATATTTGTTTTAAGGTATGGTGGGGAAGCTTGTGGTGGCTGGACAGGTGAAAGAGGAGTACAGGGATAATTGTTATCTATAAAATGAATTATAACTATCAATTACAAATACTTAGAAATAATATACGTGTTTAAATAGTAAGAATTCTTGCAATTGTATATACATCATTTTAAATAAAAAAATAACAGCATTCACGCTCGGCTCTATGGGTGATTTATACTATTTGGTGAAGTAGGAATATAAATAACTACAAAATGTGAATGAAATATTTCTTTGTTTCACTTTTAAATGGATTCAAGGTAGGACAACATTCAATCGCATTTGGGATTCAATTGCACAATTTAGGACACATTATTTGCATATTATTTCTGCATTGGTAAAGTCGGACTCTTTCAACATCAAATATATTAAGTTTCTCGTGTGGTGTCTCCGAGCTCTGTTGTAGAGCTTTAAGAAGCGTTTGAGGCAAGGATTAGTATTGTACTTTAGAGTTTGGAAGATATAGAGCACAGATAAGAATGTTTAGAGCAGCCAGTTTTATTTAGTGTTTACTTGCAGCCTTTATAGGGTTAATTCCGATGTTTATTTGATTAGCAGATTTTATTCCAAAACATGTGATCTGCTTCCTCTGTGTTTAGTGAGGTTGGTGGTAGTGAGAGTCTCAGATCAATGTCTGCTGCATCGTTAAGGGTATCAGGCAGTTAGTTAGAGAAGACGAAGGTGGTGCCATCATTATGCCAGGCACCTAGCATTATACCAGGTACCTGGCACTTCCCCATCCCTCATAGTAATGTACCAGACAACTAGCATTATGCCAGGCACCTAACATTATGGCACCTGGTGCCATCTCAGAAAGTGACACCATCTCCCTGACTGGCTAGATCACTTTTGTTCCTGCAGCTGTTGGAGCAGAGCGCTACTGACGGTGATTGGCCTCTTCGGCTTAGTCCTCCTCCTCCAGGTGGCGGTCATGCTCTTCGGTCCCTCCAAGTCCGTGTGTACCAAGCAAGGTGAGTGAGGAGACGGGGGGGGGGGGGGGAGAGGATCCGGAGGAGAGAGAGAGAGAGAGAGAGAGGGTGCAAGTGGGAGGACATTACAAGAGGTCGAAACCGGTTAAATCTCTTTCTACCGGAACCTAAGAAAAACTGTAATCTATAAAAAGAGAATTTCTGTCAATCTGATTGTCTGCTTACTTGTCCAAGGTTCGAGGCCAGACGTTTGGGCTAGCTTTATTCAACTTTTCAAGATGACACATAGGTGGTATAGGATTGTCACAGGCCAGTCGGAGTCGGCGCAAGTGCTCTCTTTTAAGAAGGATCAACTCCTATTCCGATTCTCAGCGACTCCTATGAAGTCAGAAATATAGGTTTTATTTTCCAAAGAGTTTTTCTACAGTTAATCATTTCTTCATAATACCCCAATTTATACCCAACGTACCTCAACCTTGTTATAGTCATGTTGTATCAATAACATAGTTAATAATTGCAAAAATAAAGTTGTGGTTATGTTGAATGTTTACTGGGATTGCATATTCTGAGAGAGAGAGAGAGAGAGAGAGAGAGAGAGAGAGAGAGAGAGAGAGAGAGAGAGAGAGAGAGAGAGAGAGAGAGAGAGAGAGAGAGAGAGAGAAGAAGATAGGGCTGTTAGGGAGAATTGGGTAGAAAAGTAGAGAGAAGAAGAAATAAAAGAGTGGGATATGGAAGAAGAGGGGGTAGAGGGGAAGAGAAAAAGGAGAGGAGAAAGAGAGAGACCCGGGACGAGCCGACTACCTCATCTACTTCCTTATAAACAGTAAGATGTAAAATTTAACAATACAGTAATAGTTATCGAAACTTGTTCCTAAGCTAACAAAGGCAGCCCGGTGTTTTCGACGTAGTGGGGAACAGGGATACAGTACAATAACATATAGTTATATCGCGATATTCGTCATATGTAACGGAGCTGCAGATATATTATTGTACAAAAAGCATTTTTGGTTTGTAACACGTTTGTAACACATTTATAACACCCGAGTCAAAACAGCCAAAATATAGAGGTCTGTCCGCGTGTCCCGTAGAAGAGGCTGGGACTGCGGCGGAAGGGTCACTCTTATGTTTGATAATACTAATTAAGCAACTAGCCCAGCCTCTATACAGAGACCCCAAAGTCCATTCCATGCACCCGCCAACCCCCCTGTTTATGAATGAAAAACGGTTTACACACGACTCACAACTGTTGTGAGTGTTCACGACGTTCAAACACTTCCGGAACAAGTGCATAGCTGACGACTTTTGTTCGAACCACAACGCTGTAAATGCTTTACCCACGTTCTACAAATACAAATAATCGCCAGCAGAACCTAAACACCTAACCTAACTAACCAATGCCTAAATATGCAGAGTATGCTAATATATAACAATATTCATTTATATGTGAGAAAATTCCCATTTTAAATGAAGAGCATGTGAAATTTTATGAATGCTTCTTTGGGGTAGACCACTGGATGGAATGAACTTGGTCTGAGGACGGGTTGAAGCAGCCTGTGATATATCACCCATTGAAGTTTCTATTTCTTACAGTTTCCTTACCCAAATACATAGCTGTTAATAAGCCTTCAACACAAACTCAAACTACACTTTTCAACAATTCCTCCCTTCAGTATGCCTGGCAAAGTTCTTGGAGGGTCCCCCTGCCTTCAACGACGAAACTATGGCTTCCTACCTGAAAAGGAACTACTTCCTCCCTCCCGCTGCCACCGAATACAACCTGTCCGGCCACGACGGCACCTCCAACAAATTCAGCTCCCTCGTGCAGTTCATCAAAGAGCATTTCAAAAATAAGGTAAGAATTTTTTTAGCCTCTTTGACGGTGAGTCTTTACTTGGGAAGTGTTGATTATCTTCACGGGGGCTTCAGTTGTGTCTGTGTTGGTACTAGTTCTAAAAGTCTTGGTTTTGCACTTTTAAGCGTTTGTATCTCGGTTCTAGGTTCGACTCTCATAATGGTTTAACTAATATTAGATATCTTGCGGTTGGCAGCGAGGCGGGGTGTTTGTTGACGTTGGCGCCGGGGACGGAGAGTATCGTTCCATCACGCTGCAGCTGGAGAAGTCCCTGGGGTGGACGGGGCTGCTGGTGGAGCCCAACGAGCGCCTCTACAAGAAGCTGCTCAAGAAGGGTCGCAAGGCCCAGCTGACCAAGACTTGTGTCTCGCCCTACACCTACCCAGCTATGGTCAGCTGCTTATTTGGCTTTGGAGTTTCCTATGATATTGCTTGTAACAGTAGCAGCAGAAAACGTGCAAAACGTCTTCATGCTGCCTTGGGAATCGAACCCGCGACCTCATAATCGTGGGAACAATTGATTGTATTTATCAATTCTTGTTTATTTAATGTTTTATGCCGAGGAAAATGCTGTTATTCAAACTTATTATTCGAGTCCAGGAGATAATATATTTTATGCCTTCATAAGATTTAGTCACAGAAGATAAATAACATTAGTTGTCCAGGTGTGAAGACTGTCTGTAACAGGAATTTGTGTGTGACAGATGACGCTGTCACACCCGAGGGTGGAGGAGGGGGCCAGCCACGAGGTGGAGACACTCGGCAAGGGCAAGATAGAACAGTTCTGGACCAAGGATGTAAGTACCTCATGTCTGGCCCACATCGTTACTCATTCTTCCTAGGGACCTCACCTGTATTTTACCTTCCGACATCTTCAGTCTATTTCAAACATGTTCATCGTACACCGCCACATCACCCAAAACCATGTATTCGATCTATACATGGTTTTCATCGAATAAGAATAAGAAACATCTTATTGCTTCTTATTTACAATTATTACTTAACCTATCAACGGTATAGGTTAAGTAATAATTGTAATTTAGAAGCAATAAGATGCTTATCTTAACATACTAAGAAGGTTAGGTGAGGTCGGTGTTTTCTATGAAGCTTTTCAAGGTAAACCAAAATATTCACAATCAATTAGTATGTCACATATGCACTTATGAAATAAGCCAATATTGACTATAAGCAAGTGCGAGAACGGGTTGCAACATCCAACACCCCATAACTTCACCAAACAACCAATATCTTCACCCATCAACCAATATCTATATCTACCCCTTATTTTCATCCACCACACTCACACTTTTGTCCTACCCTTTACTCATTTACCCAACATCCACATGCAGTCATTCTCCATTTTTCCTAGTCTATCAGTCAAAAGATAAATTGCAAAAACGTAGAGTTGATGGGTGAACTTTCGCTCGTGTAACCTGTTGCGGCTAAGTTCTTTTTCTAAGTATCTTATGACAAACAACACGACACAACGCCAAGTTTGTTTATACGATTCTCACTATGAATGACATCCATCTGCATTCTGTATCGATACTAAAAGCAGACCTTTGTCTCTCCCTGTCTCTCTCTCTTTCTCCTTTCTCCTAAGCAGCTTTCCCAGTTTCCAGGAAATGCCTTTCTAATTTCCAGGAAAAGGTACAACACGATACGTTCGAGGCGCAGTGCGTGCCTTTGGAGAACCTGGTGTACGCCGCCGGGATCACCACGGCCATCGACCTGCTGGTGCTCGACATGAGCGGCACCGACTTCGATGTTCTTGTCAACACCAAGCTCGACGCTCTCCCCGAGCTAGAGGTCAGTCTCCAGCAGGGGTCAACCGGGGGTCATTTCGTTCTAATGCAGAGTCTTACTTTTGGTGGTATTTGTGGATTTGGCGGTACTAGGAGAGAGAGAGAGAGAGAGAGAGAGAGAGAGAGAGAGAGAGAGAGAGAGAGAGAGAGAGAGAGAGGAGAGAGAGAGAGAGAGAGAGAGAGAGAGAGAGAGAGAGAGGAGAGAGAGAGAGAGAGAGAGAGAGAGAGAGAGGAGAGAGAGGAGAGAGAGAGAGAGAGAGAGAGAGAGAGAGAGAGAGAGAGAGAGAGAGAGAGAGAGAGAGAGAGAGAGAGAGAGAGAGAGAGAGGAGAGAGAGAGAGAGAGAGAGAGAGACAGAGAGAGCTTAGAAGCAGTGATTTATTTTGTCAATTTTTTTGTTACATCGTGAGTCATACCAGAAAAAACTGTTGAGTTTCTATTGTAACTATTATTTATTCTAATTATTATCATTTAGGATAAAAATCCAAGCTTGTTTATTTGTGAAATTTATGTAAAAAATTTGGTGTAAATTCTTTACATAAATTTTACAAATACACAAGTATTGGTTTTTATCCTATGTTATTAATGTCTGTAAGAAGACATTACCATTACTTATTACTTTTATTATTAATATAATTGTTAATATCATTACATTAGTGGCTCTTTTAATGACTGATATTTTGTAGGAGTTAATTGTAATATAGTTTCCTTCGCTTTTGTTCCAATAACGAAATTTGTCCGTTTCTCTGAGGCGGGACTCGGAAGGGAGGCAACAACCTCACTATTTATTGTGCTCATTTTTACCATCGTGCCGCCGCGCCTTGCAGATGATCGTGGTCAACTCTAACGGGGCCAAGATCCAGGACGACGTCGGAGGCTACTTCCTGGAGCGGAACATGCTCCTTAAGGAGATCATCGTGGAGAATGAGACCACCATCTACTACATTCTCCTTAGGTTTGACGCGCAGAGGGACCTCTAATGGAGTCGTGCGAGCCAGGAGCCAGATTCACAAAGCAGTTACGCAAGCACATACAAACGTGTACATCTTTCCTCAATCTTTGACGGCTTTGGTTACATTTATTAAACAGTTTACAAGCATGAAAACTTTCAACTCAACTGTTGTTATTGTTATAAACAGCCTCCTGGTGCTTCGGAGCTCATTAACTGTTTAATAATTGTAAACAAAGCCGCCAAAGATTGAGAAAAGATGTACAGGATCGTAAGTGCTTTCGTGAATCTGGCCCCAGCTCGAGAACCGTTATTCTTCTTTATTTCTGACTTTCGTTGCCTGGGTAATCGTTCAGCAACCCAGGGATTGTGTGTGTGTAAGAGTGTGCAAGTCAAACCGTCCGTCTCAAGTGTATACAAGACGCTGCTGGCTTCTCAAGGTGTGCCGTTGCACACACTGCAAAAATCTACACCTTGCAGACAGTGCCACACTGCGGACAGTGGCACACAGCATTGTCTACATGTGCGTGGAATTTTTTTTTTTTTCTTGTTTTAACAGTTCGTGGAGGCTACAAGAGAGTTATCTGTTTGCTTTGACTGGAACAAAGTTCATATATATATATATTATATATATATATATATATATATATATATATATATATATATATATATATATATATATATATATATATATACATATAATGTATATATATATTTCCTTTCCAATTTATGTGTGTATATTTATATCTTCTTTATATCTCTGTTTTTTGTATCCTTGTCTCGTCATTTGTTTTTTCCGTTTTTTTTTAAGTACGTCTTTATCTCTTTATCTCTTTCTTTCGTCCGTCGAAAGTTTATTATGTATAATAAATTGAAGAAAATAATCATGTGTATTTTTGTAGCCAATCACAAAGTTATATTACAACATAACTAAATGTCAACAACTGAACATAACAAGAAACTATAATAATTACTTTACAAATTACGTTTGAAGAGTTTCGAAGGATTAAAATAAATTTAGATGGGAAAAAATTGTATACAGAATATCGCCTGTGGCACAGGTACAACACTGGATAAAAGAGACGTTAAGTCCTGGACAGTATTCAGGGCTGGAAGTATACTTGCAACGAATATATATATATACACCGATGGGTATACCCCATTTCTCAGTGTATATTCATTGAGAGTTATACAAATTTCAGTTTGGTAGCAGGATGCTGCGTCTGGAGTCTTTCCTTATTAAGGCCACTCAATAGCTCGGTCGAGAGAGCTTCGGCCTCACACACGTCTGGGGTCCACGGTTCGAGTCTGCTAGAGCCCAGGTTAATGGAATACACTGAGAGTTTACTCTAGTCTTGGACAATGTTGTGGGTTAAGGTATACTCGCTGGGTGGTAAACAAGTTAATGTCACGGCTTTAATAGCACTCTCTAAAGCACAACAGTAGGCCTAAAGCACATCAGTAGGCCTAAAGCATAACAGAAAACAATTGACTTTAATGAACAAATCCACAAGGGCCGTGATGAGGGTTCGAACCTTGTGGATTTGTTCATTTGATGCATCACGATATTGTGATTTCTGTGTGCAATTGACTTAAAGTTTCAGTATTGTTCAAGTTTCGGAGTTAAGTGTAAACATATGCATTTGAATTCAATAGCGTTATTTCTTATTATCGTTTCTTTAAAGGTTCTGGTCGTCTGTGACACCTTTGTGAGGGAATATCAGCTTGTTGGCTGACCTTGCCTTCCTTCGCTCTCGTTCTCATTTGCAACCCAACATCATTATTTTTACAATAGGCCTAATTAGTCAGCAACTTAAAAAAAAAAAATCGCCGTGTTCTTTCGCTATTTATCACGTATCTTGTCTATGGGAACTGAACCTCTTCGACGAGGCTTCATAGTCGACGCTCCTCTCCTTTAACAACTAATCTCTCTTCGCTGTATGTTGTCTTCTTACCATTTCCTCAGCCTGAGCCAGAGGCACCTTCTTGTGCACCCAACCCTTCAGGGTCTTGTTACCTTTACCGTAAGTTCTCACTATCCTCTTCTTGCAGAGGTTCTGGGCGTCTCGGGACCCCACCAGGTGCCCGGCCGTGCACACCAGAGTGTTCCACAGGTCCTCGGCCAGGGGTATTATGTCCTGGGGCGGGAGGATGAAGTCGTCCCTTGGAAGCTCAATGGTGTAAGCGAAGGGGACACCGAGACTGTGCATGTAGTCGTCTGAGGTGCCCGAGGCCAGGTACATCATGCGGGAGCTCTGGCCATACTGAGAGAGAAAGAGAGATGCTTCGCTGAAGTATTGCCGTCAATCTTTAGTATTTTCATAAATGGTAAAGCTTTATTATTAAAAGTAAACTTGAGCAATATAAATAATTTTTTTTGGATGATTGGATGTCTTAAAATTGTGTATAATTATTAAAGCCACTTACCCTAAAGTGCGCCGTACCATTCTTATTTAACAGTCGAGTGATCCTCTTGGCCAAATACCTGAGATAAGTACTCATGTCAGACCTGTCCATGGTGTAGCCCCAGGGGTAGAGAACGAACTCTCCGAAACTGTGGAGGCTCACAAACATCGTCAGCGATTTCCGGAAGGTCTTGGCGAGGTCTGCAAGGCTCCGCGTCTCTATCTCGGAGAAGGCACGCTCGCCGCGGTATATGTAGGAACATGAGAGGTCACTGGCGCCGGCTCCCAAATCCCACACTGTGTCCCAGTTCCGGTTGAGATCAACGCCAACGCAGCTGGCGTCGATGGGCCGTCGGTTCTTGCGCCACAGACGGTCGGTGGTGATGGAGAACTCGTAGCCGTCTGGGTTCATGGCCGGAACAATAATAAAGCTGACATGCTTGAGGAACATCTTACCTGCGTCAGCCAGCTGTTGTGCCAAGTACGTCGCTACCGCTGGCGACGTCCACTCGCGGGCGTGGGCTCCTGCAAGGGAAGAGGAGTGGAATGTCTGTACTTTGGAGGAGCAGTTTAAATATGTTACAGAAAGAATATATTATTATGCCAGTGAGGAAGGAGAACTGCGGCTTTCTTTTAGGGGAAACTCAATCAGTTTTTTAATCCTCCCTTGAGCACACAACGGTATCTGGTAATTCTTTTTATCCACATCATAAAAAATGTAAAACTTATAATATCGTGGGTAGTAATATTTCCCTCACCTGGATCCTTGGAGAACTGAGCCTGAATATGTAAATTATGAAGCCTAAGCTTTATCATCCATGCAAGAGGCTTTAAGTTTCAACTGAGTAGCAGTTACCTATTATCTGAAATCCTGCTTATTGTAAGCTTCCTAGCCACGTTATTAGAGTTCCTATATTACAGGTTCAAGTTCAGTCTTCTGAAGATCAAATTAAATGTTATTACTCACGAAGTTCTGCACAAATGTGAAATTAGAGCGTTGAAATATTGGATTAAATGATCATAAAATTAGCATTATATATGATTATAGTATAAAATGATATGAATGTATTTGTTTTCCACAACGAACCAGCTTCAATGAGAATAACAGGTTTGGTCTTCCGTGCCTTCGCTCGTGGTTTGGTCCTTCTAGTTTCCCGCTCTGGTTTAGTCCTCTCAGCCGCCGCCTGGGGCCCGGTCCAGCCAGCCTCCGCTTGGGGCTTGGTTCCCAAATCCTCCATTGGAAATATCCCTTCAGAAAGTACTTCTACCCATCTATTGGTTTTTGTCCTCCTTTTTCGAGCCATCCTTTTCTTCCTCAATCTCCATTTCTCAGCATTATTTTTCCTAGATCTTTTTTTGTCCAAACGACCATCTTCTAGCTTTAGTCTTTGCGAATCGGCTTTATTTATCTTATTTTTCCTACTGATAGGCTTCCCAGACGATGTTTTCTTTAGTATTATCTCACTAGGCACGACCTTTCTCTCTCCTGTCGTGCCACCACTAACCAAGCCAACGTCTTTAGTATTCTTTTTCTTCCCCTTCTTACTCTCATCACGGCGCTCCTCTTTCGGACCGTTGTTGTGTGTGGTCTGAGGCTGCCGGGCGTTGAGTCTGTCCCTGGCGTTATGTCTACGGACGCCCAGTACCTTCCTGTGGTAGTCTCGGGCCATCTGCCTTGCGCTGAAAGAATTAAAACAAATCAGGGGGGAAGGGGCTTCAAAGCCATAAGCTACTTGCTCGAATACATATTTATCATTATATTCAGGTAAAATGTAATGTAGCGCATTGTAACTGTGACCCGGAAGATATAGTGAGAATAAAAATGATTGGAATATATAGGTTAGTGATAGTAAATAAGACGATGTCTGATACAAGATAGATTAAGGAGCATCCCTCCCCAGATAAAGAGAGAGAGAGAGAGAGAGAGAGAGAGAGAGAGAGAGAGAGAGAGAGAGAGAGAGAGAGAGAGAGAGAGAGAGAGAGAGAGAGAGAGAGAGAGAGAGAGAGAGAGAGAGAGAGAGAGAGGAGAAGAGAGGCATCACACTCATCACACACTTGGTAGCGATGATGAGTGCCAGGAGCGGCCGGCCCTCAAAGGTGCGGCCCACCTCCAGACACTCCACAGTCCGGTGCTGCTGGGCCAGCCCTCGGGCGAAGGTGGCGATGCTGGAGTAGCGGTAGTAGTTGTCCCACGCCAGGTGCTCTGTGGGCACGAGGGGAACCCGTCAGAGGGACGACGTGGTTATTGTCGTGTCGCGGAGAGGGGGAGAAAGATGGTTATCAGGGCAAAGGAGGGATGGTTAGTGAGGAATGAAAGGGTCGTGTATAGAATGTGAAGGTGAGGATGTAAGCAATGAATATTGCAGCCCATCCTTCAACATAGCGTATGCTATAGTACATATATAGCAATTATTTGGTAAAGCATAAAAACTTATTCATATGCCAAATATTCCTATGGCTTAAGAATGTTTGGGGTTTGCCATTTTTTGTGTCTCACAAAATTAATAGTTCAAAACGAGAATTTTTGGGGGGCTGCAAGTCCATTTTTGAACGTTGGACCAAATAGTTGCCATAAGCTCTATTATTTTAGCAAGATGGGTTGAATATTGAGGGAGGGAAGGAGTGGTCAAAGAGACAGCAGTTTGACAAATTGACTGACGGGAATCTGGAAGGTGTTGCAGCAGGAGTTGAGGTCATTATACAGATATAACATATACTTAACTCACCGGAGGAGTCAACATATCACGTCTACGTACCGTGGCCGGTGAGGTGCCGCCTGGAGGAAGCAAACACCGATTCACCAATGTCCTCCAGCAGCGTCTTCCACCCCAGCACCCCCTCCAGCAGGGCCCGTCTCTCACGTCCTCCCTCTTGTGTTGCTCCTCTGACAGCACCTGCTTCTGCTCCTTCTACTGAGCCTTCGTCGATAACGGAATGCCTGTGTTTGTTGTGGTGGCGGCCGTGCTGAAGGCGGGGAGGTGGACGTGAGGTGTTCCTGGATGTTGACAACAAATGTTCCAGGCTGACATGTGGACCCACTGCTACCTCTACCTGTGGGTTCCCAAGCTGTCGTTATTATATTGCCTCTACTACATCCTTCCGGGTACAGTAAGAAAGAAGGTACACTCACTCTCACTCAAGCATAACATGCAAGTACACATTATGTATGATAATGGCAATATTAAACAATTTTAAATATACCAATTAAGACCAATATTAAGTATGGTCGTAAAAATAGTCAGGAGCAATAAAACTAGTTTAAGTAATAAACACGGACCTTTGTTTGCTCAGTATATACCTTAACAGGGAAGACATCAAGGAAGCGTTAGTTACATCGGGCGAATAATAGCGACAAATGACAGGTTGTGAGTGATTGATAAAGATTAAGCCACCCAAGACAGCTTGTCACTCCAGCCGTGGCTTATAGGCCCGGGAATGTTCGTGTAGAGACCGACCACACGACCCCCCCCTCCCCACACATACCCCCCTTCACAACCACCTCATTTTAATCCCCCTTCCAACTCCCCAAACTCCCTCTTTCACTATCCTCTTCACTTCCCTTCACACTGCTCTCCCAACCTTCTTCACGTGTTCGAATCGTATTCACTAAATAATTCACTCACCGACCGCACATACAAGTAATTGCCCACCGAACCAAAACACCCATTATTTTTAGATTAGATGAAAATATTAGTCTTTGGATACGCAATACGTTAAAAGTGACGCATATGTACGTCCTTGTTGACAGCCGCCGCTTGAACAAGCTATACGCCTGAGGATAGGTTTTGTGTAAGCTTTTCATCCATAAACAAATTAATATTTATAAGACCAGGCTGGCTAAGCTGGCTTTATAAGGCTGGCGATTTAAGAACGGGCTAACGAGCAACTGGATTAACGAACATTTGACCATTGTTTACGAGACCAGGCCACAGGTGTGTGGTGTTTACATAAGGTGCCGAGCCACACCCCTGGGGTAGTAAGCCTCGCAAAGCGCACTGATTTACAGGTCGCAGGTGGTTGAAGAGACTAGGCTACGCTACCTGATTGCCTCAGCGATGTCGGCCGTGTTTTGCGTATCATCTAATTTCCCCTAACTGCCCTAAGCGTAAATAATTTTTTGCTCTCACTCGTCATACTTCAGTACCAGGGCACTGAGAATCGGCCCCATGTGTGTGTGTAGGCTTTTATAGGCTAGTGTATATATATCTCTCAGATTTAGTGCGTATTGGACAAACGTCATATGACTTCACGAAAGTAGTAAAAGTCTACTTTCGTCTCGTAGAAGATAATTCACGGGGAATTGTGAAGCACAGGTTAAATTTACATGTATAAGAATGGTATAATTAGGAGCTAAATCCCACTTCTACTACTACTAACACAATTATTATTCTTATTCTTCTTCTTCTTATTATTATTAACTATGTATTTCAATACGTGTGTAGTAGTGGCATCAACGCACATGGTTTTGTTACAAACCAGCTGGGCGTCGTCTCTCAAAAGTGCAGTTTGCTTGCTAAAGCCGTTGAAGTAGCAAGGGGTAGCAAGTAGCAGCTTGAAGGCTTGAAGCAAGAGCGCCCACAACTCATCACATAACATGGGAGGTAACCCTTTCCAAAGCATCACTAGTTACATGAATGACGTTATGAAGCGTTATTAAGGTGCCTTATAACGACATAATGTGCTTTATAAATTCTGGTATAGGACAATATTATAGAATATTGTAAAGTAGGCTTGAAGTATGATAGGGCTTGATAGTCCTGATAGTAAAGTGGGCCTGAAGTATAGTAAAGTAGGTACGAATGTGAGCTTTGAGGAACAAACATAAGGAGGCAGGAAGGCATGGATCAACACAATATTAGACACACAGAAACTTCGAAACAAAAATAATAGTAGAGACAAACTTACCACTACCCGTGATCTCTCCATTAAGGTTCCCAGCACCACCACCTGCCCGCTGGCCTCCAGCGCCTCCAGCAGCCCCGCCACCTCGTCCCCTGCAGGGACAAACACCTGCAAGAGACGCCAGCCGCTGTAGTTCTTCGTCTCACCGTCGTGCTGTTGGACTCCAGCCGTATGTAACAACGGCCTGATCACCTCATCTTCCTTGGACGACGTTGTGTTAGCGAATGAGAAACAGGTGCTAGTTCCGGGGTGAGGTTCATTGACTGTCTGAAGAAGGCTACTGGGAAGGATGAAAGTAATAAGAATGAACGCATAGGTCCTCAGAAGGGCCCGGCAGAGAGCAGTCATCATTGCCACAGGGAGTTCGACAGGTGCGTTTTGTCTAGTTAGGATCACCTAGTAACTCAGTTTTCAACTTTTCTCCAACCAAACATAGTTCCAAGAATCTGACATGTTAATATCTCGCCGCAGAAATTTAATTCCCTTCCGAGAACACTGTGAATAGCAAAAAATAAAATGAACGATTCATAGTGCAGAGAGCACACTTCCGAGGCCTCAGCGTGTAGTCGAAGTCGCGCCAGACGCCTGCAGGAGGAGTCGTCAAGGACTAGTTGTTCCCTAGACACTGGCTACAGGATAACTAACTGTTAGGTGATAGCGGCAGGGGCCAGGGTAAGAGAAGGGGGTGAGGGAGTGCATCCGGTCGCTACTGCGTACGATAGACGGTTGAGTGCTCAAGCAGTAAGGGAGGGGGAGGGGTGTGGTAAGGGAGGGGGGGAGGGGTGCTGTAAGGGAGGGGAGGTGGGGTGCAGTAAGGGAGGGAGCAGGGGGGAATGTTATGCAAGAGGTGAGGGGGAGAGGACAGGAGAGGGGGGTGGTAGGGAGAGACAGAAGAATTTCACCTCTTGTTATCAACTTTGATAAGAAAGAACAAGAACGCAACAGATATGGTCAGAACTTTTTTGTTTAGATTAAAACAGTAAGTGGATTGCCACGCATAAGTTATCATGGTACTACAGTTAACTGGTAATGCTGATGTCATTCTTACATAGCTAATGCTTGCATGATCAACCCTGGTACAACTCTCCCTGAATGTAAGGCCGGAGCGACAACAATATGAGTACACATGAGTCTTCTTACTCATTTGTACCGATGTACAACAAGCTGAATTGAACATCGTCTGCGAACAATTCATTTAAAATCACGAAAAACTTATGGAACTATTTCCAATTTTGGCATAAGAATTATAAGCTTTAGAGAATGGTGTGTGTGTATATAGGGGGCGCTACACCACTGCAGTTATATATTCATTCGTAAATAGTTTTTGCTACTGGAGCCAGATTCACGAAGCAGTTACGCAAGCACTTACGAACCTGTACATCTTTTGTCAATCTTTGGCGGCTTTGTTTACAATTATTAAACAGTTAATGAGCTCCGAAGCACCAGGAGGCTGTTTATAACAATAACAACAGTGGATTGGGACGTTTTCATGCTTGTAAAACTGTTTAATAAAAGTAACCAAAGCCGTCAAAGATTGAGGAAAGATGTACAGGTGAATCTGGCCCCTGTTGTTAAGTATAGATAGAGCTAGTACTTGCGTAGGAAAAACTGCTTCGTGAATCTGGCTCCAGTAGCAAAAACTATTTACGAATGAATATATAACTGCAGTGGTGTAGCGCCCCCTATATACACACACACCATTCTCTAAAGCTTATAATTCTTATGCCAAAATTGGAAATAGTTCCAGAAGTTTTTTGCTTCGTGAATCTGGTCCCTGTTGTTATACCAAGGCTACAAGTGTTGGAAACTAGATGCTTCATTGATTGACAAATAGTGTAAGTTATATTTGAACTGTATTACGGGCTTGCAAATAAGGTTATAGATATCTCCGGCAACCGCAGGATAGCGGTAACGCTAACGTTCTTGAACTGTGGTGTGGCCCCAGGCGGATAGGTGGCGTCTGAGGCGCGCACCGGAACACACCAGGAAGGGGGAAGGGGGGGGGGAAGAGTTGGAGGGGGGGGGGGGAAGAGTTGGAGGGGGGGGGGGGAAGAGAAGGAGGCGTAGGAGGAACCGGAAGAGGTTGTAAAGACCTGATCATTTAGACAGTAGTGTGGAGCACAGTGTGGAGGAAGGAAGCCTAACGGTGTTGAGACGGGGGATATAATGTTCACGTTGCAACCCGCACTTGTTTATAGTCAATATTTGGCTTATTAATAAGTGCATATGTGACATACTAATTTATTGTGAATATTTGAGTTTACCTTGAAAAGCTGAATAGAAAACTCCGGCCTAACCTAACCGTCTTAGTATCAACGTGTAACCGACGCAGTTGACAGTTGTAACGTGATCACTTATAAAGCTTTGCAACGTAGCCGGTTACCAAGAAATACAGGTTTTAGAAACGCCATAATTGTGGAACCAACGACACAGAGAATTAGTGCGTCGTGTTGTTGTTGTGTTGACTAAGGGGCGACGACGATCGTGGGATCGGATGCGCCCCGGCTGTCCGATACCAGAGGCCATATGCTTGGGGCTAGCCTCGCTCAATTTCCCCCAATAATTGCTGCTGGGTACGTGCCCAACATGGGTGGGTCGCGATTGATTTGAAAAAAATATATTGCCAAGTGCCACTAAACCAACTTCACCTGCGCGATAAATCATGGAATACTATGGAAAGGGAAGAGTGAGAGATAGGGGAGAGGGGAAAAGTTAGAGCAGAAGGGGGAAGAGAGAAAGAGTAGGGAAGGGGGAGAGAGGAAAAGAGGAGAAAGGGTAAAAGCAGGGAGAGGGGAGAGGGGAGGGAGGAAGAGAGGGAAGACAGGAGGGAAGAGAGGAGTTAGAGAAACCCGGACACTTTTGGGTATCCCTTCTGTTGTTGTATAAGTTATACAATCGTGTATAAGTTATACAATTCCCTCGATTTTATTTAGGACTTTATGAAAATCGCAGGGGTCACTATAGATGGCGATATTTCTTAAAGGGTGGCACTGTGACCAACGCCAACTGGCCTATGACACTCCCGAACTTCCCAAAATTCTTCTCGGAAGTTGAGTGAGACTAGCCCCACACGTTTGGCTTCGAACCTAGCACAGTTGTTATGGATTGAGCTACTCGGAACAAGTTCCAAGTAGCACGGGCTATGGTGAGCCCGTAACTTACCTGGCACAGGAGCGGGGCAAGTAGCACGGGCTATGGTGAGCCCGTAGTGGACTTACCTGGCACAAGAGCGGTGGTGTGTGTGTGCCTAGCACAGACAAGCCGACAGATTATATATATACTATGTGTTTATATTCAGTAGAACTTCGGTTTCAACCCTTTTAACGCTGTCGTAGCTCAGTCGATTAAGGCAGTGTCTGGGATGCTCCCGGACGCAGGTTCGAATCCTCATCACGGCCCTTGTGGATTTGTTTACTATGTGTGGACGTGCGGATGCCAGTGCGAAGATGACGAAGCCGGTGGTGTCGCGGCAACTGTCAGGCGGGATGTGGAGGTACCGTAAGCTGCGTGCCGTCAGCCTGCTTGTCCTTACCTGCAGTCTTATTATAGTTGTTGATTACGTGTTGTTGCCCTCAAAGTCCTCCGCCAGGCCGACCGCGACGTCAACACCTTCGAGTTTCCTTTCAAGTGAGTCTCGACTTTAACAATCAGAGAGATTTTTTGTTTTAGATCATGTATAGGGGGGATAAAGGGAATGTGCAGATGGCCTGATGGTCCATTCAAGGCAGTTCCTGTTTAAATCCAACTAATGCTGTTTAAACGCTACTATAACTTTTTTGTGTGTGAGTTTGATTCTATTTACGAACTGGAATTTTTATTGCTTAATAAAAACTTATGTTCATTGATTTATATTTTTTCTGTTTATATTTTTAGAGCCCAATTTTTATATTTTTTCCTCCAAATGTACACTTCAATCACGCCCCTCTCTCGGGACTACGCTTCACCTTTTTAGAGTAAAACTGAGTTGTCATTGTATCTTCATAAGAGAGGTTCTTAATTTCCAGGACAAACTTACCCAATCTCCTTTTTATACTTTCCAGATAATTTCTATCCATTCAGTACTACGCAGAATGGCTACAAATCATTCCTCGGACAACTTCATTGGCAAGAGAAATCATTGAGGTGTTTGAACGATAGTCGTTGTCTCAGCCATCGTACCTTCAAACAAAAGGAATTACCTCCAATGCGTAGACATTATTATGTGTCCTGTTAGCGATATGACACGAGGCTTGCTTCCGCCACTGTTAATTTTACATTTTCTTACCGAAAATAACTTGCTTTGTACTTGTTATAACAGGAGAGAATAGAGGAGAACAGAGCTTGGAGTGGCAGATGAGTCGGGTGCTCTGCTGGATTCCCACCAGCCATGGAAACCACTACACAAGAGCACGTCATTTGAAGAATACTTGGGTCCAGCACTGTCATCACCACGTATTCTTCAGCACACGTCAAGGTTAGGCTTCCCACTCCCTCTAGTGTCCAGGACAGATGTTTTGATCTAGCCTTTGCTTGATCTAGCCCTCCAAAGTAGCATTTGCTTTGTTTTCAACATAAGGTGAGATTTTGTGGAGAGGATTCAGCTCTGTGGCTCCAGACTCCTAGTGAATACGGACATATCCCAGGTTATATAATCCCTTAGTATCTCGTGCTCCACGGGTTAAGAAATTCCTGTCTTAGTCCTTCCTTCGTGCTTAGACATTGTTACATTATTCATCACGTGTTAATTTCTTTGTGATTCACACACACACACACACACACACACACACACACACACACACACACACACACACACACACACACACACACACACACCACACACACACACATAATATAATATATATATTCCAGACGAGGCCCTGGGCTCCGTGAAGCTGGAGGTGCCGGATGGGTACAAGAACCTGTGGGGGAAGACCAAGGCCGCCCTCGTCCACCTCTACCACCACCACCTCCACCACGCCGACTGGTTCCTCAAGGTTGATGACGACACGTGAGTACGGCCAGAGAAACTCAGGTTAGGAATAGAGAGAGAGAGAGAGAGAGAGAGAGAGAGGGGGGGGGGGAGGGGGGATTGGGAGATTGACAGAGGGGGAGACAGAGGAGGGGGGATTGGGATTACTCTATCCCTTTGAGATGTATGATCTCAGGACTAACTTGAACTTGACAGAGGACTAGGAAGACGCGGGAGAATGGCAAATGAAGAATATGAAGCATTAACTGAAGAAGAAGAACAATGACTAGCAAAGTAAGATAAAAAAGAAGAAAAAAGCAGAATATAAATTACACGGAGGCAAAGTAAGATAAAACCTTGACAGATATTTTAATTAATGAAAATCATTTAAATATTAAAACATAATGTTTTAAATGGCTTCACGTTATCATTTAATTACATAGTTCTGCCGCTCTTCAAGCAGGTGTTCTGAACTGCCAGCTGATGACTGTTCAGGTGTTTAATACAATGTTTCAGGTTTGTGATCGTGGAGAACCTGCAGCACATGCTCCAGCTCTACGACCCCGACTTTCCTATATACTTTGGCATCAAACTGAAGGAGCCGGTTACGTCTCAGGTCTTCATGAGCGGAGGTGAGTGGTAGTGGTGGTGGTTGTCGATGTTGGTGATGGTGGTGGTGGTTGACTGCTATGGTCGTGGTGGTGGTTGCCGTGTAGACCAATTACATATCACACATAACTTGTTAAAGAACACTCTAGCACTATACCTATCGACCTATTAACTTCAGTAGTTGACACATTCATGTAAACAAACATTCTACAGTAAATAGTGATATATTTTTTAGAACTATTGACTAATTTAGATTCCCAACATAATTTCTGAAGAAATGGATTAAGTTTAACAATTCTACTCGTCTTCGTTATATTTATATTTATATATGAAAAGTAAGACAGAACACGGAATACAACCGAGAAGATGTATTTCAACACAGCATAATTTCCTCTGCAGAAGGCAGATCTATTTTTCATGAGCGAGTTTCACTTGTCTCGTAAAAGATTTATATTTGAATACAGATTCGATGCCTTCTGCCACCTTCAGCTGAGGACACATGACATAATATCAACACCGCCACCTTCAGCTGAGGACACATGACATAATATCAACACCGCCACCTACACCTGAGGACACATGACATAATATCAACACTGCCACCTTCAGCTGAGGACACATGACATAATGTCAACACCGCCACCTACACCTGAGGACACAGGACATAATGTCAACACTGCCACCTTCAGCTGAGGACACATGACATAATGTCAACACTGCTACCTTCAGCTGAGGACACATGGTGTTATGTCAACACTGCCACCTTCAGCTGAGACTACAACTAACCTGAAGGTACTACAGGTGTGTGTACAAGCCGTCAACCGGGCTCCACCTTGTAAGGGGGGTCTTTCTAGTTCAATAATAACACCGTTATTAATAATTGTTCCAGGGGCGGGGTACGTGTTGAGCCGGGCTGCCTTACAGAGGGTGGTGGAGAAGGGGCTGACCAACTCGGCCGTGTGTACCACTGGAGACAGAGGCAAGGAGGACGTGGAGCTGGGTGAGTGACTTGCTGTCGTCTCTCACGACAGAAAAGTGATTCTGTTGTTGATAATCATTGTAATAATTAAGAAAACGATAAGAAAACACATAGGTAATGTGTTATTAAGCTGCTCGAGACGCTCTGCCTGTTATTGGCTTTGCAAGATGTAAGAACACCAATGGTATGTACTCTTACAAACCCAATGTACCCAATTGTATATAAGTAAATAAATAAATAAATGTGGGAGTTTTCATGTGGATGATTTGACGTTCAAGTGATTTGATAATGTGTTGAATGTTAGCAGAACTGTAATGTGTATGAGTCTCCAGGTGAAGGCTCTGCTTTAATCTGAAAGTTTGAAGTATTTGAATATGATCTACGTCTTGTACTCAAAGCCGGGGTAAATGTGTATAACTCCATCTGGCCTCCTTCTCCCCCGTGGTCGTGGCCGCCCTCTCCCCTTGGTCGTGGCCGCCCTCTCCCCGTGGTCGTGGCCGCCCTCTCCCCTGTGGTCGTGGCCTCCCTCTCCCCTGTGGTCGTGGCCGCCCTCTCCCCTGTGGTCGTGGCCTCCGGCAGGCAGGTGTCTGGAGGCCGTCGGGGTGCTGGCCGGAGACTCACGCGACCATCTTGGAGGAAACAGGTTCTTCCCCTTCACGCCTGGGACGCTGCTCATGCCTGACGGAGTGGCTGTACTCGGACACACATGGTTCTGGACCCACGTCTACTACACCACAGTACAGGTGATGGGAATTATTGCTCGCTTAGTTCTATACCTCAAGCTTTACCATATATGTAGCTCTTACTGGTGGATTTTGGCTGGCGTAAAGACCCTGATCTATGTGCAAAAACGTTCAGCTGAAAAATATTGTATGAAACTACATCTTTGCTAGTTAAATATTGAATATATTTGAGGTATTTCGTTAGTTAGCTTCTCAACCTGATTGATCTGTTATTTTCTTCCCTTCTCATTGTCATTATCGTTTGTTCTACTTTCTCCTTATCTCATTCTTCTTCTGTTCTCGTTCTCCTCCTGTTCTCGTTCACCTTCATATACTTGTTCTCCTTCTTTATGCTCTCGCTCTATATGTTCCCTCTCTGCCTGTTCTTCTCTTTCGTTTCGTTATCCATTGGTCTTACCCTCTAAAACTTCCAGTTCTTCCATTCCTTTCTCTCACTGCCAATTTATTCCCATCTCTTACCTCTAAGTCTCTTCCTATTCTCCATTCTCTATTTTCTTTCAGCTCTCGTCTTTTTCATCTGTATTATTCCTTCTCCCTTGTAGGCTCTACTTCCCTCCTCCCTTGTAGCCTTTCTTCCCCCTTCTACTTTCCAGCCTCTTCTTTCCCTTCCCTTGCTACCTCTCTCTCTCCCCTCCTACCTTCCGTCCGGCCTCTCCTCTCTTCTCTTCCAGCTTCTTCCAGTCCCTCCCTCTGCCCTCCCAGATATGTAAACACTTCCCTCTCACCAGGGCCCCCTGTGCTGCTCCAGCACTGCCGTCACCTTCCACTACGTGAAGCCTGAGATGATGTACACTCTGTACTACCTGGTGTACACACTGCGTCTGGCCCGACCCCAAGACCTGCCACCCCGTCTTCCGCCAGACATTAACAGCGTTCCCACACAGGTGCGCCAAAGGAGGAAAAGTCGAGTGAACACCCTATGAGGAAAATCTAGAGAAACAAATTTAGATCAATAATCAGACCCAAAAATAGAGCAGGATAAATATATTTGGAAAACTAAATGTATGATGCGACAATATGAGATTTGACATAGCAGAAGCTATGAGCATAGATTCTTCATATCGAACACCGTTAGTTATCAACCGTTAGGTTACACCTAGGTACGTTATATCATTAAAAAGACCAAGAGAGAGAGAAATGCCAGATTCAAATTGCCCAACCACTTAGACTGAAAAGTAGACCAATAGCCTCGCTCCTTGCAGGTCGGCGTTCAATTCCCAACCGTCCAAGCCAGGGCGCCTTTTCTTTCTTCCGTCCTATCTTAAATTATTGTCCTCATACTCTTTCCAAGTACTATATAGTCATAACGGCTTAGCGTTTTCTTCTGATCAATAACTTATCTTACCAGACTTCTCAGTCCTTTGAATAGGGTAACTACGCCTGTCATCTCACCCTCATGAGATGTTCGATGCTGTGTTTTGTAACTTCCTTCTCAAGTGAAGAAGAATTTAAGAAATATAGAGAAGATTCTTGTTAAACTCACTTATATAACGCTTTCGGTCAAATTCAATACATGTTTACCAGAACGACTGCTTCCAGAGTATACTAAAGACTGAAGCCGACAAACGACTAATGACACAGTAGCACACATTTTCTCTCGCTGCCTGCTGATAGAATCAGCAGGCAGCGAGAGACATGTAAACAGACACAGGAAGTCAAATAGAAGCTTCATGTTTTGACATTTTCCAGCAAGAGGTGTGATGTTTTCTTTAACCATTTGTTTGTAGGTCTTGGAGAAGTACACGCCCGACTGACACCACTGGAGGAGACGAGTTTCCGGCCCTGTGCCACCCTCCTCCTCCTCACAAGATTCAGGTGGAGGAGAAGGAAGAGCAAGAGGACGATATAGACAGATGAGAAAGAGGAACGTAAAGAAAGGAAAGCAAAATATAGAAATGTGTGTGGAGAATATACCACGGAAATTTGGCCTTGATGCAGAAATTTTCATCAGAATGTTTCAGTCAAGGAAAATTACGATATTGCATTTGGGGATTAAAAGGTATGTTATTAGATGATGTAAAGCATTGTTTTACAGAAATGTTTATTAACAATGAATAAAGTAAGGTTGGTTTTGTAATCATGTATATTAGTTTAAGTTAAAAACAAACTAGTCACATACAACACATAAGTAATAAAAAAAAGGAGCAATTTAGCATCTCATGAGAAGTTAATGTTTCCAACCCAACATCAGACCACTCATCCGCCAACAAAAATCCGCTTTGAGAACTTTAACCAATACTGATTTATGGCGTTTTCTGATTAAAATATACAAATATACTGAACATACGCACTCACCATGTATTCTCTTGTACTTTTGTTTATTTCAAGCACCGAAAAATACAACACTAATCTAGTCTTGAGCCTCGTCATAGTTGGATGTAACAGAACCCATAAATAACGCAAATGTATGGCAAGAAATTTACGGGCTATTCATGCCCGTGCCACCTCTTGAGTGACTTAATCTTTATCAATCAATCAATCAATCAATCGGCAAGGAATGAGAGTAAGGTCGTCACGTGTGTGAAGTGGGTTATTTGCGGCCGTCACGTAATTGTGACTTAGTCTCAGCTGAGCTCCACAAAATAACACATAAGTTAAATAAACACATTTCCTCACATTCCCAGACTCCGACTCAGTCTATGCAATCACAGTAATTAAATAAAGGGATACAAAAATATCTTCCTAATGAACAAAATCTCTTCCCAATGAAGTAAATATTTGAATAACATTTCTGGACATAGTTCAGAGCTCAATTAAATTCTCAGTGTATAAATATATATACCGAAAACCGGTGGGTATACCTTTTAGGTATACACATCCCATGTGTTATCACCATTACGTCTGCAGTTTCATTATCCTCCATTACTCAGGTACCAAAAATAATGATAAGATTTTATATGTAGATTTTTCGTCAATAAATGTGTACTGTAAGCTAGTATGATCTAGTTTGAAATGTTTCACCCTGACCACTGATCTACAGAACCTATTCCACATTTCATATATACTAATAATTACGAAAATAAATGAAAAAAATAAATAATAGACAATTATAAATTAACCATCTAAAGAAAGGTAACATGAGTTCAAAAAAGTAATTTATCCCTTAACTCTATTTTTCTTAACTAAATGGGTATTGAAGTAGACAACTTCTGAAGCCATACACGACCCTACCACTTTCCCCTGGAACACGACCCGCTAATCAGTTTGCAACCAGGTCCCCAGTTACTGGTGGTTGAACAGAGGCGATCAAATAATGGCTGGTGGGCATTCAACCCTCCCTGGCCGGGGTACGAACACCGACACAAGAGATGACGCCTCGGGAAACACCTCGCCACGGTGGCAATTTGTATGAATTGGCCTTAATCATACACTTGTGTGTTTATAGGGCATTAATCGGCATTAATAATACATTTATGTTTATGGGGCGTTAATAATACATTTGTGTGTTTATAGGGAATGCTCTTGGGTCCCACCTTACATGGGTAAGGCTTTATTATCTCGTATAGATGATAGGAGGACAATAATAATATTAAATTTCGGCCGATTTATCCTGCTGGTGTCCGGACTGCGGCAGAGTATTGGACGATAACAGTGTTCTGTGAGAGGTTGAGAGAGTCACTGGCTCGGGAGGAAGTAGGTCTTGAAATCAGTGAAGTATTTTTAATATGAATTTGCAATGAGACTTAACTTTTGTAGACCAAGCGAGGGAGGGAAGTGTAAAATGCAGTCAATGAAAGTGTCATACAGGAAATAATAGTGAGAATCATCACCGCTATTGCCTGTTCTAAGCTGGCCGAGTAAGCCGGACGACTCAAATAGAAAACGGAACAGTACGTCACTTTTGTGAGTCGATTTCATTTCAAATTACGTCATTACGGCCATAGCGCGCATACCAGCGAAAAGTGACGTTATTTTTAAGAGGACGGGTTGCACTGGGTGGGTGTAGGGAACACTACCCTTTGCTTCCCACTGAGTGTGTTGGGTGTACCTTCCACTGCCACCCACTGGATGGGTGTTGGGTGCGCCACCCACTGGGTATGTGTTGGTTGTATAACACACATATCAACAGAATTAAAATATTTCAACACCAAAATGTTAATTTCTTAGCTGAAGAAACGTTGTAGTCCAATTCTCGAACAATTATGTCATTATGAGGGTTTGTGACGCTTCTGTCATCGCTAGCGGGATGAGTATGGGTTTTAGCAAATATAACTAAACTAACTCAAACTGTAAATAGACTGTTGATGTATATATTAACACACTCTGGACCAAGTTCATCAATGTTGTTACTTAGCTAAAAAGAATTTGTGGTTAAGTTCCTGAGAAATTATGTTCGACTGAAAGCATTCCACCACCACTGACAGGATAGGTATAGTGTGTATCTATAATCTCTCTACCACCACTCACAGGAAGAACAGGGGCCTCTCATGTCCTCTAGATAATGTATTTTTCGGGGGAAGAGGTGGGGGGAGGGGGGGGGGCAGGAATTCCTCTCCCATCATCAACTTATTTCCTTTTGACATATTTCTTCATGAATCGTACTAATTGTTCTAAAAAATTTACTTTCCCAGTGTACATTTGCCAGAGACTGCGTATCTCCCCCTTTGTGTTCTTTCTATTACGTCAGTTTCTGCTACAGCTCTCTACTAGCTTCTGTACTTTGTTTTTAGTTCAATAGGTACATTAAAACCAGTAGGTGTTCCGGTTACTAGGACATCATACTTTATCGTATGAGTCTGTTCGTCCTGAATTAATATACGAACATATGGGAGGCCCCATCATCTGACATCTTCCTCGTTTGATTGATTGATAAAGATTAAGCCACCCAAGAGGTGGCACGGGCATGAATAGCCCGTAAGTGGTACAATTTTTTTTTTTTCAGTACTCTGAGGTTGCATTTGACCATCAAGCTGTTATCGCCGGGGCGGATACTGCTTCACAGTCCATCTTCCTCTTAGCTTGTACAGTTATGTAGGAAATTTTAATCTGGAGCTTCAACTAGTATCCTTCCCCTCCATGACGAATTTGTTTATCCCATTCTGTTTCGGTGTGATTGTAATCTCCAAATATTAGCAGATTTGTCTTAATTTTGTATTCTGCCCACGACACTTAGGAGGGAATATTTAGCCAGGTTCTGTAGTAATTGTGATACTCAAGTTTGGCTTTCTGTGTGTTTAATGTTGATGCATGTTTGAACGTGCAGTTCTGCATGTGTCATTTTGCATAGACTTTCATGTGAATATATATATATGTGTTTGTGTTAGCTTTGTGATTCTTTATTGTTGAAATTGGTTTATGGTATTATTTACTTTTGTTATTGTTTGCAGTTTTAATTGGTTAAACCCCATTATGTTTTTGTTTTGTTTTTACCTATGATTTTTTATTACTTTTGTTTGTGATTTTCTTTTAACAAGTATTGTGGATGTTGACTTTAAGATAACTCAGGCGGTGTCTATTCTGGCTTCAAGGCGACCCAGCTGACGTGTCCACTTTCCGGAAGGTGTAGTAGGCGACGCGGCCACTGGCCTGAAGGTGACGACGATGATGCGAGGGGTTGCCCTTCAGGTAAGCCAAATATTACAGCAGTTTCTCCCCAACGGAATGTGGATTAACCCGAAGCGCCGAGCTATCGCCCTGCTCGCCTTCACCTGCGCCCTCTGTGTCGTCTTTTCCTGCAGGCAATCTCCCGCCTGGTCGACGACACCGCGTCTTTCGCCAAGTGAGTCTTCTGCAGCTAAAGTTGTTCTTGTGTTTATAGCATGCAACCATTTTCTGTAAGTTTATCTGTGTCCTGCGTAATAATTCCAGGGCTGCATGAAGCGACTTATCTGAAACTTAAAAAGGAAGCCCTTACTCCTTCAGACGCTACTTTCCTTCTTGTGTTTTGGTTGAAAGATGTCATTTCTGCTTATCTTTTCCAGTTCATATCTATTAATTTTCATAAATTTAATGCAGAAGTAATTTGTTTGACTTTCATTGTTGTGCTGTGATATTCACTACCAGGGAGAAGATATTCTTAGAAATTGTCCCTAGTGTAAAATTTGAGGTAAAATGAATTACCGTAATCGAACACGCGTTTCACGTTGTACTCGTCAGCGCAGGAGCCGCAGGACGCTCGTTTCGATACCTCTCAATTGTTTGTTTACACCTAAAATATTGCTGGTGAACAAATCCACAAGGGCCGTAACGATGATTCGAACCTACGTCCGAGACCATCCCAGACGCTGCCTTAATCGACTGAGCGTCTGGGATGCTTTCGGACGCAGGTTCAAATCCTCGTCACGACCCTTGTGGATTTGTTCATTTGATGCATCACGCAATTGTGATTTCTGTGTGTAATGCCGGTGATGGTTGTCACAGGAGAGAAGAGGGCAGAGCGGAGCTCGGCGTGGCAGAAGAGTCGGGTTCTGTGCTGGATTACCACCAGTGCTGAGAACCACAACGCACGAGCCCAACACGTGAAGAATACCTGGGCCAAGCACTGCCAACACCACGTCTTCTTCAGCACACTTCAAGGTGGGCTTGAGGGGTAGAAATAGCCTAAACTACTCTATCCCTTTGAGATGTAATTTCTTTCTTATCTCAATAAACATACTTGAACTTGAAGGTGAGCTTTTTGTGTTTTTATTTTGTTGACGTGCTTATATACATATGCGTTTGTGCTGTATTCTATTCTGTATGAAAAGTTACAGTTTATGTCGAGATACTTAGGTCCCCATCTTGCAGGATGGTGTCTCATGCAAGGGCTTGAAGTCTATTAATCAGCATTAGGCAACTTTGGATATATTATGAGGTAATCTTGAAGAACACGAGAATGGATAAGAAAATGGCAGTGCTTTATGTAGCTAACATCGTCAGGTGTAAGGGGTCTAATGACTGGATTCAGTAATGTAATGTTGGCGAATATGACCCAATTCCTGGTCACAGAATTTACTTGATGCGTGTTCAGGATTGAGATTCCTCACTGTAGCCACCTGCCACAGGTAACGGTAGCCACCTGCCACAGGTAACGGTAGCCACCTGCCACAGGTAACGGTAGCCACCTGCCACAGGTAACGGTAGCCACCTGCCACAGGTAACGGTAGCCACCTGCCACAGGTAACGGTAGCCACCTGCCACAGGTAACGGTAGCCACCTGCCACAGGTAACGGTAGCCACCTGCCACAGGTAACGGTAGCCACCTGCCACAGGTAACGGTAGCCACCTGCCACAGGTAACGGTAGCCACCTGCCATAGGTAACGGTAGCCACCTGCCACAGGTAACGGTAGCCACCTGCCATAGGTAACGGTAGCCACCTGCCACAGGTAACGGTAGCCACCTGCCACAGGTAACGGTAGCCACCTGCCATAGGTAACGGTAGCCACCTGCCACAGGTAACGGTAGCCACCTGCCACAGGTAACGGTAGCCACCTGCCACAGGTAACGGTAGCCACCTGCCATAGGTAACGGTAGCCACCTGCCACAGGTAACGGTAGCCACCTGCCACAGGTAACGGTAGCCACCTGCCACAGGTAACGGTAGCCCAACCTACCCATGACAATTATCCTTCTGTGTCACACGCTGTACTTAATGTTTTTTGCTTTCTATATTTAGTCATACTAGAGAGCGTTTTCTCCTTGTAAATACCATATTTTTTCTCTTTTTCTGCTTACTTTCCCGCGTCTCCATACACCTTACTGCATACATCTCTTACACTCTATCGTTCACTAGATTCCAGGGGCCAGATTCACAAAAGCACTTACGCAAGCACTTACGAACGTGTACATCTTTCCTCAATCTTTGACGGCTTTGGTTACATTTATTAAACAGTTTACAAGCATGAAAACTTTCTAATCAACTGTTGTTATTGTTATAAACAGCCTCCTGGTGCTTTGGAGCTCATTAACTGTTAAATAATTGTAAACAAAGCCGCCAAAGGTTGAGAAAAGATGTACAGGTTCGTAAGTGCTTGCGTAAGTGCTTTCGTGAATCTGGCCCCATATGCTAAACTGATCTTTACAGTGTCGTGCTCTGGATGTCATGAGGTGCGCCTACCGGAAAAAAACACTCGTATGAACATATGTGCTAAATTTGTACCTCCAGGAGAAGCTGACTTACTTCCTTGTTGTTAAAACCCTTCTCCAGACGAGGCCCTGGGCTCCTTGAAGCTGGAGGTGCCGGATGGGTACAAGAACCTGTGGGGGAAGACCAAGGCCGCCCTCGTCCACCTCTACCACCATCACCTCCACCACGCCGACTGGTTCCTCAAGGTTGATGACGACACGTGAGTACGGCGAGAAGAATGAAGAGGTTTGACACTTGAATACGGTGTTGTGGGAGTAGGGAGCGTGATGGAAGTATGATGTTATGTGGAGAGTAGAGTGAAGAAGGCTGTTGAGATTGAGGGTAACGGAAATTGGCAGAGACAGAGGGGTTATCTTGAGATGATTTCGGGGCTTTTTTTTAGTGTCCCCGCGGCCCGGTCCTCGACCAGGCCTACACCCCAGGAAGTAGCCCGTGACAGCTGACTAACACCCAGGTACCTATTTTACTGCTAGGTAACAGGGTGAAATAAACTCTGCCCAATGTTTCTTGCCGGCGCCTGGGATCGAACCCAGGACCACAGGATCATAAGTCCAGCGTGCTGTCCGCTCGACCGACCGGCTCCCCGAGCGGAAGAGGGAAGTGGGGTAAGAAAAAATGAGGAAGATGGAATATACAGGTTGAATAGATTGAAAAGGGGAACGCTTAAATTTATGTAAATCTTATTACTGAAAGAGTGGGTGAAAGTCTTGTTTAAATTTTCTTCACCCGAGTGTATGCAAAAAGGGTTTTGAAAGAAAGTTTCATTTTATCGTTTTGATTATGAAACATATTCTTGCCACGTGTTTCACATGCGCTCTTCAAGCAGGTGTTCTGAACTGCCAGCTCATGTTGTTGTTGGTTTAGATATAGCTACTCGGAACAAAAGTTCCAAGTAGCACGGGCTATGGTGAGCCCGTAGACCAGCTCATAACTGTACAGACGTTTAATATAACGTTTCAGGTTTGTGATCGTAGAAAACCTACAGCACATGCTCCAGCTCTACGACCCCGACTTTCCTATATACTTTGGCATCAAACTGAAGGAGCCGGTTACGTCTCAAATCTTCATGAGCGGAGGTGAGTGGTAGTGGTGGTCGAAGGTGGTGGTGACTGTATGACAGCGGTGGTCATGATAGTGGTGACTGTTAGCGGCGATAGTGGTGGTGGTGGTGGATGATGATTGTGCTGAAGGTTGTATTTGTTTAGTGTAAATAACGAAAAATTAAGTTCTAAATATGAATAGAGAGAAGCTGCTTTACTGACGATATGAGTGTTTACCGGGGGGTTCTGGTTCACAGCTGAAGACTGACACACAAGTGAAAATAACAATAACGTGACTGTTTATACGTTACAATAAACCTCACTCTATTAGACGACAACTTATTTCATACTTTCAGAAGCTGCTGGTGTGCCCTTCACCTCCTAGAGTGATTTGTACAAAGTAGTTTTATAAATAATAATGCCATTACAGTAATTATTAATAATGCAGGCGATGAGTCACAATAACGTGGCTGAAGTATGTTGACCAGACCACACACTAGAAAGTGAAGGGACGACGACATTTCGGTCCGTTCTGGACTTGATCGTCAATCGACTTGAGAATGGTCCAGGACGGACCGAAACGTCGTCGTCCCTTCACTTTCTAGTGTGTGGTCTGGTCAATATTATTAACATTGTTCCAGGGGCGGGGTACGTGTTGAGCCGGGCTGCCTTACAGAGGGTGGTGGAGAAGGGACTGACCAACTCGGCCGTGTGTACCTCTGGAGACAGAGGCAAGGAGGACGTGGAGCTGGGTGAGTTTTCAGAATGAAATTGTGCAACTGTATATACATTACAAAACTAAAAATTAGATACGAAGAACGTGTAAAGTCCAGGTGATGGGCATATTGACGTGGGAACTGAATGCTTCACATAGTTCAGGTGTGAAGCCTGATGAGTGGTGATTAACATTGTGGTTATTACGAAGTGTAAAGTTTGGGTTCATGGTTTATGTGTATTTGTCGCTTCTCAATGATAATCAAATAATATAAAGTGCATTTTAATGTAAATAACACCCTATGCACTCTCCCCTATGGTCGTGGCCGCCCTCTCCCCGCGGTCGTGGCCGCCCTCTTCCCTGTGGTCGTGGCCGCCCTCTCCCCTGTGGTCGTGGCCGCCCTCTCCCCTGTGGTCGTGGCCGCCCTCTCCCCCGTGGTCGTGGCCGCCCTCTCCCCGCGGTCGTGGCCGCCCTCTTCCCTGTGGTCGTGGCCGCCCTCTCCCTTGTGGTCGTGGCCGCCCTCTCCCCTGTGGTCGTGGCCGCCCTCTCCCCTGTGGTCGTGGCCGCCCTCTCCCCTGTGGTCGTGGCCTCCTTCTTCCCCGTGGTCGTGGCCTCCGGCAGGCAGGTGTCTGGAGGCCGTCGGGGTGCTGGCCGGAGACTCACGCGACCATCTTGGAGGAAACAGGTTCTTCCCCTTCACGCCTGGGACGCTGCTCATGCCTGACGGAGTGGCTGTACTCGGACACACATGGTTCTGGACCCACGTCTACTACACCACAGTACAGGTGATGGGAACTATTGCTCGCTTAGTTCTATACCTCAAGCTTGACCATATATGTAGCTCTTACTGGTGGATTTTGGCTGGCGTAAAGACCCTGATCTATGTGGCAAAATGTTAATTTTTCATTAGTTCTGAGCAAATGACATATTTACTATTAAGTTAACGTTGGCATTTTTAAAGTTTATGCTTGCCAGTTTCTCTGCCTAATTATTTGTTTCTGTTCTCCTCTTTCCTTATTGTCGACAAACGTGTAATTATTCTTGGTGTCTTTGCTCTCATTATTGCCGTTCTTCCTGCTTTTGTTAACTATCTTTTTTACCCTTGGTACCTCTTCATGCTCTAGTTTTCTTTATTCCTGCTGTTCGTTTTCCCTCTCTTTCCTCTATTTATCTATTTTTCCCATCCTCTTTAAAGCTTGAAATTCTTCCCATTCCTTTTTGGCAATGTTACTTTCTTTTCCTTTCTATTACTTTCTCTTTTTCATGTTTCATTCACTCTCTCATCCACCCTATTTTCTTTCTCATCATCCACTCCTTTCTTCCCCTCTTGCATCTTCTTCCCTCGTGCTTTTCAGCATTTTCTTCCCCTTCCCTTGCAGCCTCTCTCCCCTCCTACCATCCGTCCGGCCTCTCCTTCCCTCTTCTCTTCCAGCTTCTTCCAGTCCCTCCCTCTGCCCTCCCGGATATGTAAACACTTCCCTCTCACCAGGGCCCCCTGTGCTGCTCCAGCACTGCCGTCACCTTCCACTACGTGAAGCCTGAGATGATGTACACTTTGTACTACCTGGTGTACACACTGCGTCTGGCCCGACCCCAAGACCTGCCACCCCGTCTTCCGCCAGACATTGACAGCGTTCCCTCACAGGTGTGTATGTGTGTGGTTGGGGGAGGGGAGGGTTTGTATGAGGAAGGTATAGAGAAACAGAACCAGATCAATAAATAGGCCAACAAATGGTGCAGACGAATTCATATAGATAAGGTATGTGGTATGATGTTCTCCGTGTGATTGGTGCTTGCTTTCTTTCGTAGGTGTTGGAGCAGTGAGAATCCGCCTGACACCGCTGGAAGAAAGAGCTCCGGGGGGCCCAGTGTCATACTTGGGCAGTGGAAGTCCGTCTGACACCGCTGGAAGAAAGAGCTCCGGGGGCCCAGTGTCATACTTGAGCAGTGAGAGTCCGTCTGACACCGCTGGAAGAAAGAGCTCCGGGAGGCCCAGTGTCATACTTGGGCAGTGAGTCCGTCTGACACCGCTGGAAGAAAGAACTCCGGACCCAGTGCCACTATCCTGCCCCTTAATTTTAAAGTTGTGGAGAGTAAATAGACGATAGCGACGAGAAAAATTAAAACGCTATAGTAAAATATAAAAGATGGGAGTTGAAATGTGACAAAGTGAAAACTGTGAAGAAGTCATGAACTGCGAGACAGCTGACGACCTAAATACAAGCATTAAGGGCATAACTGCCAGTTAAACTTTCTTCATATTACTAATGTCACGTCTTCAAAGCGAGAAGACATGACATTATTAATTTTCAACCTGGATGAAGAAGGGATATCAAATAACTTTTGGAACGTTGCAGGATCTTGAACAATTAGAGCTCCATATACATGGTTGATACTCGTCTATGAATTAAATAAGTACAAAATGTGTGCAGGGAAGAACAATTTTCCTTTATTATTATGAGAGAGAGAGAGAGAGAGAGAGAGAGAGAGAGAGAGAGAGAGAGAGAGAGAGAGAGAGAGAGAGAGAGAGAGAGAGAGAGAGAGAGGGGGGGGGGGTTAGATACCTGTAAAAAGTTACTGATGGGGAATGTGCATCATATTTGCCTTTATTAATAAAGCAATCACTCAAGTGCGCTGCATTATTATTTAATTAAACTGTTAAACTGTATTAATTATATTAAAGATTATTAAACTCTCTCATATATATATATATATATATATATATATATATATATATATATATATATATATATATATATATATATATATATATATATATATATATATATAAGAACATCATATGATATATCATATGAGTTGCTACTGTAAACCTCCTCACCAATTTAGGTAAAGTAGTATACAGTATCGTTCTTGAATCGTTATTGTAACCATTTCGGTCGCATTTAATGACACGTGTCTACAAGAACGGATGCCTGCAAAATTATTTAAATGCCTCCAACTAAGCGATTTGGGAAACTGTTATTAACCGTATAACTGTATAACAGAGCATTTCGTTAAACACCACGTTGGACACATTTAACCGAGGCAAACGTGAGCTATTGTACTGTGTATAATAGTTGTGTAATGTGTAATTATACACACGACAATAGTGTATAATAGTTGTGTAATTATACACACTACAACAGTAGTGTGTATAATAATACACACTACTGTTGAGCAGTGTGTATTAACTGATCTTCTCCTTCAGCGTTTTCTTTGCAACTCTTCAGCATAAATAATGATATTTGCCATTGATGTGGAGAGGCAGGATGTACTTTAGCTCGTCGAGGTTCCCTTAGACCAACTACTGACCTTCCCCAGGATGCAAGCCACAATAGCTCCCTAACTCCTGGTTATCTATTTACTGATCAGGTGAAAGGAAACGTACACAACAGCTTTGGTTTCTACCCTGAGATTGAACCCGGGTCTTTTGATTGTACATCGAAGGCGAAAACCACTGTACTACAGGACCCTATGTTAATTCACATAGGACCAGTAACTTGGATAACACGGCAGTGATGTTGGTAAACACTAGTTTCAAGGAAGATAGCGTTTAATTCTCTATTTTATTGATACAACAGGTCCCTATGCTCGCGTGTGGGGTATAGTGTGGTCGGGCCGGGTGGGGGCCATGGCGTCCCCGTTTTGATTCCCAACAGCTTCGATGTCGACGTCGTCGTCCTCCTCATCCAGGTCCTCGATGCTCCTCTTACTCGACTCCACGATGCGGAAACACTCCAAGAATTCGTTGAAGTCGATGTATCCGTCTTTGTTGATGTCGATGGAGCGCGCCAAGTCGGCTATTTCCTGTTTTGGGATGGGCACGTCGATGTGGCGACTCAGAAGCTCACACGTCTCGCTAAACTCATCCATGCTGATGTAGCCTGCAAAAGGAGAGGTTGGATCACATACTTCATACTTCGACGGGAGAAGAGGCCGAGTCACAATCACACCTCATGTACTGGAGCATTGCATAAAATATTGGAAGCCATTGGGACGTCGAGTACTATAATGTACAGACTGTCCTCATTTTATTAAGTGCAGCAATTAATTAAATGCATTAGAATTGAGTCCAATTTTACATGCTATAATATCCTCGAGATATTATACCATGCAAAGTTGTATGGGATTCACAGATACGATACATGGATAGGACTTTCTGCTCCAGTGGTGCATGAAATAGAATTAGAGTATGTTTCCTGGGAGCAAAGGTGGGTAACAGCGGATAGAATGAACAATTTATTGCCAGGAAATGGAATCAGCCCTTTGTTGGAAACTATATTGTCGAAGTTGAAGTGAGGAGTTTACAACAAGCGAGAGAGATTATTGCAAACCAACAGCACGTGAAGGGTTGCATGAGGACTGCAACACCAGTCATGAGTAACTGGAACTCTTGCAGTGACAACGACACCACGCAGGTGAGGGACGGTGTTCATGTTTCTGGGGACTAGGTGGTGGCAGCTTTTACGAATTTGTTGGAGGAAATAGTGTGTAGGACTTTAAACAACAGGTAATGGCATGGGGTGTAAATAATAGGAGAAGCGGGATAACTCAGGAAGCGGAACATAAGTTATTAAAACAATAACAAAACAGTCTGGGGACAAACAAGGGGATTAAACTTAACAGCACATTAAAGATGTTCTACACAAACAGCAGAAGTAACAGAAGCAAAAGAGATGACTTAAGTGCACTTGTCTATACAGAATAAAGATATATTATTTAATTGCAAGACTGAGTATAAATATCAAAATATTTCTTTGATCGAATACACCCAACCCGGAGCTTACAGGACTTGGTAAACATAACCAATTAAGCAGGTTTTGACGGGCCAAGTATGCATAGAAGAGTGTTTGCAGAATGAAATGAGGCGATCTAAATACTTCCTGGATTGAGTAAACATAGCAAGGCGTGTGCAAGAAGACACTTAACATAGTTACATTTGATAAAATACAGCATATCAAATATAGGTAACAGTTGATTGATTCCGTCAAGAAAGCCTGCCTCCGTCAAGAAAGAACCAGGAATGAGCCAGAGGTAAAGCACAGGTAGAAAGGGATCTCACCAGAATTGTCCTTATCGATGAGTCTGAAGATGGTCTCTAGACTGTTCTTATGGCGGTACAGAGCTTCAAATACGGTCGGTCCTCCCTGTGGAAATACGCAGCGTTCAGTGATTACTGGTTAAGAGCTCAGACTACGTTCATTCAGCCCCTCCTTGCATACAAAGATCCAAGCTCGTCAATCCAGCCGCCAAACCCCCTATTTATGAATGAAAAGCGGTTTACACACGACTCACAACTGATGACGTCCGAACACTATCGGAACAAGTGCTTCGCTCACGTCCTCTGTTCGAACCACAATTCTATAAATGCTTCATCTACGAACTTATAAATACAAATAATTACCAACAGAACCTAAACACCTAACCTAACCTACGTCAAACTATACATACAATTTTTATGTATAAGAATATTAATTTATATATGAGAACAAATCAAATTTTAATACACAGTATGTTAAAATTGATGACTGCGTCTGGGGAGGACGGCCGCTGCTTTAAACAGCCTAGTGTGAGAACGGGTTGAAATATAAATAATCGTCAACAGAATCTAAACATCTAACCTATGCCTAACTATGCATAGAATTTGTATGTATAATAATATTTATTATATATGAGAACAAACCAAATTTTAATATACAGTATGTTAAAATTGATGATTGCGTCCGGGGAGGACGGCTGCTGCTTTAACCAGCCTAGTGTGAGGACTGGTTGGGTCATTACTCCCTGTGGGCTCATATGCCACGCTGTGGACTTCCTCCCGCCTTGGTGACTTCAGGACGCAGGAAGTAAGGAAGCAGCTGGACTTCACATAACACTCACAAGTAATTAGGTACAAATAATCATCTTTAATATCCTAGGAATAATTGTAGGTCAGTTCACAATTAATATTGCTATTATAAAACCATGCAGATGTAGATAATTTGTTTAATGCCAAGAAAAATGCGTTTTTACACTTATATTACACTTATTTTACCCGTTCTGATTCACTTATAATGCAGAATAAATTCCTCATATGCATGTATTTCTTTTGACAACCGGCGATAAATTATTAGACCTCTATTTAATTTATATAATTTTGTTGTATTTCTTTCGGTTATTTTGAAATCAAGAGGACCCTTGATAAGGGGTTACCCACCATGATGGGAAGGTCCTTCTTGAAGAGCTCGTCGGTGAAGGAGCTGTGATAGTCGACGAGGCCCGTGGTGGGGTGAAGGGACACCAGCTTCTCCCTCAAGACCCGCCACGGCAGGTTGAGATGACTCTCCTTCTCCATCACCTCTACCCAGTCCCCGACGCTGATGTAGCCTGAAGAAGGGGGCGGATGTCTTCATTAGAACATAAGAGCTGGGAGGATGGACAATACGATACCAAGATGACTTTTACTGTGATCGATTGATTGATTGATGAAGATTGAGCCAGATGGCACGGGCCTGAATACCCCGTAAGTGGTAGTGTGATGTTCTTGTGTTGTTATGCTAAATTTTAGCAGATAATAAGAACATAAGAACAAAGGTAACTGCAGAAGGCGAGGCAGCTTCTATCTATAACCACCCATAATACATGTTCTATTCCAAAGGGTTCTTTTCACTTTGGTTAGTCTAGAAGAGATCTAAAACTCACCTATCTTGTCCTTGTCCTTCTGCTGGAAGGCCACCAAGAGCCTCGATTTCGAGGCAAGGATTTGGCCTCGTAACTCCCTGAAGGCGGACGTCTCCATCCTCCCGACATTCTCGCGGATCGTCAGCTTACGTGACCTGATGATGGTAAAGTTATCCGAACGTGAGAGGAGTTTGCGTGTGAGGTGGATAGCGAAAGATCACCAAAATAAAATCGTTGTGAAATCTGAAATCTGATTTCACTCAATGCAGTGAAAAATAGTATTAGAGGACGCTGGTGATAACTAATAGAGAGGGTTACTTAAGCAAGTGGGTTTGTTTTGATTTGGTAAGATAGAATTTAGGGATCCGATGCCAAGCGCACGGCCCAGTTAGCTATTCAATGCGCAAGGGAGTGAATAGGTGAATCAATATGACTAGATAAAGGCATTGCTAACGGGAAGCCGGATAGTGTTGTAATGAATGAGGGAATACGGTATTGGGAAGCTCTTTAGAGGCGGTGTGTCCACTCACAAGATGATTGGCGCTGCCCAATAAACTCGCTCCTCGGGGCAAAATTTAAATTTAAGGGCACTACGTAGGACAGTGGGTAGGACAGCACGTAGGACAGCACGTAGAACAGTGCGTAGGATAGCACGTAGAACAGTGCTATTAGGCAGGAAGGCATCGCTATTATAAAGAATGATAAACATATTATGCAGACTGAAAGAGCTATTATTAAGGAAGATTTATTTATTAAGAAGACTGTTATTGCTAGTTTGAAGGATGACAGAGCTATTACAGAGAGAGCTGTTTAAAAAAAACGCATTGGAAGAACTATGAAAGACTAAGGTTTATAGGAATAAGGGTAGAGATGTTAAATAGGAGCACAGTGCTATTAGGAAGATCAGGAGCATTAAAAAGATGACCTGTGCTGTTTGAAATGATGAGTTTTAAGAAATACAGAAAACTGTTAGTGCTGCGAGGAGTGCTTATAGGGCTCCTCGAAAGGCGGCCTGAGCTAACGAGGAGAGCTGCCTCGTTAGGGAGAATAGCTACTAGGAAGGCAGGTGCTAGGAGAAACATTGAACAATTCTAATTCCCAGCATGTCATACACACAGACTGGAACTCACTTAGTGTCTGCGGTGTACTGGACGAAGTGGGGCTCCAGGTTGGGGCCCTGGAGCTTGACGTAGGCGCCTCTGTTGCTGCCAGAGTCATAGTAGTTTGAGGCGGAGAAGATGGTGAGACACTGAAGGAAGACAAAGATCTCATGAGATCAACCAATGGGCTGTGATCTTAAACATAAGATCAACCAATGGGCTGCGGGCATATAATATAAATACCAAACTCATTGAGACACCATCCATATAACTCATTTAGAAATTTAGTGTGAAATGCATATAAATCTGTCTGTCTGTCCACCCTCCTGTCCATCATTCAGTCCGATCCCTCAATCCTTCCGTTTGTCCGTCTGTCTCTGTCTCTCTCTGTCATATTTTAATGTAATATCTAATATAATGGTATTAATAACTAAGCCCCGGATGAAAGCAAGCCTCTGCAACATGTCTATATAAAGTAATTAAACGTGTAATCAATGTGCATAATCATGTTTATAATTACATTTTAATACCCTTTTGATCGTCAAAACGGAATGTGAACTGAAGTGAAAAAATTGTCATTAAAATTTCACAAATTGTCAACTTATTAATTTTTTAAAATCTTCCGGTAAAAATTACCGTCAAAATACTTTTTAGTAAACCACAGTTTTAATTAACATAAGAAAATACTCTCCATGTGTTTTCTTTAGAGTAAACAAATGTTCCGTATTTTTAGGTAAGACTTAAAATGTATTACTAATCGAAATGTCCTGGAAAAGTGATGTTACTTTCACTGATTTATTCATTGTAGATTGTTGCCAGTGCAAAATACATCAATTGACCTATTTTCAATGTAGGAAGTTATTGACCTCAAGAATTAGGGTGAACTACTTACCGTACTGTCGTGAGTAAACTCGTAGCCGTCCACCTTACACTCGTGGGAGCGGATGAGGAGGGAGAACCCATGTTTCCTGAGGAAGTCGTGGGTGATGTCTGGCCCGAAGTAGCTGCCGCCGCCCCTGAAGGTGTTGGGACAACACCCAGCTTGGCTCTGTGGGTCACTCCACAGTAGGTCCAGCACCTGAGAAGTACAGATGGTATCTGGTAGCCCGTTAACTGTGACACAGGGGCAGATGCGTACCTCTGCTCCAGAATTGCTCGTATCCTTGGGCAGAACGTCGTACCCTGGGCACAGCGCAAGGCGTATCATACGCTTCAGACTGTGTGGAGCCCGGGGCTCAGCTGTGGGCGTACCTTGAGCTCTACCCAAGTACACTTTAGGCTTCACACTGTCCTTACTTCGGCCCAGAGTTCCCACTGTCCGTACTTCAGCCCTGTGTTCCGAATCGTGCGTTCCTATGCCTATAATGTACAGTATGAATACTGTTGGATCCACCTTGCTCGTACAGTGCATATCCTACCCCTTAGGCTTCACAATGTGTACAATGAACTCCACCCTATGCGTAAAGAACTTGTATAAATACGATATCAAATTAACTAACAAATCAACCTGTTATAACCGAATTTTCAATTAGACATTCGTAAAAGATGGTGATATAACCATTCTCTATAACTTTTTTGGCGTGACTGGAAGTGGTTCGACCCTTTCCTCCACTCTAATGCACACGATTGGATTCCTGTCTGCTTTAATCCTCCTCCTCCTCTTTCTCCTCCTCCTCGCATATTTCAATTATTTATACATGTTTACACAAACACTGCAGCATTTGCACCATACTCACTTGTCTTTCCTTCTCCCTCTCCCTGCTGTTGACACGCACTTGAGTGCTCGGGCCCGGGGAAATCTCCCAATCAATCACTTCAATACTTCATATCTTCATTAGAACTAAAATGTCTCACGCGTAACATTAAACGCCCCCTAGATAACATGTGACCAAGGAGCTGTGCCTCTTCATGTGTTATAAGAGTGTGGCCCACTGAGATTGTGCCTCTTACGGGCTCACCATAGCCCGTGCTACATAGACATTTCGTTCTGAGTAGCTAAATCTAAAACAAGAAGAAGAGAGTGTGGCAATATTGACTCACCTCATTCCCTCCCTGCTGTCTGATCTCATAAATATTCCCTACAAACATGCTATAGGTCAACTCTGTCCAGAACATAGGTGAAAGAGATCCAATACTTCTTTCACAGCGTGTAACACCACTTGGATCTTGGCAAGTTATTACTCGGAAACAACAATTTGTAATTAGAAGTAGAGAACTATCACAAGTGCGTAGCCCAATTATGGATACATAAAAAACACTTCATAATTGTAGAGTGGGAGATATAATGTTTAGAGGCAATGTCAGTTAGGAGTTATAGTGAAGGACTTAAGTCCCTTGTAAGTCCGTACTGGCAGGTGTTATGAGATGAGAGACGCTTTGGGCGGCTCGCCACATTAGCGGTGTTAGCTTACATTAGCGGCTTGGGATTGGTGTTGTGTAGCACTTAGAAGAGTGCGGTGGGTGACCAGTGCTATAGAAGGGGACGAGGAGGGAGGGAGAGAGGGAAGGAAGGGAAAAAAATGAAGGTGGGAGGGAAAAAAAGGAAGGATGGAGGGAGGAAGAAACGAGGGAGGAAGAAACGAGGGAGGAAGAGGAGGCAGAAAGAAGGGAAGGAATGGAGTATGAGAAGAAGTCAAAAAGAACGGAGTAGGGGAGGGAAGAGAGGAAGGAATGTGGGAGAAAGGAAGGAAACAAGATCGGAAAGAATGAAGTGAGACGAGAGGAAGAAAAAGAGGAAAGAAGGGAGAAGTTCAAGATCATTACAGTTGTGTTTTATGAGTCGCTTAGTTGGAAGAAACCGTCGAGGAGGACTGACCTGCTTCCACTCGAAGGAGGAGGTCAGTAGCTGCACCTCCCTGCAGGCGTCCGAGTCGTCGTCGTCACCCTCTTCCGCTGACGAGCTGTCGTCTAGCAGCGCTGCCGACGGGGCCCTCAGCACGCTCATGTACTGCACCGCCCAAGTGAACAATGAACAATGAACAGCGTCAAAGTGAGAACATGGGCCAGCAACCTCCAGGTATAATCTTAAAGGCTCGCTCAGCGCCTTCATCAGCTCCTGAGCCGCAGAAGGATTTTATAAATACTAATGGTGATTATTACAAAACATCTATTACTGTTTTGTTGCCAACCTCTTGAACACCCATTCCCGACTAATGGCAAGCTCTTGACACCCATTCCCGACTAATGGCAAGTTCTTGACACCCATTCCCGACTAATGGCAAGTTCTTGACACCCATTCAAGCCGACTTACCCAACATTCTAGTAGTGCTGAACTGGAATGGCTCATGGGAGGCGACCGGTGAGAGACAGTTAAATAATGAGGAGAAAGACTACATCATCACCGAATAATGAGTAAAAAGACTACATGATCACTGAATAATGAGGAGGAAGACTACATGATCACTGAATAATGAAGAAAACGACTACATGATCACTGAATAATGAGGAAAAAGACTACAGGATTACCGAATAATGAAGAAAAAGACTACATGATCACTGAATAATGAGTAAAAAGACTACATGATGACTGAATAATGAGTAAAAATACTACATGATCACCGAATAATGAGGAAAAAGACTACATGATCACTGAATAATGAGTAAAAAGACTACATGATCACCGAATAATGAGGAAAACGTCTACATGATCACCGAACAATGAGGAGACAGACTGCCAGCAGACAAGCGACGAAGGAAACCAAAGGGTAAACAAACCGAGCCACAGACCTTGCTTCTGTCTATGGTGGAGAGCCACTTGACGTCCGTGTCGAGGGAGACGCCGCCGTGGACCACCATCACCTTGTTGTCTATGACGGTGGCCAGAGGCAGCCACCGGTACACCTCCTCCAGCAGCCGCAGGATCCTGGGCCCGTGAGGCGCCTAGTGGAAGGTCAGGGCGATGTTGACAGCAGCGAGGAGGAGGAAGAGGAAGGGATATAGGGTGCCACGAAGGGAAGAAGGGTGCTCCGAAGGGGAGGGATATAGTGTGCCACGAAATGATATATGGTGTCAGGTAAGGGGAGAAGGGATATTGGGTGCCATTAAGAGGGGGAATGTAATATAAGCTGTAAAAGGAGTGAGGGAGAGAACTGACAGCTATAGGTTTAGGGGAAGATAAAGATCGGAAAGAAAATATTTAATACCGAGACCACAGGGGTAAAGGGGCCAATTAAGACGTCATGCTAGGGAGGGATGAGGCATTCAATTTACAAATTTATGTATAGAGTTGTCAGGGGTGGGGGAAAGTTTATATAGTCATAGGTTGAGGAAGAAGGGAAGGGGTTATAACGTTGTTATATTCTCTCTGTCTCTCTCGTTGTCTCTCTCTCTCTCTCTCTCTCTCTCTCTCTCTCTCTCTCTCTCTCTCTCTCTCTCTCTCTCTCTCTGAGTTTACATACTAATACAACACAACTCAAACAGCAAGAGACCACAGAATATATATATATATATATATATATATATATATATATATATATATATATATATATATATATATATATATATATATATATATATATATATATATTCTTGGATCGAAACACGAAAGGTCTCCCAGTAAAACCTAAATATTTATTTTAGTCTTTCTTACCAGTACCATTCCATAGCTTACTTGTCTTGAGCACACTCTTCCTTCATGCAGGTCAGCGTTCAATCCCCGACCGTCTAAATGGTTGGGCACCATTCCTTTTCCCCGTCCCATCCCAAAACCTTATCCTGACCCCCTTAAAAGTGCTATATAGTCGTAATGACTTGGCGCTTTCCCCCTGATAACTTCCTCCCGCCCTCACCAACTCTTAAAGACACACTCACCTACTCCTTCACAAAATTAACTCTGCAACGTTTCCCCTGGAAACACAAACCGAAACTGTCTCTATTTTCCGCTTATTACAACTTGTAATAAAGTTGTTACATATTGTCTTAACGTGTTTATGACGTATTAGAACGTTGTTACAACTTGCTATATTGGTTGTTATAACTGCTTAGGTGTTAAAACTTGTTCGAACGTTGTACCAACGTCGTATTTTCGGTGTGTGTTTGGGGTGTTTAGACTCACAACAGCCAACTTAACTGGCCGGCATCATACTTCGTCATTGTAGCTAACAGTACACTCACCTTCAACGTCATATTCATCTTTCCCAACAACAGGATCAAAGAACAGAAGAATAAAAAGTTTTCAGAATGTAAAGCAGCTCTCCCCCCCCCCCCCCCCGTAGGCAACTGGTTTTTAGGTCCCAATTTCTTCCACTCCTGTCTTCCTATTAATGAACCTCTATTCTGCTACTTGGCAACTTGTTCCAAGCGTCCTTAATGCCATTTCATATCTAGGATTTACCCGAGACTTTTCTAACTTTACAAATATTTGAGATTTGGCGCCACTTTTTTAATTTTCATCGCGAGTCGATATTTCCAAAACCTAATTTGATTTCGCCCAAATAAATCTCTTTCATGTCTCTACAAAGTTAGCTCAGGTTGTCCCTTGCGCTACATCTCTAGGAGGAAGGAAAGGAAGTGATGAGGAGAAAGTGTTAAGCCAAGATGACTATGTAGCACATGGAAGGAATAGGACAGAATAGGATCTGGAATAGGAAGACAGAGGAAAGAAACGGTTCCCAACCACTTAGACTATCGGGGATCGAACGCCGATCTTCAAGAATTGAGCGGGTCGCTGAACCAACACTGGCCAAGTGGTTGGCCCTACACTTCTTGACAGAATAGGAAAATCTGTTTTCTTAGTCCTGGTTCGAACGTAAGGAAGGTTGCTAATAGTTAATATGTTTTCTCTTTTTTTCCCTCTGTATACGTTCAAGATAATTCACATACATTCTACACTACTAACCCAGTTACTACTCATCCTTCAGCACTACTCATTCCTCAGCACTACTCACCCCAGCAGTACTCACCTTGTACTTCCTACTGACCTCCTTACAGAAGCCGTACCTGAACAGAGACGATCACAGGCATTAGCGACAGTTTTGGTATCAAAATTATTTTACACATCAGTGTATTATTATATCAATTACACAATGTAAAAATTTTTGCTCCATGATAGCAAGTGTTATTTTCTCATTGCTTATGCCTCCAAAGTATAAAGAAAGGCTATTGAACAAATCGACAAGCGCCGTGATGAGGATTCGAACCTACGTCCGAAAGCATCCATACCCATAAAATGGTTATTACTTCACTCAAATTTCGCTGTGACCTTTGCCTCAGTCAGCATAGGCAAAACGTCATAAGGAGTCGGCACCTTTTAGATACCTTTATCTAAAGCTATGATACATCATTTCATAAGTCGGCAGCCTTCAGGCACCTTTTCAAGACGTCTTTCCTAAGTTGTCTTAGGTAAAGGTGAAATCAAAGTCTTTGGGGGGGGGGGGGAGGAGGGGGATAACAACCATTTTTTATACTCTTTAGTTATAAGCAATTAGAAAATAACACTTATTACCAAGGGATAACACAATTGTTAGTGTTATATTTCGAATCACACTTGCACTAAGGGAGGATGTTGTTGTCTAGACACATTGAGGCAAAGTAAATATTGTGTTATATACCTGCATTAAAGCATGACTTTTACTTGGCTAAGTGACCTTTCCTGGCAGCATGACCCTTCCTGGCAGCATGACTTGGTGTAATGACCCTAACTGTCAGGATAACCTTGTCGTAGGCATAACCCTCTCATTCAACCTGACCTGGCAGCATTATTCAGCCTGGCTACATAAGGCCTTGACTGTGACCTTACCTGATGCCTCCGCCAGGACTGCTCGATACAGCGACGCCTCGCTTCCGGCAGGTCGGCGCTTGATCCCCAATGGTCCAAGAAAGTTGAGTGCCATTCCTTCACTCAGTCTTCACTCGACTATCTATCCTGCCCTCATATCCCTTCCAAGTGCTATATAGTCAGTGGCTTAACGCTTTCTCCTTAAAATTGTCTTACCTTTATCTAATCTTACCTAACACGGTGTCTCAAGACGCATACATGGTCTCACCTGGCGTTCATGACCAAGTCTTCGTGGTTTCCGCGGTTAAGGTAGACTTCTGCAGGAAAGACCACGACGAGCGCTAGCAGGAGGAGGATCACCTCCATCGACTTGCGGCCGCGGTCCACGAAGTCACCGTTGAACACGTATGGGTTATCGGTAGAGGGCAGCCCGTTCTGTCAGAGCACAGGGAGGAGATTACTGACTGAACGTAGAGGGCAGCCCGTTCTGTCAGAGCACAGGGAGGAGATTACTGACTGAACGTAGAGGGCAGCCCGTTCTGTCAGAGCACAGGGAGGAGATTACTGACTGAACGTAGAGGGCAGCCCATTCTGTCAGAGCACAGGGAGGCGATTACCGACTGACCGTAGAGGGCAGCCCGTTCTGTCAGAGTACAGAGAGGCGATTACTGACTAGAGGGCAGCCCGTTCTGTCAGCGCACAGGGAGGCGATTACTGAGTATAGAAGGCTGCCCGGTATATCTGAGTCAGGTCAATAATTGGGAACAGACTACAAAAGGTCGCTATATCTGAGTCAGGAAACTCATCAGGGGATTACAGTAAAGGATAACGTATTCTACAAGACGGAAGGTGGGGAGCTTACCAAAGTCTTAAAAAAAAAGGCTTACGGTTAGTGTACGAGAGCATGGATCAGCCCTTTCTGCACTGATCAGGGTAGACTGCAGACTCAGCAGTCCGTTCTGCTGAATTAGGATGATGAGTTGGGTGTGAAGGGTGGCCAAAGTGCTCATCAGGGACTCAAGTAATATGCATCAATTCATTTGTATCATGCAAGGGAAATTATTCTATTTTGTTCAACTATCATTCGTACTCTCTCGGTTATCATTCATAGTCTTTCAATTATTATTCCTAGTATTTAAATTATCATTCATAGTCTTAGTTATTATTCGTAGTATTTAAATTATCATTCATAGTCTTAGTTATTATTCCTAGTATTTAAATTATCATTCATAGTCTTTCAATAATTATACATACCAATGTAATACCAATTCATACCAATATAATTTGTATTAATGACAATATAATGTATATCATCCATGCGATTACAATCTCTATAATTCACACTAATATAATTTAAGTCATAAAAATATCTTTAGAATGAATGTAATTACTGTTAATCATACCAGTGTAATTGTTACTATTTACACAGAAATAATTGGTATCACTCTTAACAATATATATGATATCAACCAATCATATTTTAATTATCATTTATGCATACGTAATTACCACATAATTGCTTTCATTCATTCGGTAATTGCTGTAACACAGTGGCAGTGAAGAGACCTGACTTTTACTGTCACCTTATAGGAGAGTGCTGAGGATTGTAGAGAGCCACTGACCTTATAGGAGTGCTGAGGATTGTAGAGAGCCACTGACCTTATAGGAGTGCTGAGGATTGTAGAGAGCCACTGACCTTATAGGAGTGCTGAGGATTGTAGAGAGCCACTGACCTTATAGGAGTGCTGAGGATTGTAGAGAGCCACTGACCTTATCGGAGAGTGATGAGGATTGTAGAGACCCACTGACCTTATAGGAGTGCTGAGGATTGTAGAGAGCCACTGACCTTATAGGAGTGCTGAGGATTGTAGAGAGCTACTGACCTTATCGGAGAGTGGTGAGGATTGTAGAGACCCACTGACCTTATAGGAGTGCTGAGGATTGTAGAGAGCCACTGACCTTATCGGAGTGCTGAGGATTGTAGAGAGCCACTGACCTTATAGGAGTGCTGCGGATTGTAGAGAGCCACTGACCTTATAGGAGTGCTGAGGATTGTAGAGAGCCACTGACCTTATAGGAGTGCTGAGGATTGTAGAGAGCCACTGACCTTATCGGAGAGTGCTGAGGATCGTAGAGAGCCACTGACCTTATAGGAGTGCTGAGGATTGTAGAGAGCCACTGACCTTATCGGAGTGCTGAGGATTGTAGAGAGCCACTGACCTTATCGGAGAGTGCTGAGGATTGTAGAGAGCCACTGACCTTATAGGAGTGCTGAGGATTGTAGAGAGCCACTGACCTTATCGGAGAGTGGTGAGGATTGTAGAGAGCCACTGACCTTATAGGAGTGGTGAGGATTGTAGAGAGCCACTGACCTTATAGGAGAGTGGTGAGGATTGTAGAGAGCCACTGACCTTATAGGAGAGTGCTGAGGATTGTAGAGACCCACTGACCTTATAGGAGAGTGGTGAGGATTGTAGAGAGCCACTGACCTTATAGGAGAGTGCTGAGGATTGTAGAGACCCACTGACCTTATAGGAGTGCTGAGGATTGTAGAGACCCACTGACCTTATAGGAGTGCTGAGGATTGTAGAGACCCACTGATGTTATATAGAGTGAGAACTGCAGAGACCCATTGCCCTTATAGGACAGGGAACACTGTAGGTACCCACTGACCTTATAAAGGACAGTGAGAAGGTCGTCAAGCTTGCCGTGGAGGTCGCCGACCACCGTGACCTGACCTGAGATGGCCGTGGAGGCTTGAGTAACGGTGGGGCGCTGTCTGAGTACCCTCACTCCCTCCCTAAGGACCACGTACACGTAGCGGGAGTGTAGCGTCTGTAGAAGGGAAGGGGACACCTACATCTTCCAAGAAATCTCACCTATGTTAAAGGCATAGTTATTCGTAGTTAAACCCAAAATCTAGAATATGTGTATCCCTTGTGTACTCTACATAAACTAGTTAACGCTTTCTAGCCCGTCAAGGTTGGAAGTCGGTCAGAGAGAGTTAAAATTGATATCCCAGTTCGAAATTGGCAAATTAAAATCCCCTTCGATGTTTACTTTATGTTTTTACTGTATATTTATGATGATGGAAAATATTTTCATTAGTGTCGAGTGACTGACCAGGGGAACTATGCTTAGAATCAAGTGTTGTTGACCTTTTTCTTCTTGAAGGCGTCGACCAGTATGTGTATGGAGTCGGTGGTGAGAGGAGTGGTGAGGTGAGGTCCCTTGTAGCTTCCCTCCACCGCCACGTCCTCCATCCACGCCTCCTCCAGCAACCTCTTGTTCCTGGCCTCCTCCCCTTCTTCGTCTGTGGAGTGAGGTACGAAGAGGACAATTAGTGTCTCTCTCTTTCTCTCTCTTTCTCTCTGTCTCTGTCTCTGTCTGTCTCTGTCTCTGTCTCTGTCTGTCTGTCTGTCTGTCTGTCTGTCTGTCTGTCTGTCTGTCTGTCTGTCTGTCTGTCTGTCTGTCTGTCTGTCTATCTGTCTGTCTGTCTGTCTGTCTGTCTGTCTGTCTGTCTGTCTGTCTGTCTGTCTGTCTATCTGTCTGTCTGTCTGTCTGTCTGTCTGTCTGTCTGTCTGTCTGTCTGTCTGTCTGTCTCTCTCTCTCTCTCTCTCTCTCTCTCTCTCTCTCTCTCTCTCTCTCTCTCTCTCTCTCTCTCTCTCTCTCTCTCTCTCTCTCTCTCTCTCTCTCTCTCTCAAAACATTAATTTCCTAAATGGTAGCAATTGCACAAACAAATATTTGCAGGCGTTTATAATTACTAAGCTGTAGTGTCATGATGACGAGTGAGTCAACATTCACCCAGAGAAAAGTTGAGGGGGAGGTAAGGAGGTGAAGGGGGTAGAGAGGGGCAATGGGTAAGGGGAAAACGGAGGGTGAGTGGGGGGGATGAGTAGAATGAACACTCACTGATGTAGGAAGAGGGACTAGAATGAAGAGCAGAGTCTACACTCACGGAGAAGAATGAAAAGCAACTGCTGCACACTCACCCAGTTGGGAGAGATGCCCAAGATGAGTAGGAGGGGAGATACTCACCCAAGGTGAGGGGAGGACCTGGGAGGAGTATAGAGATACTCACCCAAGGTGGGGTAGGACCTGGGAGGAGTATAGTAGTAGTAGTAGGCATCCATCAGTCTCATGAGACTATAGAGTTGCGCTCTGGTTGTCGGTCTGGTCTGGAGTGGCCTCACCAGGGCGCAAAGCCAGGGTAGATTGATTCGGGGGAGAAGCTGTTACCCAGGCAGCAGGGCCCCCGAAGGAGTATAGCTATTCACCTAAGGTGGTAGATACCCAAAGTGGGGGGTGGGAGGGTGGTAGACATTCGCTTGAGGAGGAAGAAGGCCTGGCTGGGGGTAGATACTCACCTGAAGTAAGAAACGTAGTTACTCCCCGGACATGGGAGAGGTAGATACTCACCCGAGGTGGGAGAGGCTCTAGGGGAGAGAGCTTCCATAATCTCAGTCATAGCGCCGCTGCCCATGTGAGTGAGGAGAGCGTTGAAAAAGTTGTAGAGCTGAAGACAAGAGAGAGAGAGAGAGGCAGCCCTTTACTTACACCGTTTTGATTCATAATGATTGGAATCACAATCACAAATATAATATCAAAATATCTTTTATTATAAGTAATATTATCACAACACCGTGAGAGATTCGATGATAGCTGAAAATATAAAGGATTTAAGTAACGAATGGTCCTCAGGGGCCTCAGACCTACCTTCATCTGGTCCTGTTCGCCAGCGTACTCGATGGTCTGAAAGATGGTCCACGTGTACCTTCGGCGGATCTCCAGCCTGGCGCAGTAACGCCGGTACCAGCGCTGGATCAGCAGCGCCGCCTTCAGGGCTGTCAGAGGTAGTACAAGACGCACGGTGCAAGGTAAGGCAGTTATGAGGAGAAAGCGCTAAGCTAGTATGGCTACATAGCATTTGGAAGAGATAAGAGAGCAAGGAGCTGTGATATGAGGACCATCGGGAATCGAACTCCAACCTGGTATATATCTTAAGGTCGTAGCTCTGCCGTCCAGACAAAGTGATAGAGTTCAGTGTCCTAAAATCTATTAGTAAGTAGGCATCCATCAGTCTCAGGAGACTATGGAGTTGGGCTCTGGTGGTCGGACTGGAGTGACCTCTCCAGGGCGCCAAACCAGGGTAGGTTGATATGGAGAAGCTGTTACCCAAGCAGCAGGTTCCCCATCTCCACGGCGCTAATAGTCTTCAATGGAAAGGTACTGTGTATTAGTACCATGTACATAAATACACAAAAAACAAAACTTTTTTAATCCCTATCTATCATCGTTAACAAAAGAGAACTATCCAATGTTCCACCATATTCTTGCCTTTCTAATGCTACTCCCCTCCTCCCTTCCTCTCACACTCCTTCCTTACTCTCATTTATTCATTTCGCTTCGCGTTGATGATGGTGGAAGAGAAAGAATGTTTTTGTGTGTGCTTTTTGTACCTCCGGCAGAACGACTCTCACTAATGGACGCCGATGTGGAGCTGTTTTACTGGAGGCTGACAAAGGCACTTCACAGTCTCTCATCGAGTATCTCATATACGGTGAAGAGTGTCACCAACACTGATGATCACCTACCTCACATACGGTGGAAATCTTCACCCATGGAAACGAAATATGGAATCCAGAGGCCCAATCCAGAATCTAAAGCCTAATCTAGATAAGTGCAATTAGGTGATTTCTCATGCACGTATATACACACACACACAAAATAGCATAGGCAGCTTCGCCAATCTTTCAGCCTTGGGTTATATTCAGGGGAGATAAAGCCCAATCATTAAAAACATGTAAATGCAGAATAAAGGCTTCAACTTCCTTTAAAAAAAATTACAGTATGGTCGCAGATTATTGGATGGAGAAGTGTTGTCACGTATCTGGGGTCTTCAACAACAGTAAGTTAAGGGTCCTCTGATAGGTTAGGTGGGCAGGAAATTCTCATAAAGTTTCTAAACGATATGAAAAACGTTAATGGAAAGTTGCCTCTTCTAAGCTTGCCGAGTAAGCCGGACGACTCAAACAGAAAACGGAACAGTACGTCACTTTTGTGAGTCGATTTCATTTCAAATTACGTCCAAATCTGGCCATAGCGCGCATACGAGCCAAAAGTGACGTTATTTTTAAGAGGACGGGTTGCTGTGTCAGTGCTTGCTTCGATGGGGACGGGGAAGGATGCTCGCTATGTCACAAACACACAAAATTGCATTATTGCTTATATGATGGGCGTGATCAGTGAAGAGGGTTACAGTAATGAAGAAAGTGTGTAGTGAATAAGGGTACAATAATTATGACTGTGTGCAGTTAAGACGGTTAGAGTGATGAAGATAGTATGAAGTGAAGATGGTTAAAGGGCTGACGGTAATGTGTAGTTTAGTAGTTTAGTAAATCACAAACATTTACATTGTGTAAATGTTTGTGATTGTGTGAAAGAGAAGTACTTTTTTTTGGCAGGGAAATTCCTGCGCGGGCCCTAAGCCTCTGGCTGGCCCACTAAATGTTACTTGTTTCTGTTTTACTTAGGCGGAGTATGAGTATTAATGACTCGTATGGTCGCTTCAGTAAGATTTTGCTCAAAGTGTTTAACAACTTCTGCTCTGTTGAATCAAAGCTGAAATCTTACTGGGTGTGTAACTGTGCACTGTGTTAGATAATGTTCCAGTGGTCTGTCGGGCATTTCTCCACAGTGCTGACATTTCCTCTCATCTTCTGGAACCAGTAACCACAAAACCACAACTAGCACTCGGTTCAAACCACAATTTGCACTCAGAATTGGTTATGAACACAAAAGTTATCAAAATAACACACAATGAGTGCTAAAAAAATACTATAGACAATATTCCGAGAGAAGAGAAAATAACATTAATGATATATTGTATACATATTGTTAAATGCAATTGTAATTCAGATATAATAATCTTGCGAGCAATATGTGTCATATAGTTCGCAAGATTACACAGACTACAATACAATATGTATACACATCCATCAACCCCAGGGGGGTAAGGTGCACCCGCTACGATGTGCACCCCCGGCCATCAACTCCAGGGGTGCATCGACTGGATCGTGAAAACTAGTTCAAATGTAAATATTAACCGGTGTGTCTTTGCGCATATTTTGGGCATTAAATTGTAAGGCCCTCTGGAGGTCGGCCATAGTTATAGGTCGTACCTTGATGTGGTCGTGCCTCCGGTGAAAGGCGCTGTAGGTCTCCTCCGGTTCTTTAAACTGCGTATCGCAGTTCGACAGATAGAATTCAATCATTGGGTAGAAGGAAGCTCTCCGTACTACCTCATTGAGGTCGGATCCGGTGTAACCATCTGTCAGCCTGGCCAGCTCAGCCAAATCTATGTCACTGTCCGCCTGGAATTTTCGTAACAGGATGTACAAGATTTGCTGTCGGCCCTCCGTAGAGGGCTTTGAAATTTTGAACTGAATTGATAAACGCCGCAGTATGGCAACGTCGATGGATTCCAGCCTGTTGGTTGCGGCAAGAAGTATCACCTTTGCATCTGCGTCTGTTTCCATGCCGTCCCAATGAGTCAGGAATGTCGCTACCATCCCGCTATTGTTGTTGCTATTTTCGCCGTCTGTGCGCTTCCCTAGAACAGCATCGATCTCGTCCAAGAAAACGACGCACGGCTGCTTCTTGTAGGCCAGGGAGAAAACAGCAGCTGACAGCTTCTCCGACTCCCCCAACCATTTACTTTTCAAGGTGGCTGCGTTTAAGGATAAGAAATGAGCGTTAACCTCTCCAGCAATAGCCTTGGCTATTAGTGTCTTCCCACAGCCAGGTTCCCCGTAGAGGAGGACGCCTTTGGGATGACTGAGAGGGGGATCTGTAGTGTGATACTGGGTGTGCACCAACGCCATCAGAACCTGCTCCTTCAGGTCCTGCAGGACCTCCGAGCAGCCACCCACGTCCTCCCACGTCGTGTGCAACGTGCCAGGTGCGGAAAGGTAAGGTAAAAGCTGGCGCTCGAACTGGTCAAACCTTTCAGTCTGCAGGATTTCACCTGGGAACTCACCGGGGAACTCGGTACTCGAGATGTCTGTCTCCGTCAAGTTCATGGCGCCCATTAACTTGGATATTATCTTCCCAAACTGAGACGGATAGGAATTAGACGACGATGAGTCGGAATGAGAGTACATCCAGCTACTTGACCCTGTCTTGGACTTGTTGAGGATCACCATGATCAGGGACTTCATCATCTTACCGAAGATCGCGGACATCATCCTATCGAGCTGGGACAGACTGGAAATGGATAGCGGTGAGATGGATTTCGAATCCATCTTACTTGGGTGCCTGATGACGTGGCTCCTACAATTCTGCAGGTTGCATCCTTCAATCACGGTACCTGCCTCCGCCTTGGTATCTGCCTCATTCCTTTCCCGGATGCCCAGGAGCTTGTGCATCATCCTGTCACACTCAGACTCCGAGTCCATCAGTCTGTCGGAAGAAGGACAGCTGGTCGATGTTCCAGTGAGTCTCCTCAGGCACAGGCGAGAGTTCTCCAAACTCGTCACCAGTTTGTCCCTGAGGCGGCTGGAGTTCTTTGCCATCACACCCTGTCCAGTCATTAGACGGAAGATGGCCTCCACCACCACTCCCTGAGCGTCCAGGAGACTGTGGATGTTCTCCGTCACCTTCTCACGGGCGTCTTTCATCCCCCGTGTGGCCAGGAGACACAGGCTGTTATGCACCACTACGTGCTGAGCGTCTAGGAGCCGGACGATGGCCTCCGTCGTCTCCTCCAGAAGATGGTAAGGAATCTCCAACGATCCCTGTTGCTCGTCTTGCTCACTCGTTGGATGGTCAGGGGAAGTCGTGGGATGTCTATTGCACCTCGCAACGGCACGGCGGAGAAGTTCCTTGAAGGACAAGATGAGGAAGCTGCCGAGGGCACTCTTGAGGATGACCTTGAGGCTAGCAGCCAGCGCCCCGCCCTCGGTGGTCAAGTAGGAGGCGGGGCGCTGGACCAGCCTCCCCAGGAGGGGGACTCGCCTCAGGTGCCTCCACCTGTTCTCATTCTCCTTCAGCTCGAGTCTGACCGCCCTGTTTGTCACGTCGTCCTTGAGCACGTACACCGTTGAACATACAACAGCCAGCAGGATCAGCCCGTTTTTGACTTGTGAAACTGTGGGACACTTTATCATGATATAATTTTAATTATAAATTAATTAATTAATAAATGAATATTAAAACTTCCCCGACGATACATTGGTTAAAATTTTGAAAAGGGGGTGAGTACCCCCCCCCCCCCCCCCGTCGCTCTCTCTTTTCTCTCTCTCTCTCTCTCTCTCTCTCTCTCTCTCTCTCTCTCTCTCTCTCTCTCTCTCTCTCTCTCTCTCTGTCTGTCTGTCTCTCTCTCTGTCTCTGTCTGTCTCTCTCTCTGTCTCTGTCTGTCTGTCTCTCTCTCTCTCTCTCTCTCTCTCTCTCTCTCTCTCTCTCTCTCTCTCTCTCTCTCTCTCTCTCTCTCTCTCTCTCTCTCTCTCTCTCTCTCTCTCTCTCTCTCTCTCTCTCTCTCTCTCTCTCTCTCTCTCTCTCTCTCTCTCTCTCTCTCTCTCTCTCCTCCACCTCCTCCTTCCAAGACCTAATTATATCTCGGAATCTACAGCTGCGTGCCGCTTCACCGTTCAGTAATATAAAAATGTTGTGGATTTGCTTGCCGAGAAGCTCCAGTTTAATTAGGCTGTGGAGGAAGGCATCTGGGCCGCTGGGCCGCTCTGAGTAATGCCTGGAGGATAGACTGGGAAATAGAAGGTAATGCCAGTCTCTCCAGGTAATGTCCGCCATGCCTTAAGGCATAATTATGTCTTATTTCCTCTTGGGA